TTTCTTTGACCTCAGCCATGGCACTAGGCTTGGTTCCGGAGACTTGGTATTGGTTCTCTGAGGAATATCGTCTCCGCGAGTCGAGAGGCGGCGTCTGTCAGAGCGGGGGGAACGTAATGTGCACAATGATGTGAAATATTATAGGGAATGAAGGGATGGTACAGAGGAAGAGGTTGCATCCATGGCGTTAATTTCCATTTCACTGTAGACACGTGCCTCCAGCAAGTCACAAACCGATGCAAGCAAGTAAATGTCGACCCTGAGCGTCACGCGCCCAGTTGCTGATTTCCAGCCAGCCTGCCCACTGGGCTTCCTGCCAATGGACTCTCTGTCGGTCGTGATTTCATATTCCCGTGCGAGAATGGGTATCGGGGGCAGAGCTTGACGAGCAAACGTAGGAAGGCGAAGCGTTTGTGGAGGTCCGAGAATGAAAGAGGCTAGCCGAACAAAGACAACAAGTATAAAGAAAGAACATACCAATGCATGAAGCGCACTAGAGTAAAGAGCATCAGACTTGTCTCATAAGCCAGCGGTAATCAAATTTGCTGCAAGTTTCAACTTGGCGCGCATTTAATATTCTATAGTCCGAAAGTGTCGGGCCAACTTTAAACCCCATTTTTCGCACAATTTAGCGACGGCCTCTAATGAAAATTAATATAACCGCAATGAAAATTAACGTGACCCTTGCACAATTAATTTTCATTAGAGGCTGTCGCTAAATTGTGCGAAAAATGGGGTTTAAAGTTGGCCCGACACTTTCGGACTATAGAATATTAAATGCGCGCCAAGTTGAAACTTGCAGCAAATTTGATTACCGCTGGCTTATGAGACAAGTCTGATGCTCTTTACTCTAGTGCGCTTCATGCATTGGTATGTTCTTTCTTTATACTTGTTGTCTTTGTTCGGCTAGCCTCTTTCATTCTCGGACCTCCACAAACGCTTCGCCTTCCTACGTTTGCTCGTCAAGCTCTGCCCCCGATACCCATTCTCGCACGGGAATATGAAATCACGACCGACAGAGAGTCCATTGGCAGGAAGCCCAGTGGGCAGGCTGGCTGGAAATCAGCAACTGGGCGCGTGACGCTCAGGGTCGACATTTACTTGCTTGCATCGGTTTGTGACTTGCTGGAGGCACGTGTCTACAGTGAAATGGAAATTAACGCCATGGATGCAACCTCTTCCTCTGTACCATCCCTTCATTCCCTATAATATTTCACATCATTGTGCACATTACGTTCCCCCCGCTCTGACAGACGCCGCCTCTCGACTCGCGGAGACGATATTCCTCAGAGAACCAATACCAAGTCTCCGGAACCAAGCCTAGTGCCATGGCTGAGGTCAAAGAAATCGATAGCATGGCCCTCCGCGCCCTGCTCCACACACTACCGCCAGAGCTCTACAATGAAATCTATAATCTCACGTTTACGGCCGAGAAGAGAATCCATCTGCTCACTCGCAACACTGGAAGCACAAAAGAAAACCTGCAAGAACTCTTACAAGGCTACAATTTCGCAACTCTCAATGCGAAACTTCCACATCTTTTCCAGGTCGACAGAGCGAGTAGGATACAGTTCGCGGACTCGTATTTCGCCACTTCCGGCTCTATCTTCGTCCTATACCCAGCCCCGAGAGACGAAACGAGCATTTACTCTTTCTCCAGGAAATATTTTCGCCGGATGTCAACTACGTACCTGGCTATCTATCCACACAGTGGTCCACTTACCGAGTCATCATCGCTGAAGTTGGGCCCAAAGCCGGAAGAGGGCTTACGGCCCATAGATGGTCGTATCGTGGTCTGTGGGAAGCAAGATGTCGTGAGATTGATTAAGGAGCATGCTGATGCTCGCAAGGCTGAAGAGAAAAGCGATCCAGAGACCGGGAATGCGGAGGGGTGAACGGCAACGAGGATGTATACTAGAACACATGGCTCTCGCCTGTCCCGAAGCACTATTCACTCGTGGGTGTCATAACTCATGACACTTTCTCCAACAGTTCACTACCTACTCTATAGCTCTTCACCCTTAGTACACAGCTTTGATGAATATTTCCGCGCTCGACTTCAGCAGACGGTCGTGCCAGCCATCACTCTACCATTATCACTCTTTCCAAACCACGAGTAAGACAATTACTGCAACTTGCGAACCATGGCCACCATTGAAGACATCGACAGCCCGATCCTCCGTGATCTCCTCGAAAGCTTGCCGCAAGAGCTTTATGACTACATCTACAAGTTCACCTTTACCGCTGGTAGAAAGCTACATGTGTACACCGACAAGAAGGCACAAATTGACATCACACTCGCGAAGCTGGTGCTGAAGCTCGAATGCCCGACAATAACTCTGAACGAGCGGTTCCCCCATCTTCTACACGTCGATCGGGCCAGCATAAAACTCTTCGCCACTTCTTAATTCGGTACTTCGGGTTCGATCTTCATTACACCTGCCGCCAAGAGTGCGGCTATCAGGCGCTCGACGATCAGCCCCGAACACTTCGACCTGATTCAAAAGATCCATGTGCCTGTCGCTTCGTCCGACTTGCAATTGTTCATACAGCAAAGAATGGACGAGGACGACTTTCTTGCTCCGTACAGGGAGCAAGCTGTGATTTGTCTGCTGGAAGATGCTGTGCAGCTGATCGACGCACATGCTAAGCTTCACAAGAGGACGGGCACGGAGGCGGGAGAGGCGGGCATGGACGTTATTGGTGAGACTGAGAGCGAGACAAATGGTGCTGAAACCGTTGGCGGAGGTCTGTGACGTCTCGGCTGTTCTTCAGGAATTTTCTGATATCAGCAGACCAGCAGCGCTGCTTGATCGTTTCGCATACCGTGGAGGAAGGAGAGCGCTTGAAAAGGAAGCAAATGGTGCCGCTTATGAAGAGGCAGTAGGTATGACGGGAAGGACCAAAGCTTGAATCGATGTTGTCGGCGATCCATGCTATGATTCTTATTTAGCCCAAGTGCAGCCGTCGGTACATAATGGAAGTTGGCATAGAATGTATAGTTTTGATGATGGAGTAAGAGTCTGTAACTCGCAGGGGATGACATGTACGGTTGTCACTCTAGGCTCGAATATCATCAGACCATCATTGAAGGCAAGCCCCTCAAATTTCCGCTCATCGCACATCCACCACTCCCATTCTCTTCTTCTTCACCGAATACCACAATCCACCGTTCAAACACCACTCCAAAGGCGCCACCACATACGATCTTGTGATCTCATGTGCGATGTGTGGTGTTCCGCCCCCGCGCATATGTAGGAAGACTTGTGCGAAGTCTTTTGTCAAAAGAATTGCTAAACAGCTGAGGATCTTGAGCCGATCAAGGGATCTTCACCAGCTGGCATGCGGTCTGAACGTCTCATGGCAAATTGTGTGCCCGTTTGTGTGTCTCAAATTTCATTGTCGTGGTGAGACAGAGTTTTGCTTGGTCTATGAGCCACCTGGCCTTTACCATCATTTCGCAACTCTACTTTCCCACACTTCTGACCACTTTCATCACCCTTGCGACTTATGGGTGCTCTATGTTGCCGCTTGGCAGCCGTTCACCCGATCATCTTTCGTTCACCACATGCATCGTATGAGAAGCTCGATCTACGAATCTCTCCTTGCGCCATCAAACCATCACGCATCATTTCTGGTCGACAGGACAAAGCCCCTTTACCAGAGAACAACACACAGAAAGGCTTTGTCGGCATTGCGCCACACGACGAGACAAAGCACCCCAAGCACTTTTGCAAAGGGCGCGTTTCCACTAGCGTGCCCAAAAACAAGGGCATTATGCGAGGCAATAGCACGCTCGAAGAGAACGTGATATATCAGCATGAGCAAACTTATGCGCACATCCTCGCACGAATCATCGAAAACAAAAACATGACTGCCAATCAAGAAATTGCCGAAGCCACCAGTGTGGCCACGATGCGTAGTCGTCTCCAGGACCTCCCACAAGAACTCTACAATGAGATCTACGACTTTACCTTTACCGCCGACGCCAAGATCCGGGTCTCCATCTCGCTCGACTCGACCATGCCGTCGGCGGAATGGATCGCCAAACGATACCCAAGCCACCTTGTTGGCGTCAATGAGCAACTTCCAGACCTATCTCGCGTTGATCGACACAGCCGCCAGAAATTCTTGAAATCCTACTTCGGCAATCCAGACTCCATGTTCGTTGTATGTGGCTTCAAAGAGATACAGAACTGGGCTCTGCTTATGGACCCAGAAATGCTTGCGCTTCTTCCAAAGATTTACTATCTTGGCTTCTTGACCGAGGGTCTGCGCGAGATTCTGCGGCAGCGTATCGACATAGAATTTGCGAATAAGGTGGAGAGCATCAGCCATCTGCGCTTTCGAGAAGTTTTGGATGCTCGGGTCAAAAAGCACGAGGAGAGATCCGTTGCAGGCCAGCTTGGCGCTTCTGCCGTCCCTCGGCAAGCATTCGCTGGAGACGAGTATGGAAGGGAGACTTTCAATGTCAGAGGCGCCCCTCTGCGCCGCAATGGTAGACTGGTTCATCCGAACCCGAGAGCGCCCTCACTTCGAGCCAGAAGAGCACTGCGCGATATCATCTTTCCTAGAGGGAGGCACGGAGGAAGCGACCCAAGACGCTGAAGTTCAATTGAATGGCAGGATTGGCGATAATTACTAGGCTATGGTTCGTTTTCTGCACCAGAGAGGTCTGAGAGACACTGCAGAGACTATGAGCGCAAGCGGTGCTCGGTGACAGGTAGAGTCATGACGAGATGGCTTGCAGAAGATGAATTAATTATGAGTACGGTTCAGATGTGAGAGCTCAGGCCCTTTGCTCATCTCGACGTCCTCCTATAAGCGATTCCAAGAGACCCGGGAGCCCCAAACTCTTTCAACAACGCCAATGGTCAAATTCCCCGTCTCAGATTGCATTCCCAATACTATATAGTATATACCTGGTAGGGTTTTGTGAAAGGCAGTGAATCGTGCTGCTCACAAGAGTCACGTGGGTAGCTGCCGGTCTCTTCCTCTTTTTGTTGTCTTCAACACAACTGCCACTCAAAGTACGCGACGAGAGTGCGACATCTCCGTAACAACACACAAGCTCTGACTCCTCATCCCAAACCACGACATGATGGCAGATGTACAAGCCGACAGCCTCGCGCTACGCGAACGACTCGAAAGCCTTCCCCAAGAGCTATACGACTACATATACAAGCTGACCTTCACCGCCGATTCTCGAGTCAGATGCCTTGCCCGAAAGAATCAACCGGAATGCGCGAGCTCGTTCTACACCCGATTCAGCTCACCCGATATCTCCTCGACGACCTTCGATGTGAAACCGTACCCGCGAGATCCCCTCTTCTCTGTCAGCCGAGTTAGCAGGAACCTCTATGCTGCGTCATACTTCAACCAGGTTGCCGTTGTATCATCCGCTGAAGACTTATTCGACACTGATCGCCTGGGAGAATTGCACGCGTTTCTCAACGTCCTGCCTGCTGAATACCTTCCGATGATTTCCACATTGCGACTTCATATCAAGAGACATCCTGATTGTGCTCAAAACCGATACCATCAACTTCTTTGCCCGGAAGATAAGGAGGAGGCGAGAGAGCGCTGGGGCTCAGAGGTTGCGGACAAACTCGTGTGGATTTTTCTGGGCGGCAAAGAGGTAGGATCATTAACTCTAACTGATGTTGCGTAGCCGCTGACATGTTTCTCTGACAGGTGTATTATTGACTGGACGCGAAAAAAGTACAAGAGAATGCTCAGGAGCTTTTCGATCTTTCCAGAGACCCTTAACGTCGTTGCATTCCCAGAGAAGAACAGAGCTACTCAGCACCTGCATGGAAGAGACACATTGGAGAACACGGATGTCCCAGGAGCATTGTGTTCATCACATAGGCTCATGGCACCTTCGAAGCTTTCCGCGGACGTCGGTGCATCCGCGGGCAGTCAAGATACAGATTTCTTCCTCGAGATGTGTGAGGAATGTAGATGCCTAGAGCGTTACAGACGGAAGCACGCAGGCTTAGGCAGCAGCAGCACTCCATAGTGGCTCAAAATATGCCCCAGGCATGTGCCATTATCCCTTGCTTGGCCTGGTCATCTTATTTAACAAGTCAAAAGAAGGCTTTCCTCATCAGAACTGTACTACTGTGAGCATGTAGAAACCGTCACATATCTTCCAACTCTAGGAGATCTTCTTCGCTGGGACTGCAGGCGCCTCAGTATGGCGCAAGAATCCCTCTTACTGCGTCGAAAGCTCCAACAACTGCCGCAGGAGCTCTACGACGACATTTACAATCTCACCTTCACCCCTGACTCCAAAATCCGATGCTTTGGGCACCCGAAGGACCGTCCTGATGCTGCCATGAAAGTCGCAGATCACTTCAGTTTGCACCTCACGTACCAATCTGCAGAAGTATACGACGTTACGCCGTTTTCGCGCGACAGCCTCTTTTATGTGAGTCGAGCGAGTAGACGTCAGTACGCCGCGTCTTTCTTCCAGTCCGTTATCATAAACGGAGTTGCTCATCTGAGCCCGTTTCTTGAGATACTGGATCCCGAGCATCGCCTATTGATTGGAAAACTACAAGTGGGCTGGGGTGGGCCTCTCAAAAGAACTGAAGAGCACTTGCGCCGCCTCAGAGCATGGAGGAAATGGAAGATCAGACAGCGCTGGGGCTACCAGATTACGGATAAGATCGTTTTCAATACGCTTGGGCATGAGGTATGTTTCTCGATCAGGCTTAATTATGAGACAGACTGACAAATCGTAATTTGCAGTTCACTGTCTGACACTTGGAACTGGGTGTTCGTTTCCTGGACTCAGATAGGGACCGCAGTGCATACTCGCCGTCTGAAAGAGTGCGAAACGGGCGAACAGTACGCCCTCAAAGCGATCGCATCAGAGGCTCTTCTGTCCCCGAGATCATCGAAGGCTCTCAGTTGGCTTACACGGCCTCGAGCGTGCATGTGCCGCAGGAAACTGGGTGTTTGGGAGACAGCAGTTCTTCTGCTGGCCATGTGCGCAGGGGGATCGTGCAAACATACAATTCGTGGACAGAACGTTGGAATGGGACAGTTGGTGGTGTCATGTGAGAGCTGAAAAGTGTCTTGCCGGGCTGTGCAGCGAAGCTTAGCTTATGCAGGGCAGTGCATGTGAAGTGGGAATGAAGCAGCGCTTGTGGTGGTTGCCTTCCATTCACTTCTCTCAAAACTCGTTCATCATTGTCGCTTGACCCTACCTTCCGTGCCTAACCCTTCTTTGTCCAACAACCATTAAGGAACATGGCCGGAAATCGAGCTCCATGGCCTCCAACACGATCTCGCACACTGTCCAGGCGAAGAGTGATGAGGCGACGGACAGCAGCGATGGCACCATTTCCCTCCGTAATAGCCTCGAGGGACTTCGGCAAGAACTGTACGACGAGATCTACCGGTTGACCTTCACTGCCGATGCAAAGGTTCGAGTCTACACTGACGAGCCGACGAACCTGCGCTATGCCATCGCCATGGAATACGCCCCTCATCCGATTTACGGACCTGGAGCCCCTCAACACAAGCACATGACCCGCGACGAACGTCCTCCTGCAAACCTTATGGCTGTGAGCCGTCGCAGTCGATTGCAATTCGCCAAATCCTTCTTTGGCCAGGATTCCATTATCGTCCTTTGTGGAGAGTACGGGGTCCGCGAGCTATACAAGTTCATTGCACCTGAGCATATGCCGCTATTGCGACTTTACGTTAGCGAGATCTTCGGCACCGACAACGGTGAAAAGTGGACGAGGATGACCTTGCACTACATACATCCATCTCCTCCTCCGGAGAGGATATTTCTTTCCGGCTTGGAGAAAGTAAGATGGCGAAAACCCATTGTCAACTACTTTAGTAAAGCACTGCTAACACAGAACTAGGCTGTGAAGCTCGAGTTCGGGTTCGAGACAAATGATCCCTGTTCATCGAACTACCCAAAACCAGCTTGAGAGGTGGTTGTGATAGAGTGGATCCAGTGGCGTCTGCATGCGCGCGTACGAATGGAACAAACAAGTACGGTTCGAAGGGTTACACCGGACAGAGCAGAGTTTAATACCACCTTCGGTATTCGTCGAGTCGCTCAGGAGGAAAACACTAATCGGGGCGGCGATGTGGTGCTGCAGTTGCGTGATGGTGCATGAGACGTTGAGCGAATGATGCGCACGGACAGTAGTGGGCTACCAAGATCAGCCAATGCATAGGGCTGCGCGTAAAGTCGGAAGTGAAGCGGGTGAACGTTGCGTTTAAGCTTCAGATTTGCCTCCTTCACCACTTCCTCGAATTTGTGCACCTGACATCAAACCGTTTCCTCTCTCCTATACTCCATCAACCTCCATCGCCATCTGGCCACGCGGCCGAGCATCCGACTCAATGGCTCCCAGAACAATGCCGCGGCGATGGGCGCCGACACTCCTCACCAAAATGCATTCCGATCATGTGCCGCTACTACGAGTCTACGTCAGGAACGCGATGGGCGACGAGGCCGATAAGGCACATGCGAAGCGAATCTGGTCGCATCTAGAAGGATGCTATCCGTATCATCGTCCTCCAGCAGTGCATTTCTCAGGTCTGGAGTGAGAGGAGGCGAGAGGAAGAGCATGCACAGAAGGATGGGCTATGGCAGCCTGTGGATCGCACCATCGGCTCTGTGAGGCCGCAACCTGTCTCCTCCTCAGCCCGACTTGGCTTGTCGCGTGTGGCTTGACGCGACGCCTTCGGAAAAAGGGTGTCGGTAGGTGTGGAAGGAAGGTAGTGGTAAGGTGGAAGGTAAGGTAGTGTGCGACTACCATATGTAAATGCAGAGGTGGAAGTGGAAGTGACACCGGAACCGGCAAACCTTTTTTCAGAAGGAGCCTGAGAAGGAGGCAGCAACAAACGGTCATGCAGATCGTGCATGAGAACCGCATGAATTATGCCCCACCTTCTGCCTTCACTTGCGCCAGCTTCACGAGTTCAACTCGCTTTCTCCGCCCGCCGCGCGACCTTTTACTCCCCCCACAACACCACCCACCGAGGCAGTGTTACCGCACAAGACACCACGCCGCCCCGCGCACTAGCGTCGAGAACGACGCCAACGAATGCCATGTGCCCGCAGACCACGCCGCCGATGAACGAGGTGAAGAGCGCAGGAAGTTACACCACCACCACCGAAGAAGACACTGCCGCCCTCCGTGATCATCGGGAGAACGTACCACAAGAGCTATACGACATGATCTATGACATGACTTTCACGGCGGAACCAGAGGTTCGCGTGATCTACCCCGAAAATGTACGGCCAGTAGGAGATCAGGACCCAACCGGCAAACTCAAACCCGGACGCTCGATACACGTAAGTCGCAATAAAGCATTCTCGCATCTCTTGCATGTCGATCGGAGGACTCGTGCCAGATATGCTCAGTCACACTTCGGACAATGGTCTCTCATTATTGTGTTCGGGATCGTCATGCTTGACCGGCTGGTGAAGGCAATGGACAAGAGACATGTGCTGTGGATGCGGTTGTACTTGAGAGACGAATCAGGAGGGTATGATGGAGAATACCAGGACCTCATCACACGACACGAGTCGAGCTTTGATTGTGTTCGACCATACGTGAGGTGTAGAGGCCTGGAAGAGGTGAGTTGATAGGCTTTGTGGTCAGATCTAGACATGGGAGAAAGTTGACAAAGGAGAACAGATTCTGAAGCGCGACTTTGGTGGGCAGTAGACATCTGCCTGCATTGTACTGCAGCTTTTGAGGTGAGCGGTATGGCATCCTACGTGTACTCTGCGCTACTCGCGGTTGACAAGGAGATTGACGCAGAAGCCAGATCGGTCGCCACTGAACAGAGATGCGAGGTGAATGAGGCAGCACGTGCCAATCGCCGTTCACTTCCTTCACCTTTGTCTCCAAGTCAAAATGACGATTGGTATTCGTTCATCCCCCAGCATTGAAGATTCCCACACTCCCAACTCAGTCACAGCACAGTAACTCCATGTCACCCAGCATCATGTCGCCAACGAACCAAGCGAAGCACGAAGGAGAAGACACCACAGCTCTGCGCGAGCGACTCGAGGGCCTACCACAAGAGTTGTACAACGAGATTTACAACTGGACCTTCACCGCCGCCTCCAAAATCCGCTTTTTCTACGAGCTCCGCTTTCGCGAAGAAGAACCTTCGATCGAAGGTGCCGACTCCTCTATCGAAACGCGTATCGTCCGCAATCGACTGTTCTCTCACCTGATGCACGTCGACCGGGCAAGCCGAACGCAGTTCGCAAAATCCCATTTCGGCCAAGGAAGCATTCTGGTAACATTTGGCTGGAACGACCTTATTGAAGTCCTCCGCGCTGTGCAAGAAGATCATCTGCCTCTGCTGCGGCTGTACGTCAGGGGAGAGCGATGTGATGAGCTCGATTCGTATCGTCAGCAATTGTTTACGCTTCGGTGTCAGCTGCGGGGCTTTGACACTGTTGAGCAAATACTGGTATTCTCGGGTCTGGAAAAGGTGAGTTCAGGGACAGCAACGTGGAAACATCACTGAATTGACACTGAAGTATAGGTTCTGAAGGATGAGTTCGATGGAAAGTAAGATCATATCAGACTACTAGTGCTGCAGCTCGCAGAATGCTCGCAGTCATTTTGAGCTCGTTGCACATACTTTTTGAGACTAGGGACACAGAAGAAAAGCACCAGGAACTTCTTCAATACCGCCAGATCGCATAGCAGGAAATGCTGGCTGTTGTCACTAGCGTATCTGATAAAAATTGTGCCGAAGTGAATAGCGCTTCATCACTCGCGAGGTCTCATTCACTTTGGACAGCTTCATTCTCTACTTATGATAAAGTAACAGGCCTTTACCATACGGTCCCATCTCACTGACCCTCACAGCCCGAGGAACTTGCAAGTAGTACAGCTACCAAAATGTCGCCAAACAAACCCACGACCATGTCTACATCAAAACCTTCAAGAGCTTCAACACCCAACAGCACTCCAAACACTCCCACTTTTCACGATCGTGTACAGTCCCTCCCTCAAGAACTCTACGACGAAGTTTACTCCCTCACCTTCACCGCCAGCCCCTCAATCCACGTCTTCCACCTCTCCTACCTCTTCTCCACACCCCTCGCCAGCACGCTCAGTCCTTACTCCCAAAACCACATAACCACGAACAACGCCTTTCCTAATCTCCTCCACGTCGACCGTCACAGCAGGAACAAGTATGCCAAATCATTCTACGGCGACCAGAAGTCAATTTTCATCGTCTGCAGTACTATCATGCTCGAGAGTGTGATCGGCACGATGGATAGACAGCATGTAGAGATTTTGAAGAATGGGAACGGGAGGATTTTTCTGAGGGATGTGATGGGTGAAGAGTATGATGAGGGTACGAGGAGGGATGTTGAGGGGATGACGCATGGAGTTTATGGGGAGGTGGAGGTGGTGTTGGAAGGGTTGGAAGAGGTAAGCTCTAACGTATAGTGCGGGTAACGGGTTGAGAGGGAATAGCTAACTGATATCGACAGGCACTAGAGGAGGATTTCAGACAGTAGTCAGTTGTGTGAGACCTTTTTCTTCGTGGCGGTTTTGTGGAAGATGATGTTTGGCGATGCCGGTAATTACTTCTCGGCGAACTGAGTCTTGACGGCGGCGTAATTCTAATATTACTGACCTTGGAAGATGGCGATGAATTGGAGCTGTGCGGCAGTGAACTAGCACGACAGCGATTGGAAAGCTGAGCAGCGCAAGCAATAGAAGCTGCAACGGTCTGTCAGCTGCAGTTTTATCAATGAGAGTCCGAACCAGAGCAGATGTTCTCAGCGCACAAAGAAACGGATAAAAGTTCAACGCTACTTCCACCCCATCTGTAACATCTACTTGTAACAAAATCTCTTCGATAATCTAGGTCCTCAATGTCACGAAGGTTGAGCTGTGACGACCTGTACCCAGTACCTCTCCACGACTGGGCATACATTTACTTCTTCCTCAGCACCACAAGTCGTGCCCGCACATTGAAAGCCTTCCTATAATCCGCCAATTCTGTGCTCAGAACATCCACCTGCCCCTCCTTTTCCAACCTCTCTACCTCAGCCTTAAACCCCTGCGGAATCCAAATATCATCAATAATCGTCACAGCCATAACCCCACCCTTCTTCAACACCCTCGTCAATTCCGACAGACCAGGTACAGGCCCGACGTGTCCGAGTGTGAAAGTTCCAACACAAGTCACAACATCATATTTATCGCTGGGCAAATCAATAGCCTTCGACATATCCACAGCCTTCAACTCCCTAAAAACCTTCGTCCGTTCCGCAACCCTCAACATCCCCTCGGACAAATCAATCCCATCAATAGTTCTCGCTCCAGCCTGATGTAAAGCCACAGCGCAAAGTCCCGTCCCCGTTCCAGCATCGAGACATTCGCCTTCGAGGTTTCCGCCGTGAGATTTGACTGCTGCGGCTGTGAGCATGGGTCCGACGTAGGCCTGTCCGGTGAGGACGTCGTCGTCGTAGGTTTCGGCCCATTCTTCGTAGAGGGCTTTGCATTCGGCTTCGGTGCCGGTTTTGAGTTTGTAGGCGGCTTCGAGGAAGCGGTTGTTGCCGGGGTCGGTGGCGATGGCGGCCATTTTTGTGAGCGTGAACAGGGTTGAGAGATTTGGTAGAGAAAGTGTGTGAGAGGTTTGGTAGAGAGCTGAGAAATTGAGAAAAATGCTCAGAAAGGTGTGTCTGTGGAAAAATGAAAATTGGAATTGTTCCCAGCGAACATGCTGCCTATATGACCTACCTCCCTCAAGCATTGAATACCCCTCATCCATCATCCCGATCCGCAGCGGATAGCGTCAGTCGCGGACTATGGATACTCCCGGACGTCAAAGCCCCATACGTAGTGTCCTGTTGGCGTGTGGAGTTGAGTCGACTAGCCTGGGAAGCATGTTGATGCTAGCTTATTGCGGGTGGATTCGGTGGGGCATTGTCAAGCTCGAGGGGTGTCAGATTGCTGGGACCCTAACGTCTGCACATGAAAGCTGTGTGCGTCTGAACTTCGAGCACGCCATACCAGATGGCGAGGTCTCCGAGGACAATTTGCGACGAGGCTTGGCGAGAATGACAGATTTTTCGAGCTGCTGAGATGCTGTGAGCCGAGCTTCCAGAGCTTCGCCCCCATAACAGCTTTGCCAGCTGCGCAAGCGAGCTTGGTTGAGCGGACCTCGCACATGCAGTACTTGCAACGCCCAGCTGCACGTAATTAGACGCTTGTGGAGGAAGCGAGTCATTGTCCCGTCCGATGGCTGTTTCTGTGCGCAGCCGGCAATTGGAATCGCAGCTGACACTTGTCGTTGTGGAATGGCGGCTCCGACGTAAGACAGCAGAGGAGGCTCTTATTCGCGCAGATGCATGATGATCGGGCGACCCTGGAAGTGCGAGCGTCCGGGAAGAGCTCATCGAGCGACGGCGGCGGACTTGTCCAGCAATTCATCCGTTCTTCCTCCCAGGCGTGTCGGGCTGGGAAGCGGCATTAGAACATGGTCGGGTCGATGAACAGTCCGGAGCGACACATGGAACCGACCTTGAAGTGTTTCTGCTTGACCTTGTTGCCCGTGTTTTCCAGCACCCAGCGTGCTTTGTTGTTGGCCCGATCCTCCGACGTCTTGGCCTTGCGCTGCGTCACCGCCAAGGCGCGTTTCTGGAGGTCGGAGAGGCCAACAACTCCCAGCTCATCACGACGGGCGAGCGCTCGCCTTTTATGATCAGAGGCAGAGGAGGGGGTGAGGTCGGAATAAGATGTGGAAAGTCGGTGCGATGATGCTGGTATGAGCGCTAGTGCACATGACTCTGGATTCGAATGCCTTTTCGGGAAATTTAGTACGGAGCCGCGACCAGCGTGTCTGTTGGAGATGATCTGGCCTGAGGCTAGTCGAAAGTCGTCTACTGTCGATGGTATGGCGTGCGCAGAGTTGAAGTGAGTCGCGACTTCGCTTTCCACATTCCAGAAATCCAAGTATTCCGAGTCTTTGGAAAGGTCGAGTTGACAATGACCTTTGTCTAACATGTGTGCTTGCACGGCTTCCTTGGAATGCTTCTCGTTGCCGCAGTAGAGGCAAGAGTGGTAGGTCTCGATAACGAGGGTGAGATATGTGATGAAAGTGTCCATGTCTGTTGCCAGGTCATCCGCGTTGGGGACGGAGAAGCTGTGTGCTTGGTGCATGTGATCGAGGTTCTCCTGAAGATTGTCGAAGCGCTTATTGCAGAAGAGACAGTCGGACTCGTCCTCATCTGCGTCGTCGGTTGTCGCATCGCTTCCAGAGCTCGACTGCGTCGTTGCTTCTGCTGGTAACGTGGAGGCTGAGGGCGCAAGAGTTTCGACGGCAGAAGCACCGGACCTCGCAGAAGAGGAAGAATCGGCCTCTTCACTGTGGTGAGATGGCTCGACTACTTCGTTTTGGTAGAACTCAAGTGGAACAGAAGGCAATGCATCCACTCTTCTTTTGACGTTGTGTACACTGGACAAATCAGCACCGGCCAAGAGACGAACAAGGAGCAAACGTACTGCCATGTACTCCGCATATGCTCTCTGCGCTCCATGGAGCTATCAAAGCTTGTGGCACATGTGCTGCAGAGAAGTGTGTTGGCCTCCATTCTTGAGGAAATCGACTTGTTCTGAGGACTATAGGTGAATGGGCTTTGCGAGAGAGCTGGAAAGAAGTCTTGCGGTCTGGAGAACCACTGATGAATGTGCTCTAGCTGCCAAACCAAAATGAAGTGAAGTGTCGGTGTTGTCAATGGCGACTGCCTTGCATTATATCTCTTCAGCCGTGCCTCAGGAAGGAATGTCTTGGCGTCGACTCATCCTCTCTCATCCTGTGGCGATGCTGTAGAGTCGCCAACATTCGTCTATCCTCTGGTTTGTTCATCAATACCGCGTCAAAATGTCATTCGTGTCTCCGCAAGTGCACGAAGTCTGCAGGGGAATGTGTTCCTGAGTCATACGAAGACTCTCTGGCCAAGTTCCATTTTCCACTGGAAATCATGGCCTTCAGCCATCCGTCGCGAAGAAGTCTCTGCATTCAAGAAAGGCCAGTTCAAAATCGTTCAAAATCTTTTCGGAGACATTGACTCGGTCGGTGAGCTTTCAGGCGTAGGAAACCGGCGGTGAAGCATCTGATGGCGACGCGACGGCGAGGGATTTGAAATGGTATGCTTGGCATCGGGGAATCTTTCCACCGAAGTCCTGACAGCATTGGCTCATGTGCCTCATCAAAACAATCACTCTTTCACCACATCTTCTTCCTTACTCCGCGGGCTGGAGGCACTGCGGCAAGCCCATCCATCGAGAGCGCGGCAAAGGATGTGCTGCTAGTATTCCATCTCGAGTCAAGCAGTGTTCTGTACCATCCACGGCCTTGCCAATATGGACTGCTTTCAGCGCCCAGGGGACGACTGAAACAGCCAACAAAGACTCTCTTCCCTGTCCAGAGGCAGTTTTCCATGGCTAGACACTCCATGGGCAATGGAACAATCAAGGAGACCACGGCTGACGCCACTTTGCTTCCCACTTCAGGTCAATAATCAGCGACGGTGATGGTCACTACGCACGCAATGAGATCTTGAGCCGCAGCCCCCGACTCTGCATTTCGATCGTGACACAAGCAGCGTGATTTAACCTCAATCGTTGCAGTCGTGAAAAGAATACTGGCATGACCACCGCACAAACGCACTGGAATTGTTTGCCACCAAGCTCTACGTGACTATAGCAGCCTTGGAAGACGATCACAAGTCAGAACAGCCCGTATGAGCTCTGCTGCTGAGCCTTCAATATGATCGATGCCCATGCGTCCTTGACGTTCGTCGAAGCTTTTATACTGAGCTTTCATCGTGTTCCGTCCTGCATCTGTACCTGCATGCCTACATATTCTCGAAGCTTTTACTACTGACCCCTGCATCAGTGTCCTGCTCATTGAGATGGCTCACCCACTGCTCATTCCAGTTCTCCTCTTTCATCTATGCTGCTTCACTGACTGGATCGGTATAGCATCAGCACTGCCCACCTTGGCCAGCTCATCTCATGCTCCTCTGCCTGATGCCTCTGCCACGCTAGGCCGGCAGCTGCACAATGATGCCCACAGCACGAACGTCACTTTCGGAAGCATGTCTCTCCTGGCGCGCGTTGATACCCAGACGAAACATAAGACACTGGAGGACTACTTTGATGACGAGTTCAAGCCAGATGCTCCCGGTAGCTGCCACCGCTGGGAGAACAAAGTCCCAGAGGCTTGGGAAGAAACCGTCCAAATGCTTCGAGTGGCGACCGGCAAAGCGACGATGCTGAAGTCCTCAATGCCTGCGCCTGCGATGGCTGAGAGATGGGAAGAGTGGATTCGTGCGGAGCAGACGTTTCGAGCTTTGTTAGCCCTTCATGCCCAGCAACAATGGGAAGTAGCTAATTTCTACAGATTCGGCAAGCCTCACTCAAAGCTCAAGAATCAGCCTGGCACACCATTGGGCGATAGAACCATGGCAGAGATCATCGAAGGTCGGTGTCCGACCGGAAATCGACTTCCTCGTGTATTACTAAACATGGATAGATCGAATCGGCGGCGTGCTCTCCGCTCAACTCGAACTCCCCCAGAAGCCTTATTTGCGTTGTGACTCAGATTACTTTCTGTACGTCAGGGGCGACCATATAGATCCTCGGGATACGGGTACATCAGCAGAAGATAAGCACACAATCGCGAGACGTGAGTATCGGCACTGTGGCATTAGTGAACTGAACACTAACTGGCGCAGCGAGTGAAAGTCACATTCCGTGTCCAAACGGGGCCTGGATCCTGCAGGGTTTTGCGAAAAAAGACAGCTTCTACTCCTGTCAGGTACATTCTGTTGAACCAGGTGAGAAACTGGTCAGGAGAGATGTCTGCATGAGCGATCCCAAGCTCGGCAAGAACCTAGCGCAAAGTTTTTGGTTCGAGTATACCATTCCATCTGATCCCTGGAATTGGAATTCTAAACGGAGGATAGTGACCTGGTGTCCTGAGGCATTGAACAGAGAGAGCTGGTCGGCCGCTGCTGGGGCGCATAGTATCAAGGAGGGCGATCGGCTTGGTCATTCAATGGCTCTGACCTGGGTGCACGAGATGTATCATTACGTCCAACGCTGTAAGAACCTTGTATACGCCAATCATAGGCACCCAATACTGACATTCGTCTCAGGGCTTGATGGACCCGCACTCAAATCCGATGGCAGCCTGTGGGCGGGAAAACAAACGTATGGCTGGAACAAGGCCGTAAATCTCGGTCAACACAGGCCAGAGCGCGCAATTGTTTCTCCCGAGAACATGGACCTGTTCGCCGCGGCAATGTACTTCAAAGAGTGGCACTGGGGGAGTGGGTTGGCAAAGAAATGCCCGGAAGAGGATGACTTTGATCCTGTTAGTAGAGAAAGACGAGAGATTATGTGACGAACACATTTGCTAATCCCCACCAGATCAAAGTATATCCACCGGACCCGACCCCGCCTGAAGTCACGAACGATTCCGATCAATCATCGGAATCGGATACCGGGTCCAGCGACTCGCATCACTCCGGTGACGAGTCGAACACGTTGCAACCCAATTCCCCGGCAAGAAGAAATGCTGTGCCGCAGCACAAGAGAAGAAACCAGGAACCCCAGGACGATGGTAACTCTGATTCTACTATCGACGCTGAGCAAGCGAGTAGGGAAACTTCGGCAAATGATGACGACGCTACTGCAGAGGTATCCAAAGAGGGACTACCCCTGAAGCGAGAAGATGAATATGCCTCGCGCGAACTCGAGAACTTTTTCCGCGTAGACTTTCACAAACGCGTCGCTTCCTGGGTCCTGCAAGAGCCATGAGACCAAGTTGAAGTCTGCGTGGGCAGACATCCTTGACATCCTTAGCATTGCTAAACAGAAGGCGGAGCTTTTGGCGGCAACGAAATCGTCGAACCCAGAGGAGATAAGAGAACAGCTGAGGCTGAAGCAAATTTTCCGAGCACTGTGAGTGGCTTTCCAATTGCTCTACGCCATACAGTGCTATCACTAACTGGGTCTAGTTTTGGAGACTCAAGTCCTACTCTCTTAGCAGGTAACACTTAGGCTGGGTTTGCATCTTGATAAGAGTCGAGCTCCTTACTGACAAAGTACAGAAAACTATCAGTACCTCTTGGTGTACGGTATCGAGAGCCAGATATACCTACAATGCGGCGACAACGCTCTCGTCTATTTGAAAGCCACGTCTGTGGACCCAAGGGACGCTGGAACGCCCAATGAAGGAAAATACACTCTCGCGAAATGTCGGTCATTGATTGGAAGCTCGCAGAGGCACTTTTGCTGACATCATTCCCAGCATTATCTCCCAACGAGCCATGTCCTCATGGCGCTTGGTTCTTCGCTGGACTTGAAAAGGCAAAAAGCTTTTATGAATGTCAACATACGCCACTTCCAGGTAGATACACCTTCCGCCACGCCGGGTGGTGTCCTGGTCGGCAAACCTATGGTCAAGTGGTCGAAACGCCTACGAAAACTGTCCTGGGCTTCTGTAACAGCATTCTCTCCAGCGACACATGGTCGGTGAAAGAAGAGTCCACCAATATTAAAGAGGGCCAGGACTTCCATTTCGACAAGTACCTCCAGTCAACCTGGATCCACGAGATGTTCCACTATATCGAGAAATGTAAGCAGCTGCATGTTCAACCTCTTCGATCTCCAATGGCTAATCAAACCCACAGTTATCGACGAACCATCTGTTGACGACACAGGAAAACCCCAAGGTGAGGCTCCATACGACAGCAGCATGCGAAAAACATTTGGATGGCCATCTTGTGTAGATCTTGGACAACATGAACCCGAGCGTGCACTCAAATCCCCAGAAAACTTGGCGGCCTTTGCCATGGCAGCCTACCTGGAGCAATGGCATTGGGCAAGTGGTGTTGCCAAAAAAGCACCAGAAAAAGAGCCTTTCGATCCAGTAAGTTCATCAAGTGCGCTCGTGAAGAACAGAGCTAACTAAGAGTCATCAAGATTCAAGCGTACAAAACCAATATGCACGATCAATCTTCACGGATAATATCATGATGCTTGGCAACGGCACCGACGCATTAAGCCATTCAGGATCAACAAACGGCATTGTCGGCAAGGGGATTGGGCGGCGGATGGAACATGAGAATGCCACAGTCCCAGTAAGGTGAAGGAGGTCGATGTTGGCGCGTGCTGGAAGCAATACTAGACTTTTTCCCTTGCGTTCACATACAACTCTTCTGCAACTCCCGGACGAGCAGTAGGCGAGCTTCTGTATCAATCAAATTGAACTTTCTGGACACAGATCAATCAGCATGCTGATGTAAGATATTCCGCTGTTCTGACAGATGATAGCTTTGCATCAGAGAGCTCACAAAAACTTAATACCAGCTACGACAATGCGAACCAGACTTCCGTGGCCTCGAAACCCCTTCACTCCTCGTCACTCTGCCCTACAAGGCGTTCTCGGGGCATCGTGTCTGGCGAAGCAACATGGTCCGAAGATCTCATGACGGGGAGCGAAGGATATATTCGTCGGGAGTGATCAGAACTGCTGAGCAGGGGAACAAGAGTCTGGTGAAAGCAAACATGAAGCCTTCAGGAACAGCATGAGTTTGTACTCGGCCATCAATGTGCTCATTTTGTGTAGCTTATCGACCCAGAGATCGTCGTTGATGGCGTGGAGTGGGTGTCAGACGACTAGTACAGCACGCATTGTCCTTGATCGAAGAAGCCGATGTTCACGCTGCATGTTTGGAGACGCAGACCCATGCTGGAATGACTTCCGAATGGTTTAGTAGCGTCAGCAGGGCGAGGACCATTCTCGGTATCCGGCTACACATTTTGAGTTTCTGAGTCTTCACATAGGGCTGAGTGACTAGCGTTCAGCCCCTGGTACGCCAAGAGAGTCGTTTGGACGGAGCGCAGACATTGGCCACTCAACAGGGAATACACGTCTCGGCACTGAAGTCTCATCGGGCCAGCTATCTCCAGAGTTCTCGTCGATACGCTCTGAAACTACATCCTCCTGCATGCATAAGTCGGGCCTACTTGAGAACGACACGGACTGATGATATGTGAAGCGCATGCGTAGGTAAGGGACTAGCTAGTACAACATGTGCCCAGGTCTGCGAGTACGGCGATCCACTCGCACTTCTGCGGTCTTCCTTCCTCCCTTGTGTAGCAGAATGTCTGAGAATCTCGTTCCTCTTGATTCTCTTATCCTCCTCAGTATAGCATGTGACTTATGAACATTCTGGATCGCTTGGAAGAGAGCAGGGTATACACTGGCACAACACATCAGCAGGGCTCTTCAGTAAATTGTAGGCAAACTCTGCTTACATTCAGGCTTCCTGCGCACTTCCCGCAGCCACAACCATCGAAGGCATTGGTCTGCCCCACAAACAATGCCATAGAGATGGCAAGTATGGTAGAGATCATGGAGAGATTGAGTTGCATTGTAGCGTGTTGTGGTACGTCGAACAGCTTCTTTGCGAGTATGAATGTATGCTAGGACAAGTCTTGAAGGGATTGTTCGGCGTATATATTCTCGCAGTATCGTGCCCTTAGGAGCACAGACACTGCGCATATTTCCTGCCCTTTTCTACCTTGTCGTGCTACCAGCTGCTTTTCCCGTACCATCTTTGCAAGACAGGGTCAGGCCTCACTAGCGTCTACCGAAATGAAATGCAACTAGCCTAGCTTCCGCCGAAAGGAATCCGGAAACCACGTTTCAACACGGTGTGCTGTTCCCGTGACCTTCGTCAGCACTTTTTCGCTTCTCACATCTCTGCATCAAAAGGTCGTCTCTGAGGCATCCTGTCGGGCAGAGCAGGACAGTCGCATGATCAAGGATGCGGCGAGAGAGTAACAATGGCAGCTTTTGCCAGTTCTCAATTTACTGTCTGCACCTAGCCTAGCTCGTACCGATTGGAACTCATTGCTACGGTAAGGGCATTGCTTGCAAGCCTTATAGAGCAAATATTTGACATTCGTGTAGCTATCATGACCCTGCTGGTGCGGGACGTCGTTGCTCGTCTCATCTCGATCTAAACCGCCGAACAACCTCGGCGAACTTTCCAATTGCCCCAAGCAAGCACGCAAAGCGACAATCTATCCAGGCGTCCTGATAGATCGTACACCTCGTTTGGAAGTCCATTCCATTCTTGCCGCCCCGGTATTCTTCTTCCCTCCTGAGCACACCTCTGCCTTTTAACGTCAATTTCCAAGCCAAAGTAACCTCATCCAGCTCCTCGAAGAATCTATGTTGCTGTCGAAGACTGGCAGCAATCATTCTGTGGAGCAAATCCGTATCCTCTGCGGGTAGCACAGCCTTGAAAAGTTCTTTACGATCAAACACTAGCTTGCGAGCCAGGGTTCTGAGACCAAACACCCGCCTGAGGTGATTGACGTAGGAGTGATATCCACCGAAGAAGACCACGCGTAGGGGACCAATTGAGCCGACAAAGATCCGCAGCATACTCAACACAGCTTGATTAGGTATGCCAAGCGCTTGAGCTGGCTTGAGGAGATGCTCAGTGATGATGGGGTCATCTGACACGACATTGCCAACGTAGCTCATGATGTGCCCCCTAGAGCTCGGGAAAGCTTTGTCACACCGTCTTGCGAGGCCTGCGAAGTGGCAAAAATCGTCCAAGGTGATCTGGTCTGGGGTTCGTGTGTGGAGCTCGTAATCCACAGCCAAGCAGAAGGAGAGGAATTTGCGTAGACGCTCGGTGATATCAGGTGAGCAACTGGTTCTCGAGTTTCTGGGATACAACGTATAGGGCGGCGGCTCCTTCGTGTACGAGGAAAGTTCCTCCGTGTAGGAAGGCAGCCTCTTCTCTCCATAACCGTAGCACTTGTCCATGATGCGATGCAAATGTGGTGTCGTGTCTGCTATTTTGAGGTTCTCGGCTCGAGGGCGCTTGGTAGCATTTGTAGTACGTGGACTGGGAACACTTGGTAGCATTTGTAGGAAGAGCTGAAGAAAGATTAGGTGTACACCATTTGAGTTTGACAGCAGAACCATGGTGCTGGCAAAGTCAAACGATACCTGCCTCAGGACTACCTTCCAAGTCAGGCGCGTGCCACTGCTCATTCCAGGTTCAAGTGTTCTTTCATCCAACACGTCGGTGTATCAGAACTGGTTCTCTTCCCGCTCCCCTTGATGCAGCTGCTTCCAGAACAATGGCAGAAACCCCTCGAACGTGGAAGCTACGTTGGTCTGACTTGGGAGCTAATACCAGGATAATGCACGAGCGCCTATGTGAGGAAACCCGACCTAAGGCCGCATTCCGCAACTCCGGCAGTGTCCTACAGTTCGAATTGTGTCGTCGTCAACCTCGTGAGCTACGCAGCTTCTCATCCTGGAGAGACAAAGGTACATCCTGGCAATGGCTATAACAATCTTTGTGTTTCGAAGCTGTACAGCAACCGGACCTGCTAAGCTCGAAATTCAGCAACTAAGCAGAACCAGAATTATCTGCGCACGACCAAGCTGCCGAGCCTCCCGTGGCATTGTAGTCGTCAATGATCTGTGCAATCGCGCTGTAACTGCCAGCCACCATAATGAAAGTACCAATCACAAGCATAAATCCACAAAAGGCGACCATTCCCATCCAGCGGATGCTCTTCTTCCCTTTTCCGTCAGACCAATTATCATAGAGCCACATCCCTGCCATCGGCTGAAATGACAAGAATGTACCGAGGAGAGCACCGACTAAGGAGACAAGGCTGCCAAAGACGGGTATGCCGCTGGCTATGACATATGCGATAATAGTCGCGGCGAGGACGCAGCCCAGCCAGGTACTCCAATGTACGATCGTGTTGTGTGTCAAGTGTCGAGAGCCACGGAGTATCCGTACGAAAGCATACTTCGCCGGCATCTGTAGAGAGGGTCAGCTGCAGTATGTCTGTGAAAGATCCGCAAACTTACGTGAGTGATCAGTGCTGTTGTGACGATCAAACCCGGAAGTGCGATGCCATAACATATCTTCTTTAGAAGGACTCCGGCACTGCCGAGAGCTGGCGAGGCCACATATGAGCCACAAAAGTAGTATACGACGATACCGATGACAAGATAAACCAGTGTCACCGTAACCTGGCAGGCCATCAACGATCTCTTGTACATCTTCGGGTCTCTCATCTCAGCGGCGATTGGAAAGAAGGTTGGCGTGCCAGCGTAGGCGAAGACTAAAGTCGAGATGGCCGACATAGCCTGACGGAAAGACGGCTGTGCGACAAGTTTGTAGTCGGAAACCCAGACGGCGTCTTGCGGTGCGGCTGCAGGACGATCCTGGATGCCAACGCTCACAGTCAATGTGAGCACTATCGAATGCAGGTTAGTGACGTTTAACAACTTGCCCAGGATGACCTTACGTGAGACGATAATGCATGTGACTCCTATCCACGCCAGCCAGCTAATCTTTCCCAGTGTGCGGATGCTCGCAAGACAGAAACCAATTATGGCAGCGACTGCGACAAAAATGGCAGTGCAAGCGCCATGTGCGGAGAGAGCGTTCAGTGCGATTGATACACCAAGCATTGCGGCACCGGCGACGAAGATCTCATCTGTCATCGATTCAGCAGAGCTCTTCTGGACAAATGGAGAAATAAGGACCACTTACATAGCACGAATGCAGTTGCGAGAATTTCACGACACCAGTTCCCGAGCTACGTTGTTAGCTAAAAGCACAATATTCCAGTCCCCAGGGTTGGCCTTACCATGATTCTCCCGGCATCATCGATGCCATACACCTCACGATGATTGTTCTTGAAGACACCAACCATGTAGTTACTCCATGCATTGAGCGATGCGATTGTGATCAAGAGAATCACTCCTGGTATCATGCCAACAGTATCGAAGACCGACGGAATGGAGAGAACGCCAAGTCCAATTTGAGTCTTCAGCATAAGAGCTGTAGTCCCAAGCCAACCAACCTGGAGAGATCAGTACCGCACGGCAGCCACGCGACATCTAGCTCACATTGCGATAGTTTGGACCAGTATCAACGATTTCGCCAAAGACAGCATCTTCTTGCCCATCTGCTGCGTAGACTTCACCGGCGACTTTGGTGTTCGAAGGCATAGGTGTGATTGCTTCACCCTTTTCGTAATCCATAGTGAGATTGCAACAACGAGAATATGTGCTCGATCGATGTCAGACTTGGGGTGGAGAAGAAAGGCATTGGGCATTCATATCTTCGAGCGGCACCCCTCATTGCATGCTTCTATCTTAGCCTATCTAGGCTCAGCCTCGTTCCACCAGTAATCTGGGGAAGGTGTGTATCATCAGTGGCGCGCTGTTGTCTGCCGTGGCGCTAGCCTTGTATATTGGCTACCGATGTACAAGGTACAACATTGTCACTGGCCGGGGAAACCTTCTGCGTGATCCAAGATGCCAAGACGATCGTTTCACGAGAACTCTTTCCTCGCTCTGCGCTCTAGTGTGAGCAAGCAATCTGGACTATGCTTCCGTCCCCAATAACATGAGCGAGCTCGATTATGTAGAAATCGTTCAGGTCAAACCAGGTCGGCTATGGAGTCCGAGGCGACAGGGATACTGGCAACATCAACACCCAAACAGGAAATTTGTGCAGCGATCGGTCGGTGTCACTTTGCGACAGCTTAGACGAAACGTCACGAAAGCATTCAGGTCTGCCTCCGTAAATGTTGGTCTCATGATTTGTCTCACACCTCCACAGCTTGGCCTATCGATGGTCTGGGGACGGGACTTCGGGCATTGAGTGAGCGGCCTGCCGTCACAAACAGAACAGGATCCAAGGCGGTTTATTCCACGCTCTTTGCTGTGGGAACTTGGAGACTGTGCGCTCCTGGTATCTCCTCCTTCGCGAGCATTTCTGCGCCATTTTGTCCCAACAATTGATGCAGACGAGCAATCAAGGCTGTGCGGAGAGCACACCAAATTAACGTTGGACGCAGTCGATTTGTCGTTCGCGAGTTGGCACTTGTCTCGAAGTCTCAGGTCATCACTCGTGGTTAACTGCCATCATGCAATCGGGGCCGGGAACACCTTCTCCATTTCACCAGGTACTTAGAAGCCACCCGGTGACGGAGAGAAACATATTTCCATTCTACAGATTTACAGACACGCTTTCTTGCTCTTCGCACAGAATCACAAACACACAATTTAGCAGTCATGGGATCCGCACCACCGTCAGCAGAGCTTGGAGGCATCATGGTAGCTTTGATAACGCCTTACACTTCAGACCAGACCCAAATCGATGTGCCAGCTCTTCACCAGCATATCAACAGACTCATTGAGGCTGGCGTTCATGGCTTAGTTCCGGGCGGAAGCACAGGCGAGTTCACAGTGCTATCGGTGGAGGAGCGCAAAATTCTGGTGGAAGAGTGCGTGAAAGCGGCTGCAGGTCGGGTACCCATTGTCGCAGGCATTGGTGACCTCTCCACCCATCGAGCCGTGCAACTTGCAGTCCATGCATCGAAAGCCGGGGCATCTGCTCTGATGGTTGTGCCTCCATTTTACGATGCCTTGAATCTTGATCAGCTGAAGGAGTTCCTTGGCGAGATCCATCAAGAATCTGGTTTGGACCTCGTCTACTATAACATTCCTTCTGCTACTGGCACCAAGCTCTCGCCGGCAGAAATTGCAAGTTTATCATCTGTTGGCGTCAAATACATGAAAGATACTTCGGGGGATGGCCCTGCTTTGACCGAGCTTCTTTTCCATCGCTCTGGAGAAATCACAACGTTCAACGGCTGGGATACTTTGACCTTCTACGGCTTGGCGGCTGGTGCCAAAGGAGGCGTTTGGGGAGCAACAAATTTCATACCGGAACTGTCCATGCAACTATATGATGCGATTGCAGTGCAAGGCGATTTGAAGCGAGGCCGCGAGTTGTGGAAGAAGATCTGGCCGATATGTGCCCTTCTCGAGGAGGGGAATTATGCTGGGGCAGTGAAGACCGGTATGGAACTCAGAGGGTGGTCTACGGGTGGCTTGAGAAAGCCATTCTCTCTTCTTGGCAAGGGTGAGACGTCCAGATTGAGAGATCTGTTGGTTGAAGCTGGCGTACAAGTTGTGTGAATGTAGATGTCTCGTCCATACGAGGGAATTCATTCAACTGATCCTGCTCCAATCGACTATCGAGGGGCTGCGTGCGATTTTGTTAGTCCATGAATGCGGCCATTCGTCTCTGCGATGATAATTTCTATATCGCCCGACTCTTCTCACTTGACCAGTATGGATCTCATACCACTAACAGCTTGACAGATGCTCAATTGAAAAGAAATACACGTCTTCTGCGGGATCCATGTCACTCAGATGTAAACAGTTAACTGAGACGAGTATCTCCTTGACTTCTAGAGCTTTGCCAGTGCGCCATTCTGTCCTAGAAAGGTAACATGGCTTCGAGTGATATCCTTTAAGGTTCGACAGCCCGCCAATGCCATCGTCTGTTTCAATTCGTGGTGCAGAATCTTCAGCCCCAACTCAACACCGGCTTGTCCATTATACTGCAGATTCCAATATTAGCGGCCGAACGGTATTATTTGATCACGCAACTTACAGCCTGTGAAGTGGTCAGCAATATTTCATGCAATGGAGACAGAAAGGGGAATCATACCAAGCCCCATATTGGTATCCGACCAACAAAACAATGCGTCGCGCCTAAAGCAAGTGCTTTGAAGATATCGGATCCGCGCCTGATGCCGCCATCGACGGCAATTGGTATCTTGCCTCCGGCGGCCTCCGCGCACTCGCGCAGCGAATCCAATGTTGCAGGCTGCCCATCCAATTGCCTGCCCCCATGATTGGACACGAGGATGCCATCAACCCCGTGTGTTATGGCGAGACGCACGTCCTCTGCGGCGGTGATACCTTTCAACCAAATCTGTAGCTTTGTTTGACGCCGAAGCCAAGGTACGGCGGTTTCCCAAGTGAGCGTCGGATCTACAACGAGTCAGTATGCCTCAGTCCGTGCGATTTGATCGATACTGACCAAAGTCTGTGTCATTGTCCTCGGCGCTCGATCTTCCGGTAAGTTCCTTCTTGCCGTCCGAAAGCAAGTTCGGCCAACCCATATCCTCGGGCAGTGTAAACTCGTTGCGGTGCTCGTTTAGTCTTCGACCAAGCAAAGGCGTATCGACGGAGACCAATATTGCTTTATATCCAGCCTCTGTTGAATATTTCATCAGCACATTCATCTTTGTGTCGGACAAAGACGCTGAGAACTACCTTCTGCTCTTCGAATCATTTGATGAGAAATCTCACGGTTTCTCAGGACACAAAGCTGCATGGCATAGGGATTCGATCCTCCTTCAGCTATCACCGACTCCAGGGGCTCCGTGGCGTAGGACGATAGGCCCATGGCAATGTTGTGTTTGGCTGCAGCTCTTGAGACAGCGAGCTCCCCTTCAGGATGTGCCAAGCGGTGCATTGCGGCAGGGCTGAAGCCGAGAGGCATGCTCACCTAACAGAAAACATTAGCTCAGTTGTTGGGAACGATCATATCGGCGACATCGTACACGCTGCCCAAAGATCTCACAAGACGTGTCGACATTGGCAACGTTTCTGAATATCCTTGGTTTGATCATATATCGTCTATATGCAGCCTCATTGTCTTTCAGGGTCAATAAATCCATTGCTCCCTCATTGTAATACTCTAGTAGGTCTCGAATTAGCGCTCCCAGAATCTACAATTTCGTGTCGACCGACCTCTATACATCTGAGGCAGCTGAGCGCTTCCCAGTCGCTTCAGATCACAAATGGTGTGTACATGGGGATCGAAACGCTCGCCGCGATTAGCCATTGTTGTGAGATTGCTGTTTTGCTTGACTGAAGGAGTTCTGCAGGTGGACAATAGTTACAAGAGGAAGTGACCACAGAGTACTTGCATATGCTCTATGCCCACTGTCTGCTACATTGACCTTGATAGGACGCCCTCGGGCTGACCTTCCTCGGGATCACTTGCACTACTAGCATGCGGGCCGAGCTGGCTCACTTACGGCGCAGCTAGCGTAACAGGCGTTCACACCGTGTCGGAGCATACCGCTGGGAATGCCATCTCCAGTTGTTATGATGCAGTCCGAAACTTCCGTCTTTCCATTTCATGGCTTGGTATCTTTTGCAAAGGCTGGAGATGGTCCATGTCAGCTTGTGCTCCTTTCTGACACGTGCACATCATGTTCAGTTTCTATGTGCTGAAATATTTTGACATCGGCCCCTGCATGGTCAATTGAGACAGCTGCTACATTGTTTGTAGATGACTTCGCGCGCAAAGCCAGACGGATACACACCCCTGTCGCAGCAAAGCCCCAAGGCCTATAAGATCTCTGTCGTACACCCAGCTTGCCTCAAGCCAATCTGTTGCCCATGTTGATATGCACAGCCTTGATCTGCGAGTATGCTTCAAGCCCAGCACTACCAAGCTCTCGACCTATACCACTTTGTTTCACACCTAGCATAATTAGTATCCTGCCACCAAAAGCAAGTGATCAAACAACCTACCACCAAAAGGGACCCGTGGATCGCAATCCTGGCTGCTATTAATCCATACCATTCCTGCTTCAATTTCAGCAGCCACACGATGTGCTCTTTGCAGATCTTTAGTGAAGACCGCCGCTCCGAGATCATAAGTGGTGTCGTTAGCCCGTGAGATAGCTTCGTCCTCCGAGCTAAACTTGCAAACAGTCACGACAGGGCCGAAAATTTCTTCTCGGTAGATTGTCATATCATCCCGAACGTCTGTAAAAATGGTCGGAGATATGAAGAATCCGCCGTCCGGAGTACCTTTGATTGTTTCTGCCCCAAAGGCCACCGTCGCGCCCTCAGACCTTCCTTTTTCGATATATTCAATGACCCTATCGTATTGAAGGCGAGATACTTGCGGTCCCTGATAGGTTTTGTCGTCCCACTGATCGCCGACCAGACTTACTTGCTGAGTCCTTGCAACGAAATGTTTGAAAAAATCATCGTAGATATCTTCGTGAACGAAAAGTCGTGTAGTGGCTGTGCATATTTGGCCTTGATTGCTCATGCAGCCCAAATGAGCCCAGTTCACAGCTTGCTCTAGGTCTGCATCTGGAAAAACGATGAGAGGCGATTTACCTCCGGTCTGCAATGTGATGTTCTTCAACGTAAGAGCAGCAGCTTTCATGATTTCCCTTGCCGTCGCAGTTGATCCGGTAAAAGCGATTTTGTCTACCAGAGGATGATTGACCAGCGCTTGGCCGGCCTCTCTGCCAAGGCCATCGATGATGTCAACAACGCCCTTGGGAAAGCCTGCCTCAACGATCAAACGCGCCAATAGCAAAATACTCAATGGTGTCTGTTCTGCAGCTTTGAGCACGACAGTATTGCCACATGCCAATGCAGGCCCCAGTTTCCTTGAAGAAAGTCGTTAGTCTCTGGAAATATAGTCGGAGTGGAAAGGAAATGACCAACCATGTTGCCATCGAAAGTGGATAATTCCACGGAATGATTTGAGCTACAACACCAATGGGCTGCCTGATCGTGTAGGCAAACTTCTCGGGCGTTGTTTCGATAGTCTGACCGTAAGACTTATCTGCCCACCCGCTGTAGTAACGAATGGAGAGAATAGCTTCAGGTAGATCGTTCGTCAGTGCTTCATTGTATGTTTTCCCGTTATCCCAGGCGTCGATGGTTGCGAAGACTTCCTTGTGCTGCTCGATCAGGTCTGCGAGACGCGACATCACCATGCCGCGTTCCGTGGCTGTCACTGCTGTCCATTCGCGGCTTTTAAGTGCACGCTTGGCTGCTCTGACTGCGATGTCCACATCTCTGGCCCCAGCAGCTTGGACTGTGGCAATCGATTTGCCGGTACTAGAGCTGATATCAGTACGTCCGGAACATTGTTGTTGAATCTTTGTTTACTGACGCTGGATCGATACTGACAATTTCGCCCCCTTCGGCCGCTGAAACGAAAGTGTTGTCAATGAACAGTCCAGTGTTGAGTTTGAAGGATCGTCCATTCGGAGCAACTAGACCAATTTCTTGTGCCATGTCGCCTCGTCGATACAACTGACTATCGTCAATGGGCTATTGCTTTCATCGTTCTGAGGATTGGGCGTAAGGGTATTTCTGCCGGCCGGGCTTACCTGCCTCTCGGCAACACCTGCTACCTTCATCAACCCGATCACTTCTTGGCGTTGAGCGGGGTTACAACGGCTAACGCGTGGACTCTTTCTGAATAATTCAGCATGCAACAGAGCCCGTGGAAGGCAAGCCAGATACGGATGCTGCTCAGCAAGTCCCCATGCCGAGGAAAGTCGCAGAGAGACGATGGGAACGAACTTTCGATGGATGCTCGAATTGCCGAAGAAAACATGTCCGTTGCGACGGGAGGCGACCCACTTGTATGAAGTGTGAGAGGAGCGACACTGCTTGCGATGGCTATACCTTCGATCTCCGATGGATCTCGGCTGAAGGCTCTGGCGACACAGAGGCCAACACTACCGCCAATGATGACTCTGCACCAACGAGTGCAGTGCGCAGACACCTCTTTCCTGAGGCTGCACGCCTTCGGATGACAAAGTCTACCGGAAAGAATTTGTTGCAAGGCTCTGTTGATGCTTCTCTCGATAGGGTTGATACCCTGAGTGAAGATACTACGTCAAGCAACGCCAAATTTGTAGGCCCATTTGGAGTCTTTAGTGCTAGTCCAAGTCGACATGAATCGCCTCAGTTGCAGACACAAACCTCGATGACAGCGGTTGCTGTACCAGAGGATCATAACCTTGGATCAACCCAGCAACTTGATGCATACGACACTTCTCCATTTGAAGACGTGCTTTCGATGTATAGCGCGAATGACATGCTTCAGTGGGACGACATTTTTGATCTAGGCACCAATCAGAATGCTATCATGTCCACGTTCGAGATGCTGGATCCACTGGTAGGGACAAATGCTCTCTTTGGAGATTCCACTATCGCCAACGGCCCCATCGTGCAGGAGTTTAGCCAAGGGCCAGTCATGGAGCACTCGACTCTGGACGACCAGCCACGAGAGACCTTAAGCCAAGAGGAGACAATGACTCTGGCACCAGACTTACTGAGACATTTCAAGTCGAGAGTGATACAACACATGTCGGCAATGCCGATTGCCAACAAATCGCCTTGGGAAATTGTGAATTTGTCATCGGCCGTCGAAGCTTTCGCTCAAATATCTTTCATGAAGAATGACAGTATATCATCTGCTAAGAGCGCCTCGCTGTTCAGTCTTCTTGCCGTGTCGGCCCATCATTTGCATCTGAATTCAATGTATGATGAAGACCTGGAGAGGGCTGATGGTTTGTGGGACACAATCTCTCGGTCTTGTAAAGAGCAGGCCTTGGCAAATCTGAAACAATCGTTGCAAGACGAATGTAGTGGTCCTCGTAAAGCAAAGTACAAGGATCAGCTCGGAGCGATAATGAACATGTTGACACTTGCGGTATGGTACGCGAATTCTTTGGCCCCACGAGGAAGCTGCTAATATGTTTCCAGATACACACAGGCGCGCAAAAAGATGCCCGCTGTCATATCATCGATGCAGAACGACTCATGCGATTCAGAGGCATTGCCAAACGACAAGTGTCGCGTAAGTCTCGACTACTTCACCACGTATACACATGGATTCGCATCGTTGGAGAATCCACCTACGTGCTCCACGACTACGATGCCTTGATCAAACAATTGCAGACAAACAGTGCTACTGCTGCTCAACAACGGACCGATACCGGGGGACTTCTCGATGATTTCCTACGATTTGAGACCCACAACGGGACTGGCACGCGCCGCGAGGGCATGCGTATGGGCTCACAGCCAAGCGGAGATGATCAAGGAGAGGACCCAGAGCATGAGGATACTGCGCTGCGGGACATTCATCTACAAGATTCGCGTGAAAATCCACACACGCTCTACCCAAAGATATATGGAATCCCCGAGACATGGCTGAAACTCTTGTCCCAAGTCACGCGTTTGGCAAACCAGATGGATGCACTCAAAGCTGCTGGTGGCTGGGGCGGAGACCTTGACAGCAAAGCAAGATACTTGGAAAACAAAATTCGAAAATTCTCTGCAGCTCCACTAGGAGGATCGTCAGCGCTGTCGACGACGCACATGTACTCAGCTTTGAACACAAGTCTGGTCATATTCTTCTACAGAAGAGTCAAAAATGTGGATGCGGGTATGCTTCAAAGTCATGTCGACGATGTGATACGAGCCTTGACCCGATTCGATGAGGCACTAGTGGCAGATACCACAGGAGGTGGGCCCGGCACGGTGTGGCCAGCTTTCATTGCCGGCTGTGAGGCCAAGGGAGCTCGTAAACGTGAACGCATATCGAAGTGGATTGCTCGCGCAGCGGACAGGACGGGGTTTCATTGCTATCACCAAGCCCTTCAATTGCTCCAGGATGTCTGGAATACACAGCCTGTCTCAGGTCCTAGCTCAGCAAAACATCTGCAAGCCAGTGCTGCTACACGGACCTGGATGGACATCATGCGGGAGAAGAATGTATGGCTTATGGCCTGCTGACAAGGCTCAAACCTCAGTAGCAGCCCAACTATTTCGCAACACCAAGTAGAGGATAATGGCGCTGTCGCCTCCGTCCGTTCTTCTGGGCGAGCCAGTCAAACAGGAGAGTCCCTCAAGCCGTGGACCGAGCCTCATACATGGAAACATCCTCGCCTGAGCTGTACAAATGTCAAATGCAGTCTTTCACGACCCAGGATGCTGGGATCCTGGAACTGTCCACGAAGTGATGAGCGTGGCGCCAGCGAAGCATGCGTGATGCATAAAGGTCTGTTGTCAGCTGCTCTCACTGCGACGCCCCAGCTAAACAACGAACCCGAATTATGAGGTGATGAGTTCGCAGAAACTCGTTCAGCCTTGCAGCTACTTGAACACTTTGTGGTCGAACTGTCCACTTGGCATACCTAATTCATTGTCAAACATCTTCCTGACCCTGGCGGCACTCTGCCCCAATTCCCTCGCAGCTTCGCTCTCAGCCCCTCCGTCCGCCCCGAAAACTTCTGTATTGGCTCCCAGCATAGGTCCATCGCCATACGAGTCATCAGCCGCATCGTCATCTTCCTGCGCCTCCGCACCAGTTTCTTCCTTCGACCTCTTCTGATCTCCAACCGGCACCTTACGAGTCCCTTGTCCGACCCCTATGTCGACAACACTGATGTCAGCCTTCAACAAGGCCAGAATGTCATCGTTTGATTTCTCAGCGAGACTCTCGGTAGCCTCAGTGTAGCCCTTCATGGCATCTCTGTAATACTTGTTGAATTCCTTTAGTTGATCAGAGTTCGATGAATGTCTAAGTGATTCGACTCTCTGCATGGGAGGTATGACGAAGTTACTCATGAAATCCTCAACCAGAGAGAATTCGATTCCCGTGGCATCGACATATCTTGCACATTGCATGAACAAATCACGAGTTTCAGCGGCCGGGCGATCATGCACAACCTCAGACCGACGAAGGTCGATCATTTTTTGGGTCATTTCCTCAGACATGCCGTCAAGTTGCACTGACAATGTCTGGAAGTGACTGACGATGCTCGAAAGCTCATTCTCGAGTCCAGAGAGAGCATCAAGTCCCACTTTATCAAACCCTGTCGCGATTAGTGGGAGGTTTATGCTTTGAAAAGATTGAATCCTACCGGGCTGTTCGGGGTCCTGATCAAGTCGTTGGACTACCTTTTGCAGACTCTCCAAAGCATGTTGTGCATCAATCTGGAGGTCATGCACGATTGTTGCCCCAGACGTGCTCTGATCAACCTGAGACCTGCCCGTAGACGTTTCATGCTGCTGTCCTTGCACGATTCCTAGGTCTGCAAGTCAGCCAAATGTCGTGTAAGCGCAGTTCGATGGAAATGGTACCGCCGTCGTTGACCACCGCAGATTTGATCTCCTGAGCAATATCGTGTGCCACAACGAACTCGTCTTTGATCTCGTTCACGGATGTAGCGAGACCCTTGATGAAATTCTGCATTGCTTCCAGATCGAGACGAGTCTCCATGTTGTCAATGGTCCAATAGTCATAGTGCTGTCGAACTATTACCAGCTACGAACCAAGTTGCGTCAGCACTTTTGAATGAACGTCTCGAGATACATTCACGAACCTGCTCGTCTTTATGCAGACGCAGATTGATCCCTCGCGCTTTCTCGGTGGCCGATCCAAAAGCGCCGTTTGTCTTGATCACCAGCTGACCGATGGCATCGAAGGTTTTGTCGCTTCTGCGAAGATATCAGTCGAAGGCTTACGAACGCTCGCATCCAAAGCTCACTCAAGCTTCGAGATTTCATTTCTCTTGAGATTGAGCCGCATTTGCGAAGCATCATCTGAGAACGATGCCAAGCGAAGCTGGGCCAAGTAGTCTACAATGAGGGGTGCTGATCGTAAGAGGGATGGGCTGGTGCTAGCATTTGCCGTCCTGTCATCGTGGCCGTTGTCATTGTGCTCGTGGCCAGAATCAATGGGCTGTTGTTCAGCACCGTGAGACGCTTCTGAGGTAGACATGATTGGGATGTCTCTGGAAGCAATGACTGGACGAAGCCAACACTGGGAAACACCTGGTTTATGGACACTGAGGATCCAACGCGAGAAGCGCAGAAATGATACAACATCTCTCTTTCGTTCCAAGGCATCGAGTTGCACGACATGTCGTTGAGAACCTGCCTCGCATGATCCTGTAGTAGTCGAATGTTGATGTAGTGCCACACATGCGTCTTCGAGCTCTGCCCCGCTGTGGACACGAATGAAGAAGAATATGTGAGATCATGTCGCGTCTCGTCTAAGCAGTGAGTAGCCGATCATTCGAAGCAGAGCTTCCACAGAATACGACAGGTCGATGCATTCTGATCTTGACATGGCAACACCCATCTAAGTCAGCGCTTTGCAGAGATCACAATTGTGGGGAATTCCATCCTGGAACGGAGTACATGCCTGGCCATCCCAAATATAGCTTACAATGCTCCAAGCCCACAGTCGCCCATTGTTGAAAGCTAGGCTCTATAGTCGCTGCTGTCGATTGAATCACGTCACAACATAGCTGCGCTATTCCCGCTATCCCTTTGCAGGTTCCACCCATCGCTCATATTCATCCATTCTTGGTCAGTAAGCTGACCTGAAGAACCTTTCGCCATCGATAGTTTTTGTCTCTCATAGTCTTTGGCGTAGAAGAACTCATCAGCACCAAAGGCAGGCCTCAGATCGTCGAGCCATCTCGCTTCTGGATCGAATTTGGCGAAGAAGACGCCCTTCGTCCATTCCGGGTTCCGAGCCTGAAGGAAACGCAGTAGAAAATGCAATTCTCCTTGCACCACAGCCTTGCCGACAACGCAAACTTTCCCCGGGCTGGCCGACATAGACGGGCCTCTTACTGTCTTCGCTGTTCCAGGGAGCCGCGAGTAAGCCTCATCGTAAATCTCAACTGCTCGCGAGAGGGGTACAGAGAAGTAATCCCGAGCACCAGTATCACGTTCCACGAACATGTAATATGGAACAATGCCAATCTTCGTCTGCAACTTCCACATACGCGTCCATGCTTCGGGACTGTCGTTGACGTGCCTGATCAGCGGCGCCTGTGATCGTATCTGAGCTCCAGTCATCCGTATTAGGCGGACAGCCTCCTGCGTGACAGGATGCTCCACTTCCCGCGGATGACTGAAATGTGCCTGGATGGTCAAGTGTTTGCCAGACTTGACAACCTCAGAAAAGAAACGCAGAAGCTCTTGTGAGTCCGGATCGCTCACATAACGATAAGGCCACCATGCTAGCGACTTCGAGCCAATGCGAATTGTATCGAGGTTCGAAGGTGCCTTGGGACCAATAAGTGGCTCGATGTAGCGTTTGAGCGTTGCTGTCGGCATGACCATGGGATCACCTCCAGTGAACAAGACGTCCGAGACTTTGGGATGACTCGCAACGTACTGCTGCAACATATCGATATCAGACGTCTTGAAGGCCTGCTCCGAGCCGACTGACGTAAACTGTGCCCACCGGAAACAATATGTGCAGTATGCGTGACAGTATTGTGCCTGGGAGGGAGGTCAATTTACGGCCACAATTGACAGCAGAAAACACAACCAATGAGAGTGAGTTCCCACCTCAGAGGGGAAGAACAAGACAGTCTCTCGATACTTGTGCTGCAAGCCTTGGACAGGCTGTCCACCCAATCGAGGCACATTTTCTTCTTTCTGACCCGCGGGGTGGGGATTCATCTGATGTCGCACATGTTCTGCTGCAGCGCGAAGTCGGATTCTGCTTGTGTCTGGCCGCCTCATTTCGTCGAGGACAAGAGCGAGATGTTCCGGACGTAGCATCTCAGGTTGCGGAATACTTAGCCTGAACAAAGGGTCCTTCGGTGCCTTCGACCTGTTCAATCTCGTCAGTGCTAGCCCAACATCAACGAATCATCACTCCATACCAATCGATCAGGTCATCGGCAACATGATTGTTGATTCGTGTAGGGAACACATTGCCTGCGGCCAGAAATGCTTCTGCGTTGAGCGACGGTGCAAATCTCTGAAGTAAAGCTGGTATAGCACTTTTGGTGAAGGAGCGATATGCTTTAGGTTGCATGATGAGAACGGTCAGCTCTCTACTCTACCAACTGGCAATAATGGAGCGACTGAAACTGGCGACAAGAAAGTCAACTCTTGAACGAAGGGATGTGTAGACACCTTGGCGTAAGTGTTATCCGCAGCCAAGCCTACTTATCCTACATTAAGCCAATGCACTCTGCACATCTGCATAGGTAGGAGTGATGAGCAGCACCAGCGGGAGCTGGCGCAGCTCCACATCATAGCGCGCATGTGGAGGACAATGTGCGCTAACGGTAGCTTAAGCGCCTGCGCTGCGGAGGAACGTCCGAAAGAAGCTCCTTTGCCCGAGTACGACTGCCAGTATATCGTTCTCCATGCTAGGGACATATTTTAAGCCCGAGGTATTACTGATTTTGCCGAATGTGTATTGCGTCCTGACAGCGACCAACGACAAAGCGCATGATGACGCCAATGCTCGGGTAGAGCTGCGTGCTGCGTTGAGGACCATACATTGGAGCTGCAATGCAGACTCTCATGCATGATATATAACCAGTGATGGCGATCCAACCAAGATCTGCAAGAGATTGCTTGGCCGACATGTCTGGCAGAAGGTTGACCCACATGATTCCACGAATGGCAGAGGTCAACTCGTACCAATTTATGGAGTGCAGCTATAGAGCAGATACGCCGATGTGCATCCTTGCGCGGAGTCGGCCAACTTGAGAGCTTCCCAATTGTTGCGGTCAAGATCGTGCCTTGGAGGTGTGTAGAGCCGGAGGAGATCGGACGACGAGACGGCTTGTCATGCACGGGAATCATCTTTCTTTCGATTCCTTTTCAGGGCGCGCGATGCTGTCTTTCATGATGGCCACTAAAGAAGTCGTCGAATGAACCGAATGTGCCGGTCCGCAGCTCGTTGGATGCCTCGTGAATTGATGGAGCTGTTGATATTGCGCATCCAGTCTGCCAATCAAGTCCATACTCTCATTCATGATTAACCGTGGCTACCTCTGAATGCAACTACCTCTGAGTGCAAGCGAAGGTCGCTAAGCCAATCAGCAAAGATTTTCATGGATCAAGAGCCAATCTGGTTAGACGCTTGCACACAGAGGTAGTTGCATTCAGAGGTATCCACGGTTAGTGGAGCTCACGTCGTATCGATGTAGGCAGTGCATCTCTGGGTCTTTGGATATGCATACGGGAAGCGCCCGGACCATCGCCTGAAGGATGCAGTGTATCAGAGTAACCGCCAGTAAGCACGCCTTTCTCCGGCAGAGCAGGGCTTTCCCAGCCTGTCCGCCTGGCCACGTCCAGAGAAGGCATCTCGAGACCCGCCTTGAGGCATAGCTGTTAGATATAGCATTTCCTGAATCAAGTCGGAAGTCTCTGGTGCTTCGTGAAGTCTTATACAAAGGAGGGTCACCTTGCAGTAACTTCGGATGCGGCCAGCTCAAACACGTGCAGAGACGACGAAGTAGGTGGAAGAATCATGATAATGACAGAAGTCAAATGCTGTTGATGAAGAATCGCGGTGGTCTTTCCGCGTGATCTTCACTTCAATGCCAAGACCGTTTGCGACGCGACTTCCCGTGTCCGAACGCGTCTCCAGGACCACGCTCCTACATCAATACCCATAGCCACGACCAACAAAAGCCAACCTCACCAATCCGAAAAACACAATCTGCCAGAATGCTCGCTATCCCAACCTCCTCCACCACCAAATCCAAAACCCTCCAACCCAACATCCTCCCCTGCCAAATCCACCACTCCGGCCCCATCTCCATCGCGGAAAGATACTGGAACCCACAACCGAACAACAACACAACAGCGACCTCCCCTCCCACTCAACAATCACAACCACCAGCCTCCAATGAAGTAACACAACACTTCCGCGGCCGCAAACTCCTCGGCAAAACCATCAACCTCCCATCATCCTACACCGGAATCGTAGCGCAAAAGACGAATCGCCAGATTCAAATACCCCACCAAACCTCCTCAACCCACATTTTCACCCACGACGCAGAAAACGACGAGGAAGATGAGGAGCAAAGCCTACCCACAGAAACATTCATCCTCGAACAACAAGCAGAATTCAACACAATCACAACATGGGATCACGAAAAAGTACCGTCTTCCGAAGAGGACGTGTATATAAAAGGGATTGAAGAATGGATAGGGTTTGCAGAGAGTGTAAGTCACAGCCAGCTTCCAGCATACGGGAGTGAAGCTCCCTTGATTTGGAGGAGAGAAAGCTGACAAGGACAGATACATGCATACGATACCCCGAAGACAGCAGCAGAGTCGTGAAAAGCGGAAGATCATGAGTGACAGAGCCATTAATTCTCGCGTTGTCTAACCACGAGCCGCGCAGCTGCCACGATGGTAGGAGACGCGTCAGTGAAGGACATCATGGTACACAGAAGAGACGCAAGACCCCATTGTATCGTCCTTCGTCTTTTCGTTCTATGAGCCTTTCTCCACCTCCTCTGTGGAGATGAGGACGACAACACGCTAAGAAAAGGCACCGAGGTTGTCCACATTTCGTCATCATTGCCGCCAGCCATATCTCAGCAAGTCGTCCTAGCTCATTTTTCCTTCGCGGGTCGTACGCTAGTATCAGGGACGCGAAAATTACCGAATCTTCGTGACCAGAACACTACAAGAAGTAGTCTGGTGTTCGGCGGGAGACCATAGGTTCGCCAGCACGCGGGCAAGGGTCGAATTGCAGGCTAAGAAAGGACAAATGTCAGCTGTTGTGGCGCATTCTCGAGGTCGAGAGCGAGACATACAAGGTGTATTTCAGATGCTCATCAATTTCCATGATCGCAGCTTGATTACCACAGCGGTAGCAGTAGTTTGGTGCTGTAAATAAAGTCAGTGCAGCTCCAAACAGACGTCTTCTCCACCTCAGACTCACCAGAGAATATCGTGACCACGTTCCTGTCCTGACTCCAGTTGTAGCCCTCCATAACCAGCTGATGCGCTCTCGCCACGAGCGTAAGACCATTGTTATGGTTGAACGCCTCACTGATATCCTGTCCAAACGTATACCCAGCACCTCTGGGGCTGATTCCCCATCCACATCTGTCATCTGGATCTGACCAAAGGAGATCGCACATTGGGCCCTCGTGCGGCACTTCCTGAATGCGGTCGAGAGCACGAATGTTGTCCAGCGTGTCAATGCTCGGCGACAGACCACCGTGCAAGCAGAAGATCTGGTTGTCGATCAATGCCGTGAGAGGGAGGTAATCAAACAGATCCGTGAAGAACTTCCACACATTGGCATTGCCGTATTTGCGCAGACACTCGTCGTAGAAACCATAGACTTGTGTGATCTGTCTCGACTCGTGGTTCCCGCGCAGGATCGTGATGCGCCCTGGGTAGCGAATCTTGAGCGCGACGAGCAACGTGACGGTCTCGACGGAGAAGTATCCACGATCGACATAGTCGCCCATGAAGAGGTAATTGGTGTCAGGATTGGGGCCTCCGATCTTGAACAGCTCCATCAGGTCGTGGAACTGGCCGTGTATGTCGCCGCAGACTGTGACTGGGCATTTCACGGGCTGTACGTTCGACTCCTCTTGCAGCACTTCGCGCGCTTTCTCGCACAACCGTCTCACGTCGTCCTCTGCGAGTTGTTTGCAGGTCATGAGCGACTCAATCCAGCCATCGAGGGTGGGTATGGTGGGCGGATCAATTGGCGTGCCCAGGCTGTGCTCGACCTTGCCTGCGTCCTCCATGGCCGTATCGCCCATGACGGGCTGCTGCCTCAGCGCGGCAGCTTCTGCCATTGTCGTGGAATCAGCGTGGGCGGTAGGGGTCGAAGTCGTGGTCGGGCGGCGCGGTCAAACACAGGAGAGTGCTGTGTCCACAGAGAGTCCTGATTCGGGCGCAATACAGTGGGGACGTCGGATTGGCGGCGGTGAGAGTGAGGTGCAATGCTCAGATCTAGTAGTGGAGTGGGTTCAGCGGCAGAGAGGCGGCGGTGCGGTGTGTCTGGGCGCGGTGGATGGTGTTGGCAGGCGATGTTTTGACGTGCAGCTTCTCTCGTGCCTGCCCTCTTGCAGTGACGAAACCGTCCAAGCGTCCGCGAAGCTTGGCATGAATGTGCTCGCGTGTCACAAGTAACATTACTTCGCAACCACGTCGGCGGCAAGTGGATTCTATGGTGAACAAATCTCAATCACACGGAAATGATCGAATGTAATATCTACGGTATGTAGAAGTCAAGAAGCGAAGTAGAACTGCAAAGTACGACCGCCGACCCGTCACCCCACCCCACTTCCCTCCTAAACCACTGGGCAAAGTACACGCTCTGTCACAGCTTCCTCCCCTTACCTTTACCGGCTCCTCCTGGCAGACTTGGAAATTGATCGTTTTGTTCCAGTGCCGCCTGCTTGCTCTGCTCCTCGGCCAAGCTGAGCTGAATCGCAAAATCTAGGTCGCTCATCTCGTTCGCCTGGCTGGAGCCTGCGAGTGCTGGGGATGATCGAGGGGAAGTCTGTGTGGATTGCTGACGCTTGTTCTTCGGCTTAGCGTGTCTGATGGGGATATCATAGCCAGCAGAAGGAGACGTTGCCAGGCTTTGGCGTATAGCTTCGGCGATATCTGCATCCAACTCATCCTCCGTCTTGGGCGTCTCCTGGCGCGATGGACTGTATGCGGGAGTGAAGTCAGCACTCTGATCAGTGCTGCTCGCGGTGACACTGGGCGTAGCACTGATATCGGACGCCCGGCGAGCGTGGTCCTGTTCGTACGCCTCTTGACTCAGCATGGCTGCATAGGCAAGCATCTCTTCTTCACTGCCGCCGAGCAAGTCAGTGCCGAAGCGACCAGCGAAGCGCTGAGATTCTTTGCTCCGCTGCGCTTTTTCACGATGCAACTCCAGCTGTTCGTGCTCGATGTAGTTCTTCAAATTGCTACGAGTGGCGACCGAAAATCGCTCGCCAGCTGCATTACTGCCGCGCTCGGACCTGCGAAGTCGACGCTTGTTCGACTTGTATTGGTCCGCTGCAGACGAACTGTAGGCCCAGTAGAGCAAGTGAGTGCCCAGTGACACGATGCCACGGAGCACAGTGGGGTCAGGATCGAGAGCGATTGCACCTGCGGCGAACAGATTGATACCAACGCCCTGGGCGCTGGCCTGTGCTTGCAGCAGTCTGCGACGAGCGCGTGAAGAGAAGCGCGAATTCAACGTGCGTATGGGTTGCATATCGGACGCTAGAACATCCCAAGCCTGCACGAGTCCGTCGTTACCGCCATGCACCAGGCACAGCGACGAAAGTGCCAAGCAGGAAATCTCCGGTGAGTCGGTGTGAATAATGCGGACAGGCTCAACCGTGTTGATGATATCAACCGAACGCGACACAGGAGCTCGCATATCCAGGAGTAAGACAGTGCCAAGCTTTGTGCCAGCTGCGAAGAGGCGAGCTCGCTGACCTGGCACATCGGCAGCAGTGGCAGACTGACCCGCAGCCGACAGAGGCGTGTATGAGGGAGACGAAGCCGTGGATCTGCCCGAAAAGCCCAGCAGTGGATCCTCGGATGCGGTTTGAATAGCAAACGTTGACTGATCAATGCAAGTTGCAAGAATCTCAACGTTCTTCAAGCCGCTGAGCGTGTACCTGGTAGTCCTCCATTCCTCGGTCATAGGCCTTGGAGTGTTCGTGCCATCGAAGTCTTGGTCCAGAGATTCACTCAGGCGCTCGAATGAGAAGCCTGCGGGTGGGACAGTGGCAGGAGAAGCAGAACCTCCGAACAACGACGGCGGAGTCGAAGCTTCAGTACTCGCAGCAGTGAGAGGAGGCGTGGAGGCAGACTGCGAACTACCCCGGTCTTGGAATCGGCGACGACTGTAGCGTTTCACACCGGCAGGGCTGTCATCTCGTCCACAGTCAAGAATGATGATGTTCTCTCCAGCATTGTTGCCATCATCTCCAGCAAAGTCCACCTCGAGCTTGCGACGCATGTCCCAGCCTACACACGAATGCTGAAAGTCCTTTGGCTTCCGCGAGAGGAATGTTTCGATCTCTTGCGTCTCAGCAGTGATCTGCGCTAAGCTTAGACACATGCCATTCCACGAAGAACGTGGCGAGTAGCTCCCATCGACACTCGCGTCTGCGTATGGATCAATCTTGGCGACACGTCTGCTTGGCTCGACAGCTTTCCAGTAAACAGTACGACCAGTCTGCCATGCCAGACGCTCCACGGCTTCATCGTCTAGACGCGTCCCTCGGTCCACGTGCGGGCGCTTGGGGAATTTGGTGAGATAGAAGACTTCGCCGAGTGCATTGAGCACCACTGCCCAAATACGATTCTGCGCCATGCGTTTCAGGCTGTACTCATTGTCGACTGCGATTGCAATGATTGGGACGCCTGGACTAAGCACCCAACGAGCAGTCATTTCGCCACGACCAAATCTCTGATCGCGATTATTGCCATTGCTAGAAGCGCCCAAGCTGTAGGCGGTGAGCACTCCCAAGGAAGAGCCAGAAAAGATGCCAATGAGGCCATCAGTAAGACTGGGTACGGCGGCAGACTTGGCAATCCATGTCGCAGTGACTGCTTCCTTGCTCGATGTGATCTTCGGAATGCCGAGATCGTGCGAGACTAGGGCAGATGATGAAAGCAGAAAGCGTCCGCGCATCTCTTCTGTGGACCGGTAATAATTCGCACCACCAGGTGAGCCTTCACCAACTACCATGCCATAGGGCTGGCTAACATCCATAGAATTAGGCACGCCCACGACTTCTCCTGGGCCGAGACCAAATTGAGCGTCACCGGGAAAGCGGTCGGCGAACTGTGGGAACATCTGAGGATCGGACAAGCCCCAGTTGTCGACTTTTGCGGCGGTAGGATCGCTGCTCGTAGCGGTGCCGAACTCATCCGCGCCGTGGGCAAAGCGTGGCAATTTCTTGTTCGAGGTCGATCCGAAAGTGGCATGTATATGATTGATCGTCGTGAAGAGTTGCGAGTTGTACATGACAGTTGGAGCAACAGTCTGACTCCGTGTAGCATGCGAACTGGCAGCCTGCACAGGCTTGCCACGCGACAGTGACCTGAGGAGCCGAGTTCGCATGATGTACTCGCTTCGCCAGGATGCCAAAGCAGTAAGACGCGTGAATGCGCGCTTCTTCGACTTGATGCCAGCTTGATCATCGTTATCGTCGTCGAGTAGTAGTGCATTGATAGAATCGGGACCTGGAAAGAAATGCGAAAAAGCAGTTCGCCATGCATGCGGCCCCGTCACCAAGTCATGGAAGCGTTTCGACACGAGCGAAACAGATGCCAAATCGTTGGGTGCCAGACGGGCCAAGGCATGTGTCAAGACCTCTGCGCTCTATCAGCATGGTCCATCTTCCACATGTTGTGAAATTGACTTACCATTAGGCAAGTCCAGAATAGGAGCCCGCTTGTCTCCCGGGCTACGTGGTTTCTTTATGACCTCAAATGCTGGTCCCTCTCTCTTTTTCATAGGTGGCGTAGAAGCCTGTTCATATTCCAAGATACGATTCCGCGCTGACGGCGAAGGTGTTGTGCGCGCGTTCAGTCCGCGCTCGGCAGAGTCGCGTTTTCCGGCATCGCGTTCGGCTTCCTGCAGCGAAGCTGCGATCGCTGCATCGAGAGCAGACTGCTCCTCTGCGCTTGTCTTCTCTGCACTGGAGTGTGGCGGAGAGACTGCTCCAAGGTCGTCGCGAAGGAGGCCATGCTGGGTAGGCGTCGTTGTCTGCTCGGTGGATTGCTCGATCGTCGCTGTTGGGGGAAGCGATGAGGACTCTGGTAGCATAAAAGGTGCGGAGGAGGCGACGAGGGTTCTATCGGCTGAGCCAATTCTGGTTCAGTCAGGGCGCAGATGGGCTTGCGAGAGCGTGTGGCGTTTGGTTGTTGTCGAGGAGTCAAAGCCGCTCTGACGTGTGGAAGTAGCAACACCTCCGGCGAAATTTCGGAGTGGCGCCTGAGGCCGAACTGTTTGATGGGAGGAGAGGAGAGGAGAAGCCCAGCGGCGATGTTGAGCAGCACTGGAACAGTCCGAATCATTCTTTACATTTCCGTCATTGTCCACGCCGAGAGGTATCATCTAATTCATTTCCACCGCGCCCCAATGCAGATATCCTCATAACGCCATTTAACGTCGCTCATGCTCGAAATCATCTACTGCGCGAGGAGCCCTACAAATCCTCCGTGGAGCAATTTGGATGCACAACATAGACCGTCTTGCTTGTTCTCTCTAAGCCCGTTCCATCTTCTTCCGCGAGACCCTCGCCTTGCACTTTCATGAGCACGTTGTTCTGCAAGCCGAATTAGTGAACTGCTCAATAGCATCAAGACACAGCTTTCACATACTTTTACCATGCGCTTCAGCACTTTTCTTGCAAGGCTGTTGGCCTCTGCAAGCCCATCCGTATCGTGGATGCCTTCCTCCACTTGCTCAGTATACCATTGCAGCAGGTCATCCTCCTCGACACCGTCTTGTTCCTCATTCTGATCCTCGTTCACACGTTTCAGCAGCATGTTCTGGATCTTGATGAAGTCGTCGTATTTGATCTGTGTCTTTGGTCGTTGGGGACCCAGTGTCTGCGAGGCTCGGGCGGCCGGGGTTCCTGCACCACCCTCTTCACCGCCCATTTGGGCATCCTCGTCGTCCGCGGCAGCGCCGCCTTCTGCGTCGTCAACTGCAGCTGCCTCGTCTTCCTCCTCGAACTCGACATCATCCTTGTCTACGCTGATGATACTTTGCTGCAGCAGCTTGAAAGCTTCATCAACGAACGCTGGCGTGACCTCGTCCACGCAGCTCGCTTTGGCAATAGCCTCGCTGAGACGAATGAGAGATTCAAGTTGTCGAACAGTGATGCGGTAAGAATTGCGACCGATACCGCCCTGCGCATCGTCCGCTCGCAGCTCCTTGTACTTCTGCACAAGGTAAGCTCTTGCCTGCTCGGTGAAGACAGGTTGAAAGAGGCGGGCAAAACGGATGTATCTCTGCAGCTGCTCGGTGCTGAATTCGGGCTCGATTGCCTCATCCTTCTTTTGGTGCAGCCCAACGATATGCCTGGCCAAGTGCTCGTCAACATCCTCGTTGCAGTCGTCCAGGACAACGAAGAAGAGATCGAAACGCGACATGATCGGCGCACTCATGTTGATGTTGGCACGCAGCGTCGTCTTCCGGTTATATCGACCTGAGACAGGATTGGCCGCTGCGAGGATGGAAGTGCGAGCGTTCAGTGTTGCTTGTATGCCAGCCTTCGCGATCGAGATTGTCTGCTGTTCCATGGCTTCGTGGATGGCCACCTGATCTGCGATATCCATCTTGTCGAACTCGTCGATAGCGCAGATACCGTTGTCAGCCAACATGAGAGCACCGGCTTCAATCGTAAATTCTCCAGTCTCCTCGTCTTTCACCACGGCAGCCGTCAGACCAGCCGCAGAAGATGCCTTACCAGATGTATACACAGCGCGTGGCAGGAACGAGCACACGTACTTCAAGAATTGTGACTTGCTGGTGGACGGATCACCCACGATACAGATGTTGATATCGCCACGTAAGGCCATCCCCTCTGGGGTGGTCTTGCTAACACCACCGAGCATCTGCAAGAGAAGACCCTTTTTGATGACTGTATGTCCAAAGACCATAGGTGCGAGGGAATCCACGAGTCTCATATAGATGTTTTCTGATTGCACCATCTCTCTCAGCTCGTCAATTTCAGCTGGTGTGAGCGTGTCAAGATAATCCTGCTGTGCCTTCTCCCCACCGAGACCATCAGAAGTGTCGACGTTCTGCGCGAGTGAGCTCATCAGATTTCCGGCTTGGCCCTTCAAGTTTTGGCTGGAGTGCTGTCCTTGTGTCGAAGTGTCTGGGGTGATCATGTTCGCGAGGAAAGCCATACGGTAGGTCAAATCACGCACTCCGAGCGCTTTCAAGCCCGATACACCTCCGCCCCCAGTGTCGGACCCACGAGGCGCCTGTGTATCGCGAACTGCTTGTACTCGCATTCCCGGCACTCTGAACTGGCTGACATCCGGCACGACAATCAAAGTTCCTGTGAAGATGCACTTTTCACCAGCCTTCGCACGATCTACCATCTCGCCGCGAAGGATGACTTCCATCGTCCGGGGCATGCTGCCAGTCGGAATTTCCGAGCTGTTTTCTTGGATCTTAACTTTCTGCCAATCGATAAAGGTGCTTTGGCGAATGTCCAGTCGCCAACCTTGCCTATTACCACATGTCGCGTTGGGACACTGTGTTGGTTCTGAGTACTTGAAGATCTGCTCCACATCGGGAACAAGACTGTTGCAAACCTCGCATACGAATGTCGCGAGATGCAGTTCGGGCCTGACCTCTGATGTTCTCGTCACTGTACCGGATATCGATACCAATTTGCCGATCTGCTCCGTTCGCAGTTGTCGCACTCTAGACACCAGCGGGAGGTTGTAAAAAGCCAAGGTGAAGATTTTGTCCGTCTGTTGATTTGGTGTCTTGTCGTTCAAGTTGCTTTCCTCTTCCTCGCTGATGCTTTGCGTGGCCTGCGAGGTGTCTGTCCTCGCTGTTGTAGAACCCGGCTGTCTGTGCATGCGGTAATACGCTGGTTCGTATTTGGCGATCAGGCTGTTCAGTGCCCGAAGCATGTACGGCCGGAAGCGATAGTAGTCGCCTTGTATGGCATTGGCCAAAATGCCGCGCTCGTGGTCCATTAGGTGTGTGAAGTCGACATAGAGTGTGGAGAGCCCGTACTGTGCCAGGCCATGCACTTGCGCAATGTAGTATTTGCTTGATGTTACAGCACTCGAAAGTGGCTGCGCTGAAGGTGTGGGCTCTTCTGTGAAGCTCTCGAGGAAGCGCTCGAACTGTATGCCCAGTGTTTCTGCTGTTGTATCGACGACTCGCGGAACATCTGCTGCACCAGTCGTTGCTCGCCTCATGCCTCTTCGACCGACAACCTCGTCATCAGCGAAGCCGTCGATATCGCTGTGCATTCCAGGTGTGCTGATAGATGGCGGTCCTCTGGGTGTCGCACCGCCCCTTGGTCGTGATGAAGAACGGGCCTGCCGTCTCCGTCCATCAGATGCGTCGCTTCGTGGGTCGCGAGGTGTAGGTGCATTGTCAGAGCCCATGGCCAGATCAATGAGCGACGACATGGTTGGATTTGTGGGCTTTGCTGTTGGTGGGAGCTGATCTGGATTGCAGAAGCAGAAACGAGCAGACGACTTTGGCGGGACCAGACGACGCGCTTCACGCACAATTTTCGCGTCTCTGAGGCAAATGTCGTGGCTGCGTGCCGTGATCAGTTGCCTCGACTCACATATGGTAGTTGGAGAAAAGTGGAGGATCAGTCGCTCCTCACCCTTGCGGTAGTCCGAGGCTCCCACCCTAGCCCATTCACTCGCGATCGCGTCGCAGCAGTACGAGTTATCTGTTAAGTCCCAGTTTGTCACGATATTTGCACTTCTACCTCACGCGTAAAGTGGTTCTTAGCGCGAAGTTCCTGCAGGGCCAAGCGACGAGCCGGCAGGGATTGTCTGGAGAAGTCCACAAAGAAACATCGAACGACTTCGGGGCCAGAAACAATTCAACTACTTTCACTCGCCACACCTCTACTCCGCTTGCTACAGCACACCATGACCGCCACGACGACCGTCACGCAGACTGCGTCCCCATCCTCAGCGGAGAACATCCTCCGCCTGTTTCCAGAGATCAACACCGAACTCGCAACCCAAACACAATCTGCCACACAAGATGCCGACATGGCGGGGTACGACGAGGAGCAGATCCGACTCATGGACGAGGTATGCATTGTCCTAGACGACAATGACCTCCCCATTGGCAGTGGATCCAAGAAGATGTGCCATCTCATGGACAACATCAACAAGGGCCTGCTCCACCGCGCATTCTCCGTCTTCCTCTTCGACTCACAAAATCGATTACTGCTGCAACAACGAGCTTCTGAGAAGATCACTTTCCCTGACTTGTGGACGAACACATGTTGCTCGCACCCTTTGGGTGTCCCTGGCGAGACGGGCTCAACATTGGATGCTGCTGTGTTGGGAGTGAAGCGGGCGGCACAGAGGAAGCTCGACCAAGAGCTTGGTATCAAGGCAGAGCAAGTGCCAATTGAAAAGTTCAAGTTTCTGACAAGGATACACTACCTCGCTCCCAGTGACGGCAAGTGGGGTGAGCACGAGATTGATTACATCCTGTTTATCAAGGCCGATGTCGATGTGGTTCCCAACCCCAACGAGGTGCAGGCCACCGACTACGTGACACCAGAAGATCTGAAGAACATGTTTGCGGAAGGGAAGCTCAAATTCACGCCGTGGTTCAAGCTCATCTGCGAAAGCATGCTGTTCGAGTGGTGGCAGCACTTGGACACGGGGTTGGACAAGTACATGGGCGAGACGGAGATCAGGCGCATGCTGCCTGCAAAGGTCACCAGCAAGTAAAACACGATACCTTCACACACATGCTCGGTGGCAGTGGCCAATGCTTGCGCGATGATCAGCGGTTTATGTTCATGATACCAGAGACCGACAGAATCCAACCAAGAATTTCATGCTGAGCCGCATAGGCGACAGCAGGTTTCCATTATTATGTTCCAGAGCATATGCCAGGTCTTTGGGCGTGTTGCTTCGATCTTTGTCGCTCCTTCCCTTTGTCGCGTAGCAGCCACGCTTTCCCGCCTTCCAGGGAAAGAACCGTCTGCCTAGATGCGAGCTCTCGCTTCACTTTGGCCGCCTGAAATCGTATACAGCGAATACATGACTGATAATGTCTCGGACTCAGGAGCGCGCGAAACGCATGGCGTTGCTGAACGCGGGTCCACAGGTGCCAGCCGTGACTTCAAACGAGCAGCATGGTCAACTCATCCCGCTAAAAGGTGACCACTTCCTCCGACGCGACACATACGACATTCCAATCGAAGAGAACGAAGAGTTTCCCATTCGATCACGGAACGTCGAATCCGGCAAACCTCGCTCGACGAGAGATATTGATCCGGAAGACTCACCACTATCAGAAGATGAGCTTGAAGCCGTCTATGGCGGGAACGCAAGTCCAATACGCTCATCTCCCCATCAGACACTACTGAGCGAGAAGATTCACGATCAGCAACAGCGGCGATCGAGTGTCGCTGGCCGACCTAAGAGGAGACGAATCTTACAGCCGGATGCTCAGAAGCCTGCAGTACCCAGTGCACCGGTGCAGCCCGAGGCAGTGCCTTTCAATGCACCAATCATCACGCATGATCAAGATCGAGAAGGCTCCCCGTCAGACAAGATCACTCCACGCCTGACGAGCGCGCCCAAGCACGCAGTCTCCAAGCGAACCAATCTTCCGCGACCAAAGCCAAGTAGAGAAACAGCAACGGTGGTGCGGTCTCGCCGTGAAGCAGCCGCCCGGCGACTTCCGGTCAATGAACTGTTGCTTGTGAGGTCTCCTTCCGAAGTAGGCTGCACACCTGATCCACGCAGCACCGCCCCTGATACAGAAGACCAAGACCCAATCGAGAGCAGCTGTACTGGAGACACACCGAATTATCATGGTAGAGGTAACAGGAGGTCTTCGCCGATCAAGGCTCCTTTGACCTCACTCAGACGACGTATCAAGAAGCCAAAGTCTTCTCACAAGTCGATTGTGGCATTGCAACGAAAGGCTCTCGCACGTGCGCCATTTTTCAAGGCAACCAAGCAGAAGACGGTGACTGGAGACGGGTTCGAGATATCAGAGATGAAAGTCACCCATCCGAAGCCTGTCATGAAGCGGCGCTGCGGTCGCCGAAATTTAGCAAATTTAGCAATGGGCTTTTCCACCTTGACCCTCAAGCCAGGTCCTCTGCCCGATGTTGAATTCTTTCCAGACATTGTGAAAGAAGAGGTTAAGGCAGAATGTGCTGCAACTGTGTTAATGGAAGACGAAACAGCTCACACTGGTGGGAGCGGCTTCCGCCAACAACATTCTGCCGAGCCGGCACAGCAGCGCACAGTCACCTTTAGCGATCGTGTGCTGGACGAGATGATGTTCCAACGACTGTCTTCGGTCACGGCGCCCAAACGCGTCTACTCCATATCCTCGGACGAGAGTGAGGGCGAGGACTACGGGCACGACGATTGGAATCAATCCGAGACCGGAACGCATGAAGGAGACAACCAGGGTAACGAAAGGCCTCGTACGGTCTCTGCCTCTCCTCGTCCTGCAACACCGGGGGCTCGGCGTGCGTTGGATCATTCTGCCCGATCGAGTCATTCGTTAACCCGATCTCCCTCAACCCAAGCTCGTAGCACAGGCGTTCAGTTCGACTTTCGCAAATCTTCAGCCACGTCGGCTGCTAGACCTTCATTCGACAAGCGTCATCTGATTGAAGTCGACGAGATGATTATGGACGACCCTGACACCGATATGATCTTTCCGGTCCACGACCATGGCAATGAGGAGATGCTCGAGCCAAATGTGCACGTAGTGGATCTTGTTGATCGCAATACGCCTTCGCTCTCGAAGCCTCGCGCACCACGCTCCATATTGCGCCGGAAAAGCTCTTTGCAGCAAGAGAGCAACACTCATCCCGAGAACACTGCAGCAAATACGCGGCGCAACAGCATTCGAATTGCCGATGAGAGCCACTACTTCAACGTGCACTCGAACGACGATGCTGAAGACGAGCAGCACTCTGAGGAAGAGCAAGAGCCTACACCTCGTAGACGCAACACCGAGATAAACCTCGACGAAAGCCGCTACTTCAGCGAAGTAGCCGGTCGACTCCAGCAAGACGCCAGCAAGAAACCTCGCATCATCAAGCAGCGCTCCAGTGAAGCCAGACGAGCCAGCTGGCTCAGCCAGCAAGAAGTTCTGATACCTGACAGCGATACTGCCGTGCTCGAATCGTCCACGGATGTCCAGGATGCTTCCCCTGGACCGCCTGACTACACAAATTTCAGCAAGCAGAATGTTCTGATGCGGAATGGCGATACTACTTGGACTTCGTCGAACGTGCCAAGGATGTACAAAGATCTGAAGACACTGACGAGATCAGTGAGTCAGGAGCATGGTACGTTGAGTCAGTCGGTGCGGAGGAAGTCGAGTTTGTCGTTCCGTTCGCCTACAAAGGCGAAATGAAATGGCATGGTAGCGCAGGATAGCATGGAGGAGGAGGTCTCAAATGGAGACAGGATGAATCGTTGCAGAATGACTATGGTCTTGGCTGGCGTGCGAAGATTTCCTTGCCGCCGCAACTCTAACTCCGCTAGCTTTCGCTATTATGTTCCGATGCGTGTGAATCAAATGTACTCGTGAAGCATCACAATATTGAACGTCTCTTCGATATTGATTGAAATTTATGCGCCGCCAACTAATCTTCCAACAATTGGGGTGCACGAGCCGTGTGATGACTAAGCGTTCAAGAAAGTCTCGAACTCGAACTTTTGTGCATCTGCATACATCAAACCCAGGATCCATCAGAATCTAATGTCTAAACGCGACCGGCAGGAGGATGGAGGCGACAGGCCGCCTAAGCGCGCGCGGTCTGAGCATCAGCCCGCTCAAGTCTTCGAAGTAACGTACGCGCGAGACCTCCAGCGGTATCTGGTCTTCCGCCAAGATGGAGAACAGCAACAACTACTGAACGGCATCGCCTCTTTCAAGGCATTTCTTGAGAGTATCCTGTATCACAAGGAAGAAGACAATCGAGGACGGCAGATATCGATACTGCGAGAATATCTGGACACACAGAAGCCTAGCGATCCCAAGGATACCGAGCACCCATTTCTTGCACAACTATGGCAAGCCTGGTCTTTTGCCAACCAGAACAACAAAGATCATCTGGCATCCACTGTCTGCGCAGTGTTGTCGCTATTGCTCAAGACCCTCTCTGGAATCTTGGACCTGCGAGAATACGGACTGCTACTGTGCCGGACAGTCCTGCAGCACCAGCATCTTCGTCTCATCAAGCGCTGTCTTGATGGTCCCAAGCACAAGGACTTCATCATCTCCCCATCTTTGCGACTGCTCATAGAAGTCACCAGCTTCGACGGAGGTGTACTGGCCCGAGAAGTGTACAAGCGCCGCGAGCAAACATTCGACACCAGCACGATTCGCCGCAATCTCGGGCTCGTCAAATTTGATGTCTCGGAGGAGGACGCTCGCAAGAGGCCATCTATCCGCATTCTCACAGTGCGATATCTCTTGGTTTTGTTCAAGCACTTGCACGAGGGTGGCAAGATTGACATCCTGAACAGCAAGCCACTTTGCAGCGCGCTGTTCCAGTTCGTACAAGCAGATCCCACCGATCTGGTCATCGAGCTGTTATCTACAGTGGAGCAGAACATTCTCAAGGATGAAAATGTACCTCGGACGTCCAAAGCTGCTATGTTGACATCGCAAAATCTGGAGAAGGTGACTTCAGTTGCCACTCGTAGTCTCGAAGAGCATGCTGCGGCCGACCGCGCCTTCGACTGGCTGAAGGCTGTATGCAGCAAAGAAGCTTATGGAGTGCTGAGAAAGGCCGGCTGGTACCCTGCTGGAACTACAGAGCCACGCTCGAAGCAGTCTGAGGACAACATCGACCTCGGACTGGACAGTCTGGAGTTCTACGATGACGGCGAACCCATCAACGTTCGTAACAGTATCTTACTGTCGTACATTGCCACTTTGCGTGCTCATGCTGACGAGCGAGAACGGGAACTGCTCTTGACGTGCTTCCGGTCTGCTCCAGAACTGGTTGCGGCATACTTTTACAACAGTAAACTGCAGCTCGACCCGAAACTTTCCAATACCTGGATTGGATATGCTTCGCTGATGTCTGAGGTGGTGCGCCTCGATGTGCCTCACATTGTTGGCGAAGAAGGAGAAGCACCACTGGTTCCGCCACAGACGAAGATCATGATTGAGAACATCTTGCCACAGCCGCTCACATTGCAAGTCCTCAATCGCTGTCTAAGTCAAAATGAGGAACTCATCGCCTTCTTCGCCGTCCGCATCCTGATTGCTGCTTTACAGAAATTGGAAGCTGTCCTTGTGCAGCTACGAAAGCACAGCAAGAGCCAGCTATGGGAGCAGGCCAGTGAACGACTGGTACAACGCTTCGTCGAACGAGCGCCCAAGCTGAAAGATGTGTTCTCTGTCTTTCGGAAGATGTCGGACAATCATTCGCATGCCCTGCAAAGAGAGTCCATCACCAGACTGATGCGCTTGTACTACGAAGTGATTCCTGTTCAAGCGCTCGAGGACCCTGTGGATATATCCAATGCCTTGACAGAATCGCTGCTGCACAGCGAGGAGCCTGATGTCAATACAAATGATGAGACTGGAGGTCTACGGGCGCTGGAGCTTGAGCATCTACTCACCGTCGCGCGACACAGTACTGGCATGCGTTGGTTCCATAAGCAAGGTGGCCTAAAATACACTCCTGTTGTCACACTGCTGCGTATACATCGGAGGGAGGTGACCAACTCGCAGATCCGCCTACTGCTCGAAAGCGTGCTCACCGAGAACGGCATTTTGAACGCAATTGATGATGTTCAACAGTCGTCGCCTTTTGATGCTCTGGTCGCGAGCGTTACAGCACTTTCCGATGACAGCACTGCGTGGGACTTCATCGACGACTGCATCGGACGTGCAACACGGAAGCCGGTCAAATACGTCGATGATCTTGAAGCCCTTGATACTTCTGACGCAACATTGCCAAGCATCCTTGCGGCCGTCGTGCTTGAGCAGGCTTCATTCGTGACCGCAAAAGACTCCGAGCAAGGCAAAGCAGAGGCACAATGGATTGTCCAGTTCTTGAGCTTGCTACAGCTTACCTCGGACGGCAATGCAAAACTCGCCGAGGTCTCAAAGAGATGCATGAAGGTGCTGGCCAAGCTGGCGAAACCTGACAAAGCTCATGCTTCTCAGGCTTTGCAGACACTAAAGGGTGCGTTGCCAATGGAGACTTCTACAGCGAATGCGGAAGAGGCAATCGAAAACCCACAAGCTCCAGCTCTAGCCTTCGATCCACCACCAGCTGAGCGAGAGAACCACACCGAACTCTTCCGCTGGGCTCAAAAGGACATGGACCTCGCAATCGAAGACGGCGATATCTCAGCCTTGATCCTTTGCCTCTGCTCCAGACACAACGATGTCCGCAGACAAGCCCTCACCCAACTGAACAAAGTCAAACTCCAACTGCGACCATCCTCCATCGACCCCGAAACAATTGCCGACGACCACACGCACATCTCCCTTCTGATCGGCGAACTCACCGAAACCTTCGAACTCCACTACCTGCCTTTCGACAAGCCTCTTCCTTACTTGGCAGGTACTTTCGCCTCCCGTGCCCTAAGCATCCAAACTCATCCTTCTCATTACCTCTACGCCAAACTGAACCACTTCCTCATCCGAGGCGCGAAATGGGACGTCAAACGTCTTCCTCGATACTGGATCGAGAAGACTTTCCTTGCCGAACCTGATGATGACGATGCTTACTGGAAAGAAGTGCAATGGGTGCTAGACTGGCTCGTCGATGGCATTCGCACTTCTGCGGACCTCGAGATTCTGAGAAAAGGCGATCAGAAGAAAGATGCGACGAAGAAGCCGGAAGTGATGGAGATGGTTTTGGCGTTGTGGGGAAGTACTGGGGCGAAGAGGAATCGGCTTGTGAGAGAGAGGATTGCGGAATTGGTGTACAGGATTAGTTGTGTGGATGATGGCTCAGATGTTTTGATTACGAGGAGTGGAGGGCTGAGCTGGTTGAAGATGGCGAAGAAAGAGGATGGGAATGACATGATAGAAGCATTGAAGGAGAGGATTGGAGAGATGTGTGATGGAGAGAGGATACAGAACTGGAAAGGTCTCAAAATGGTGGAAGCTTAGTCTGCCATTGAAGGTGGTTTTGCAGCAGAAATTTTGACCCCATAGTTGTCAGAGCGAGTGATGTACTCGGTGATGTGCAAAGCAATATCTCATTAGAAGGGCGACTCCAATCCATAATGCTGATCAATGTCAAACCACTCCAAGGTACATAATCGCGAACCGAGACGAGGTTGCCAACGAACGTCCTTGGTCTAGCGGTAGCCCAGTAAATCGCGTTCAAACACGTGTTTGGGAGACGAGAAGGCGACAGTATCGAAGGGAGAGAATTCACTCACCCTGTTGTACTCCTTGGATCTCTCGCCGTTTGGCCGAGGGCGGATGTTTTTGCACTTCGCATCCCCTTTTGCCTCAGCCAACCGCAGTCCTGCTGATCGTCCCTTCTTCGCCTTCGCAAGATCTCTACTCTGTTGTCTCCTGGAAGCTAAGGGTACACAGTGTACATGATGTTTCCAAACAGTCTGCTCATCAACGATCATCCTTTGTCTAGCAGTAGCTCAGTAAGTCGCATGCATAGCATGTGCGTGCGACGTTCATGAGCAAGAAACTCGACCACAGGCAAAAGAAAGACTGGCGTGGAACGTGTTGTGGGCGGCGGCAGGATTTCAGAGGCGATTGTTTTGCCCCTTGTTTGCAGGTTTTGTCCAGGTCCATGTCTTCTTCACTTCCTTGCCATGTCTCCCAGACTTGAGCTCGTATGTTCCTTTTGACCGAGATTATGGAGTATGCAGCATACATGATCGATCACGAGAAGACCCATCTCAACGATTCGTTCTTGGCCTAGGGATATGCCTAGTAAGTCGCATGTATACCATGTGCCGGGGAATGCATGTCAGCGATACAACCGCTTACGATCTGTCAAACTCGGATTGTAACCGTTGAACGTTCCAGCTCTCGTAGCCAAGGACGATTATTTTGCTCCTCAAAACTCACTTTTGCCATACATAGCTCTGGGGCCTCCCTTTGTCTCTATGGGGCGTGATCTGGCTTGTTTTCTTTTGTATCCATACCAGAATCTCGCAGCATGTTTATTCATTTCAGAGGCAACGTGTCTCAACGATCGTCCTTGGTCTGGTGGTATGTCTGTAAGTCGCGTCAACCTCGGAGAAGCGCTGAACGCTAAGGGATGGATGGAGACACGTTGAGTCTTGCAGCCCAGATGATGAAATGAGACTCTGCTCGTGTCTGGATCTTGCTGCCACTCGATCGATGGTGATTGTTTTGCTCTTTATATCTACTTTTGTCTCCACAAATTGCTTTTGGCCCTCTTGTTGCGCCGGAGTTACGGACATCGGTCATTTCTTTTTGTCATTCTGGCTGAAGAATACATCGTATATCATAATTTCGAGATCTTGAGCCCCCAAAGGTCGTCCTGGGTTCAACGGTATACTTCGTAAGTCGCGTTCCATTCAACAAGCGCTGTGTAGCGGTTACCTGCATGGGTCCGTTCCAAAGTCCAGACATCACTTGATCATTCGGCGACTTGTTCGAGGCCATGTCTCTGCTGATCGCGGGACTGGGGGCGATCATTTTGCTCTTTTGTCATCTCGTTAGGCCAATTGCGAAGATGATTACTTTGTCCATACATCGCTCCGGCTCACCTCTGTGCCAATACATCTCGGTGTAGGTAGGCTTTGTGTTGCAGTGTAGAATGTGGCGTCTGATCTTAAAGGTTTCCTTCAGAACAGCAAGGGTTAGACGACTGTTCTACAGTGGCGACAGGGATGCAAGACTCGCATCGTCTAGGCACATCAGTTAGATATGCAGGCGTGGATGGGCTACCGATATAGCGTGTCCATCGAGGTAAAGTATCCTTAAGTCTCGCTTTCCTTGATCTTCACTACTATGCCGTACGACATGCATATTGCTTTGTCGAATCCAAGCGCTTGACGATCGTTCTTGGTCTAGTGGTAGATTCTCTAAGTCGTAATCCACGGATTATGCTTGAACTTGCCGAATCGCTTGCTCTACATTTAAGCTTCACATGAGCTGAATGCTGAGAGTGGCTTCGGCGTCCACAGCGACCAGAGGCGATTGTTTTGCACTTCCTCAGTTATCTTCGCCTCCATAGCTACAGGAATCATGTCAACCTTTGCTCCTGCAGGACCCTTTCAATGCATCGGGCAAGACCGACCGTTCAGTCCGAGCATCATACGCGACCCCGTAGGCTATATATCATGGACGCTGATAAGGTATCTCAACGGTCGCCCATGGTCTAGTGGTAAACTGAATAAGTCATAGGATCTGAACTGTGCTTGAGATTCCAGGCCCGATGTCACTCTCATCGACTCTGGGGTCATCAGTGTCGAGGAGTGAGAATTCCAGCCTACCTTGGGTCATGGGCCTTTGTTTTGCTTCCAAGCAGTTCCCTTATCTGCCAGTATATTTTCGATGTCTACTCGTGTATATTCTTTTTGTCATCGGAGACAGTCGCGGAACCCGTTCGAACATATCTTTGGGCACTTCATACTACGGCACTCATGGCTGTGCGAAGTGGGTGCAAGTGTTGAGCCGTTGGTCGTGGCTCTGTGGTAAAGAGTACGAATGGTGCGTCAATGACGCAGCACTGGATCTCATGGATTTGAAGCAGGCTGGCCTTCTGGTCATCTCATCTCTGTTTTCAAAGGTGCTTCCCAGTGCGCGTGTTTCAATCTTACGCTCCCGGGGCGACAGTTCATGCAGATAGATGACGCGGTGAGGTGAGCACCTTGTCATGGTATTGCGCCTGGTGATGATCACGTTGTGCCACTCTCTGAGTGCTCCCCTTGACAGCCATTGCGCTACTCGTTGAGCCTTTGTGGCGCAACTGCTTGTCATCGGAGTTGGTGTGTTCAGTCTGGTGCTTCAAATGTCCTCATCCTCTTCGCCGCCATCATCTCGATCCTCAATTCCATTCGTCATGGCCAGACCCTCCATTCCGTCGTCATCATCTCCGACCGTGCCCAGCAGAGTAGAATTCGGACCATTCTTCGACTTCTGGGCCCTCAAAATGACAAGCCTCGCCCTTCTGATAGCTTCCTCCTCCGCCTTCTTGATCGTCCCGCTGACTCTCACGACCTGTATCACGCAAGGCTGGTCCAGTGGTTTCGGCAATCTGGTCGCGAACGACAAAGCAGCCCACACAAGTCTGTAATGTTCTCTTGCCACTCGTACGATGGCGGTTGATGTGGCTGGTGAGCAGTATTTGACTGTATGGATATTAGTATACGGCTCGCAAGCGGCCAAATGATGCCCTGGGAATATGGAAATACGCACTTTGCAAGCTCCCGGCGATCATGCCAGCTCCGTAGTCCCCAAAAAGCTCGGAAACTCCATTTTTGATCATCTTGTGCAGCGTTCCGCCATTAAATTGATCAGAGCTCGGTCGTCGAAATTGGACTGCCCATGGCAGCTCATCGACCGTTTTGCTTGCGACTGTTGATTTGGGCTTGTCCTCGTTCGGATAGAGGATGTTGAGCAGGAGATATCGGTGCTTGATGCGGACCATCTTGGGCGATTTCAACCTTCTTCACGTGGAATATGATAGTCTTGGGTATCCAGAGAGCTGAGCATAGTACTTTGTGCCAGCCTGAAGGATATTTACATCTTTCTGTATTGTTGTCGTCGCGTGCCCAAGACCTGACGTCGCGTCGCGAGAAAAAGTTCAGCGGAGCCAATTCCGCTCCGAATCGCAACCTCGAAAAAAGTCCAGAAGCTTGAACTTCTTCTCATTCACATCACCACAACACTCGTCACCATGTCGGACAGTCGCTTCGAAGCTCTTCAGAAGGATCCGCGATACAGATTGCCTTCGCGAAAAGAAGCGCGCACATCAGTCGACCCTCGCTTCAAAACTCTCTTCACCGATCAGGATTTCCGCAAGAAGGCGACTGTCGATCGATATGGGCGCAAGATCAAGCCCGAAGCGGGCAAGAAGGAGCTTGAGAGGCTGTATCGACTAGAAAAGAAACCAAAGAAACAGGAGCGAGAGGTTGCGGGCAGTAGCGAGGAGGACAGTGAAGAGGAGAGCGAGGAAGAGGAAGAACTGGTCACTGCGAAAAAGCACGATCCTGCGCGCGATGGAGGATTCGATGAGAGTTCGTCGAGCGAGGAAGAGACTTCGGACGAGGAAGAAGACAGCGACGAGGATGAAGAAGAGGACGAAGAGGCCGAGCTTGCAGATGCGACAGCCGGGCACGAGCAGACAGAAGAAATTCCTATGGGTGAGGTCACAAAACGAATAGCTTGCGTGAACCTGGATTGGGACAACATAAGAGCTGCAGATATCATGGCTGTTGCACAAAGCTTCTTGCCTGCCAGTGGCAAGGTGGAGAGTGTTGTCATATATCCTAGCGAATTTGGCCGAGAACGCCTGGCGAGGGAAGAGGTGGAAGGGCCGCCAAGAGAAATCTTTGCATCGTCGAAACGAAAGAATCAGCAGGAAGAGGATGACGACAGCGAGAGCGAGGACGACGAGACAATCAAGGAGCGGCTGTTGAAGCAGCAGGCCAGTGAAGGAGAGGAATTCGACTCAGCCAAGTTGAGGCAGTATCAGCTGGAGCGACTGCGGTACTACTATGCTGTGATTGAGTGCTCGGACGAGCACACTGCCAAGACACTATACGATGCCATGGACGGGCGAGAATATCTGTCGACATCCAATTTCTTCGATCTGCGCTTCGTTCCGGACGACACATGCTTCGAGGACGATGAAGTACACGACGAATGCATGCAGCTCACGCAAGGGTATACGCCAAACGACTTCCGGACAGAAGCTTTGACACACTCGAAAGTGCAATTGACCTGGGATCAAGACGATGCGACACGGAAGGAAGTGCAGAAACGAGCTTTCTCTCGAGCAGAGCTGGACGAGAACGATCTTCAGGCGTACATCGGATCGGATGACAGTGATGCAGACAGCACTTCGTCGCGGATGTCAGTCGCGGAGAAAAAGAAGAAGGCAAAAGCGGCGGTTCTGCGGGCAAAGCTTGGCCTAGGTGCTGAGCCTGAGAAGGCCTCGGGCAACGACAAAGAGGTTGTAGGAGACATGCAAATTACGTTCACTTCAGGTCTTAGCAACACCAAGGACAAAGGTAGCGTGTTTGAGAACGAGCCACAAGACGAAGAGTCGACGAAACAGCGATACATTCGCAAGGAGAAGGAACGAAAGCAGAAGCGAAAGGAGAGGATGAAGGCTCGAGCCAATGGTCAAGTTGAGGACTCAGATGCCGAAGAGCAGCCTGTCGAGACTGCAGCGAATGGCGCCGACGCTGATTCAGAAGATGATGATCCCTTCAATGACCCATTCTTCAACGATCCTGCTCTCGCGGCCAAGCAAGAAAAGGCGGCTAAGAAAGCAGAGCGAGATGCAAAACGAGCAGAGAAAGAAAAGGCTGCGGTAGAAGCTGAAGGCCGCAAAGCAGAACTCGAGCTTCTTATGGCAGGCGAGGACGGCGCAGAGCACTTCGACATGCGAGACATTGAAAAGGCAGAGAGGCAAGCGAAGAAGAAAGGCAAGCACGCGAAGAAGAACAAGAAGGATGTTGTCGAAGATGATTTCAAAGTCGAGACTAACGATCCGCGATTCGCTGCGCTGTTCGAGAGTCATGAATATGCAATTGATCCTACGAATCCAAAGTTCAAGAAGACGAAGGGGATGGAGACTCTGCTGGAAGAGGGCAGGAAGAAGAGAAAGGGAAGACATAATGAGGAGGATGACGACGCTCCACCGAAGGAGAGCAGGAAGAAGGCGAAATCAGAACAGAAGCAGAGTGCTAATGGTGCTGATGACGATGTGAAGGGCCTTGTGGCGAGGCTGAAGGGCAAGAATAAGGGCAAAAGTAAAAGTAGGTAATTGCGTTCCGTGGAGACGAGTGCTCAACGATCTAACTTGACGCCCCTAATTTTATGGGTTTTCGATGTTCGGTATAATGTATTGCACACACCTTGCCCCATAAAGTCTGGACCTGGAAAGCAAAACAATCGCGAAGGAGCTGGAAGGCGCCAAGATGATGTTCGGTGTCTACAGGTCTTAGAATGACCTATTACACTGATGCTCACATGCTGGAAGTCAAGCATCACGGTAACTGCAATGACTTACTGACGATACCACCAGACCAAGCACGATCTTTGAAGACCTCTGATTGATTGAAGTATATGAACACCTACAACCGCAGGATATGCGATAGATCTTGACTGCAGATAAGAACTCATTCAAACTTCGAGGAGACGTGACGAGCATGGAGCAAAATGTGACGGCAGAAGACCATAAAAACAGGCAAAACAATCGCACCAAGGCGAAGCTAGCTGCTGAGCGCGACTTCAAACGTGAACTAAGACAAATTTTCATCTTGGGCTCGAGAGAACTCGAGGACCCACTGAGTCAAGCATCGAATGATCCAATGACTTACTGACTTGACTACCTCACCCGGTACGATCGTTAGCCTCCAGCCCCTTTGAGTTGTCATATAGCTTGCTTCGTTAGCTATAGCTGCTGCAAAAGGGATCGTTACATGTCCGACCAAAACGGGAAAAATACCACAGTGAAAGCAAAACAATCACATCCGGCCAGCTGGTTTAAGCGAGGTGGATTCTACAGGAATTTTAAGCAAGTTACTGCCAAGTCAACCGCCGCCTGTTCGTACAGCGTCAGGCAAACCTGACGACTTACGTACTTGACCATTTCACCGGACACCATCGTTGAGCATTGATCATCTTTGTTTGCTAATAAACCTCCAGTCAAGTCGTGCGCTTGCAAAAGTAAGGGGCCAAGCTCAGTTGGCAATTCGGATAATAGAATGGTTCGGGATCAACAAAACAAACGCAGTCAGCGAGATCTTAGAACACAACCGCGCCACCCACACCTGTGTACAGGTTTGCGTCGAGGGAAAACGTTCTGAAGAAGTCAGCATCAGTCTCACCTGACGACTTACGACTCGACCATCTTGCCGGATGCGATCGTTGGAAGCTGGTAATTTGTGGCAAAGTATAGAGACCCAAGTGGCGTGTGGTTCAGTAAAAGTTGGGAACTGTTTCAAAAATCGATACGTCCAAATAAACGGGAGAAGATGGCAAAACAAATGCACCTGGCGAGACACTGAGACAAGAGGATCGAAGACTAGAATAGCTGTAGGTCGATCATCTCGCCGTCTATCTCGGCGTCGAGAGCCAGCATCAATAACGTTGACGACTTACGGCTGAGCCACCTCGCCGGATGCGATCGTTGAAGATTGCTTGTGTCTGATCGTTGATGAAGCTTTGACTGACGCGTGTTTGGTACGAGGAGGTTGGAATAAGGAAGGGGCTGATCTGATTGTTCGATCGGTTGAAGTTGGCACATGCCGACGAACAAAAACGCTGACTGCGATAGATGGTGCCTATCGTACTTTGTACATGAGTGCCCATGATGGAGATGGATATTCCGAGCTTTGACAAGCAGATGCAGCGAGTGCTCTCGAAATACGAAGAGTCTGAATGGACGGACGACGGAACTCTGCACCATAGCTGCAGGTTTGTCTGCCTCTCTGCGTATCCGCCCGAAGCTGCAAGAAGGGATCCCTCAAAAGCTGCCCTCAACGCCAACACCAAAGCTGGAAACAGCTTCTGCGTAACACACTAACATTTGAGACTCCACTGCGTATCATCGCAGCCAGGATTGGCTCTCGAAACTGAACATCTGTACCCTGTAAGCGACGATTGGTCCGCTGTTCTCGCTTGTCAGATGCAAACTGTTTCAGGTATCTCCTGTGCTCAGTACTCACGATTACACTTGACGCTCCAAAGCGAGCCACTAGGATACATGTAACATCGACAACACTGGTCGTTGTCCGGATGACATTCATCTGGATGTTCTTAGCGTAAGGTTCAAAGATGCAGGTTCAACACAGGTATGTGTACCTCCATCACGTAATCTAGCAGAGATAGGCATTGCGAGCGCCACCAGTGCGAGGAATATGTGAGTGACCAGCATGGTGTATTGGAGTCGAAGCTGCTCGATCTATAGATGTAGGGTGGAGGAATTGAGTATGCATGAAGGTTTGACTAGGAGCCACAGTACTGCGATCGGCCTGGTATATCGGCGACTGGAAAGCTATGTCGCAGAAAAATAAGCAGATACGATAGCCCTTAGTATCTAACAAGACCTAGTATAAGCAGTCCCATCCACACTAACCGAAAACGCCAAGACCGCTCTTTAGCTCACCTACTAATGATCCGGTTTATGCGTCTCGATGCTTATCAAGACTCCGATCAAGTCAGCCGAGTCTGGGTCAAACGATACATGTGTTGATGAGGCGTCTATTGCACAGCGGATGGCGAGTGAGCAATGCCGTTTTTCATCCCAGAAACTGGATTCGAGCAGCACAGGACGACCGAACGAACCAGCAATCGCCATGTACGCCCCTGGGTACGAGAGGCCTTGGAGCGTAAACAGAGTCGCTTGTGACTGGGAGAGAGCAGACGACTGACTCTCATCGTGGTCTTCTCGTGTCACTTTATAAACCACACGGCCCGGACGAACTTCTTGAAAGGTCCAAGTGTTCAGGTTAGCTAGAGCCAAACAATTCGAGGAATTGAACGTCTGAACATTACCCGTCTGTGCATCAATTGTCAACGTGGCCTATCTTTCATGTTCGCTAGTCAACTTGACCTATGTTCCATGTTCGCTATAAACACTCCACTGCTAAGCCGGAGTGATAACGTATGACTGTCCAGCTTCGGTGCCGATCGGCCCAGAGTATGACTGACCATTGACTTGAAAGTTTTGGCCATTGTTGAGGCGCAGTGCCAACTCACTGCCTCGTTGCGAGATGACCGTTGCCTGACTCAAACCGCCTCCGGAATTCCAGCTGATATCGACTTTGAATCCGCCACGTCCTATCAGACCCTTAACGGACCCGGTTCGAGCATTGGAGGTTTGCGCGGGTAAAATGTGGATAACGCTGGCGTGACTTTGGAGCAGCATTTCCGTAATGCCGCTTACAAATCCGTGATTGCCATCTTGCTGGAAGGGTGAGTACGGACCTTCAAGAGTGTCCAACATGTTGACGCCGAAGAAGGACTGAATAGTACGCTGAGCGTTGGTCCAGGCGTCATTGCCTTGATACAGTCTGGCGAAGCAATTGATGAACCACGACCGCGACCATCCAGTGGAACCAGAGCCTGCATCGAGGCGATGCTTGAGGAGAACTTGGGAAGCCTGTGCAAGCGTGTTGTTTACTAATGGGGTCATTGCAGAGCCTGGGAACAGACCGAACAAGGGAGATAGATGGCGATGTCCAGGCTCTGCTTCATTGTATTCATTACGCCACTCGAGGATCTGACCATAAGAACCGATCTCTGGTGGCTTGATCTTCGCCAGTGCATCTTTCGCTTTGGTGACCTGGTCGTCGCCTGATTGGCCGATGGCAGTATAGCCCTCAATTATGTCGCTGAAGAACTGAGCTAGCAACTGTCGGTCCATAGAAGTGCCAATGTCGATGCCAGTTTCTTGGCCTGCCCCCTCTGCGCCGTTCGGGATGTAAAAGCCATGTTCCGGACTGAGGCTGGTTGCAGTGGTCAAGTATCCTTCATAATCAAACAACCATGCGTAAAAGAACTCTGCAGCTTCTACTAGCCATGGCAGAGTCGTCTGTTCCAGGAATGTACTGTCACCAGTGAAACGATAGTACTCTAGCAGATGTGTTCCGAGCCAGGCTGCACCCATGGGCCAGTGAGTATATTCTAATACAAGTCAGCATCAACCGGGATTCACGTGAGCAGGGGGTCACTTACCGGTGCCATTGTCATTGGGCGCAACGTCACCCCAAGCGTCAGCATTGTGATGCATGACAAAGCCAGTCAACCCGTACATATCTGAAGCTTGCTCGCGACCGCCTGTGCGCGACACATCGAGAAGGCCGAAAAATGGCTCAAGCATTTCGTCGGCAAGATTGGTAGGTCCCGCTGGCCAGTCCAGCATCTGCGTATTGATATTCACTGTGAATCGACTGCCAAATGGTGGATCATAGTTGGTGTTCCAGAGACCCTGAAGATTCGGTGGAAGCGGCTTGTAGCCCTTTCGTGAGCTGCCGATGAAAAGGTAACGGCCCATGTTGAACCCAAGAGCGGTCAACTGCGGGTCACTATTGGGATCGTTACGGTAGGCCTGCAGGCGCCCGTCGGTCGTCTGCTGCCCCAGATTTGAGGAAGTAGTTCCAAAATCGACCGATACTCTCTGGTACAGGTTCTGGTAATCCGAGATGGCTGCACTCCGTACAGAATCATAGCCTTTGGCGACTGCAGCAGCCACGTTACTAGCAGCCTTCTCGGCTCTCTCATTGCTGTCGGGATATCGATAGGTCGTCTGAATGTCAGTAAAGATGTCAAAGCCGCGAGTGTTGTCCAGCTGGAATGCGTTTCCGTTGACGATTGAAACGGAGCCTAAAACAGGATTTGGTTTTAGCACATAGCTCTTCCGCCACCAAGTGGAAGCGGATGCGGCTTACCGTCCACCGGTACCAAGCGACCTTCGATGTTGAAGTCCAGCTGGCCAGGACTCGGATCGCTGCCTCCTTGGAGATAGAACTTGTATTCATTGTTGTCTGTCGTGGCTAGTTTCTGGTGGATGTTCTGATCGCGCTCGTAATAGATAGTGGCGCTGAATGGGGCACTTGCGCGCCAGCGAACACCGATGACCTGGTCCGGGTAGCTCGCAAAGACCTCGCGAGTGAAGTCAATTCCTTGATACGTGTAGTTGATGTTGACCCTTCCAGTGGAGATGTCGAGGATACGGTTATAGTCCTGCATCTGCGAACCATCCCCATTTGTGAAGATGTTCAGATGTCCGGCTGGCTGGTAATGTCTGACAAGGTCTGTTCCACAATGTTAGATTCAAAGCAGGACAGGTCCGTGTGCGAAAAGAGGTAATCTACCTGGGTCTGGGGTCATGTTGGCTAGCGCATCATTGCCGGCGGAGGCAAACTTGTTCTGAACCAAGTCGTCGCGGACTCGTGGCCATGCTTCCTTTGCATTTGGATTGACGCGTCTCTGGTACAGACCTGACCAGATGGTGTCCTCGTTCAGCCAGAGTTGCTCATTAATATCGCCAAAAACGTTGCCTCCTAAACGCCCGTTGCCCACGACGAGCACCGACTGACCATCAGCAGGCGTGCCGAAGCGAAGAGTTTGCGATGGATCATATTGAGCAGACACCAACTGTGTCGTCAGAAGCGTCGAGATGTGTAGAACAGAAGTAAGGGGCCTCATGATGTCCTGCCAGGTGCTGATTGTGATCGCGTCGGTCTCAGGTAGCTGCCATTCTTCAAGGAGATGTACGGCCGTCTTCTGCCCTTGAATGCTATGATCCAAGTCGGATAAATAGACTGCACGTGTGACCGCGTGGCTATCCTGTGAGAACGTGGGGAAGCGAGGCTAGAGCAAATGCAGCATCGTCTCTTGCGGAGAACAAACTTTAGGGGACTGATGAGGTCTTTAATTTCCCGGCCTTTTTTCCTTCCTCCGATACACAGCCATGTTTTCCCGGACGATATCGTGGCCTGCCTCAGTCTGGAATTTGCTCTGAGCATCTCCGTGTACGACGTGGGCGCGATCAATCCGTAGCTTCGCTGCTTAGTGTTCCCTAGCGGCGATGTTGCAGCAATCCGCAAACACGTGTAGGGCCCTTATCAGTGTCAGGACGACGTCTTTGCAGCATGCCAGCTTGCCTCCTTAAACGCCATGAATCGACAGAGAGGCAGGGTACGACGTCACGCAATGAAAATAGCCTCGTGTTCTTGACATTAGAACGACCCGCGCCAACTCTGCACTACAAGCGCACCAATGCTCGATATCAATCTACTAGTGACTGTTCTCTGTCGGAAAGTTTCTCAAGAGTGCAAGAAAGCTTTCCCCAGATCGCCGCTAACGCCATGGCAAAGCTTCAGGTCGCGCTTGTTCGGGCGACCTAAAGCTTCGGGCCGCCCAGAATCGGCTTTAGCAAGAAACACGATAGGAAGCCCATTTAAGCGCTACAAACTGCACGATTTTGAGACAAACTTTAACTTTACGCGATTCCTAGTAAGTCGCGAAGTAACGAATTATCGTCGACTGTTAGCTATGCCTCTGTTTATAGAGTACGCGACTAAAATATGCTTCGCTATCGCTATATCCATACTAGTTGTCGAGGTTCTCGACGGAAAGGCAGCCGAAGGCCGATTCCTCGGCGTTACGTAACGAAGTTGGTATTTACGAAAGTAACTTTGTCGACCTATACTATATTATAAAGGACGACGAGAAAGACATAGTTACGACGAGGATTCGAGCGACAGGAGCTTAGTTTGTCGTTGCGTTTCGTTGTTAGAGGCGGTTGCAGGCTAGCCTGAAGCTTTAGGTCGCGGCTAGCCTCGCTACGAACATGGCGAGCCAAGTCCCCGAATATGAGATCGCGAGCCCACTTTCACAGGGACCTATATTTTCAGTGCTGCAGCCCTTTTCCCCGTCATCCTCGCTCGAGCAGGACCATCTTCAGGTGTTAGCGACTCATCATGAAGTACAAACGCATGCCAATAGAGATCGAATCGCCAGAAGAGTACGGCTACGGGAACATCAAATTCAACCTCTCAGAAAGCTCTATCACGGATCGCACCTTGAAGTCTCTCGGCCTGGAAATACCGGATCTTACGCTCCTATACAATGAGCATCGCGGAAACGAAAGCCTGAGGAAGCTTGTAGTCCAAGACTTCCCAAATTTGAACAGCCAGAATGTTTTAATCACAGCCGGAGCTGCGGGGGCGCTCTTTATCATTTCGACATCACAGCTGGCGCCGACAGATCATCTTGTTGTCGTCCGCCCAAATTACGCTACCAACCTCGAAACACCAGAGACAATAGGATGCAAAATCACGTACGTCGATCTCGACTTTGACAATTCATTCCAAATCGATCTCCATGCGCTGCAGTCGGCGATAAAGGGCAACACGAAGATGGTATCGATTACTTCGCCGCACAATCCGAGCGGAACAACCTTGTCCAAGTCTGATCTAAACGAGATCGTTTCCATGACAAGGTCACGGGGTTGTCTGCTGCTAGTCGACGAGACGTATCGGGATATCCACCACGGGACTCAAATTCCTCTGGCGGCTTCGCTAGATACTCATGTGATAAGCGTATCTTCCATGTCCAAGTCCTTTGGCATGCCGGGACTTCGAATCGGATGGATCATTACGCAAAACAATACCCTGCTTGAGAACTTTCTCGCCGCGAAGGAACAGACCTCAATCAGTGGAAGCGTGATTGACGAATTCATCGCAGAACAGATCCTATTCCGGCGTCATGAAATCCTGGCTTCCACTATCGCGGAACAGAAAGAGCGCTTGCAAATGGTCCAAGACTGGATGCAAACGGAAGATCTTCTTGAGTGGGTGAAGCCCAGCGGGGGAGTCGTCTGCTTTCCTCGCATGAAGAGCGAACCACCGGGTGGGTATGATGCCTTCTACGAACGGCTCCTGGTGAAGCACCACACCTATGTAGGCCGTGGCCGCTGGTTCTCGGTATCAGATCGATATTTCAGGCTTGGATATGGCTGGCCTTCTAAGGAGGAGCTGAAACAGGGTCTTGAATGTATCTCTAGGGCATTGCGGGAAGGGTCCGGGGTTTGAGGGGGAGACGCAGAGTCAGATTGCGACTTATCCGCCGTGCTTGTTGTTACAGTCCTCTACTTGCATACGCGAAACACATGGGTATCAGCCCAGAAATGAACAAGGCATTTGTTAGTTGATGTCGCTCAATATCGACCCAATTAAGAGACGCCATAGGGCTTTTCGGAGTTGTCCTACCAATTAGAAATTGTGATTGAGGCAAAAGCGCACTGGATCGTCGGCCAAAGAGGGAGCGAGTGCCCAGAATTCGAGATGTTCCTTGCTATTGGTTCCCCGTCTCAAGTGTAGAACTGTACTTGTGATACGTTCCAAAATGGAACAACAGACGCGCCTTGATTCGTTCGTGCCTCGTCGTCTACCGAAATAAGTTCAAGCTCGGGCCAGATCCAACTGTCCATATTTACAGCCGGCCAAGGCACGATCGACTATCTCCAAAGCTCGTAATAATTCCTCTTCCCTGAGCCGCCTACCAACCAACTGCAAAGATACAGGGGCATTGACGTACTTCTCTGGGCCATACTCGTCGTACATCTGACGATAGTATGCATCGATTGAACTCATGGCATGTTTCTGCTCTGCCGGGTACGAGGCCCAGGTATCAGCACTGTTGATGACGCCGGTAGGGAATGCGACTGCCGGTAAATCAAGTAAATTGTACACCGAAGAATACCCCCAATACCTGGATTCATCGTGTCCGCTTGCCAACGAGGCGTTAACTGGAGTGAGCAAAACATCAACATCGCTAGAAATCCAGCGAGAGAGGTGGCTCGATCGCAGTTTATCGACAATCGTGTTGATCTGAATAACGTCAGCAAAGGCGAAGTGTCATGGACTTCACGACTCAATGGTTTCGCTGCGTTTCGTCATATTGACTGGGGCAGCGAAGGAGAGAAGTGATTGTCCTCCATGATCTACATACATACCTTCCACGTTTCCTGGACTTTATAAGTCTTTGACGCCTTGGAGTCGAGCAACCACTGCATGATGGGCACAGCATTCTCCTTCCCCGACTTCAGAATCTCGAAGTACTCCTCGCCTCCGTCCAGGAAATAGAGCTCGTCGATCAAGCCTACGAGCTGTTTGTTCTCGACGGGATCCCATTCGAAGGTAGAATGTCCTGCTCTCTGGAGTGCCTGCTGGACACGTAGCATTTCTCGCCGGATTGGAGGGTGTGGGGCGACCACGCCATCATGCCATAAAATTCCCACTCTCAAACGCCCTGGCATGTGTACATCGAGCTTCCACGGCAATTCAATCAGGCTGGGCTCGATATCCCAAGGTTGGCAGGCGAGAATGCTGTCACATATCAGTTGCAAATCTGCAACGCATGTAGCCATGGGCCCCACGCAGCCAATTATGTTTTCCATGCCGGCATGGAGACCACGCAGACCGCCATGTGGAAGACGCGCAACACTCGGTTTGAGTCCATATAGACCACAGAAGCCGCTCGGCACACGGATCGATCCACCTCTATCAGCGGCCCTTGTTAGCTGGTCGGTACTCAATGAAGAGCTCGGATCCCCGCGAGGCGGACTTACATGTCTGCGCCTATTCCTACGACGCTACCGCGCAGACAGATCAAGGCGGCTTCACCACCGGAGCTTCCTCCACACGTCAAAGTGGTGTTATGAGGATTTAGCGTTCTGCCAAAAAGGTTGCTGTCGGTTTCCAGTGCCATGATCAATTGAGGGTTGGTCGTTTTGACGTGGAAGATGGCGCCCTGCCGCCGCAACATATGGACGACGACCGAGTCTTCCTGCGAGCGGAAGTCGGCCCAAGCCCAAAGTCCAGCTGTGGCCCTGCTACCTTTGAGCTCTATGTGTTCTTTGATGGATATAGGCAAGCCATGCAGAGGTCCGATGGTCTTGTTGTGCTCTGCCATGTAGTCATCGAGCGCATGAGCCGTGCGCAGAGCTTCGTCGAACATGAACTCGGAGACACAATTCACCTAAAACAAGGCTCTGTCAGTTGTCGCTCGTGCACACCAGGATCGTCCGACTCACAGCTTGATGAGCGATCGCTGCCCTTTTGCAGAAGGCCAGAGTGACCTGAGTCGCGCTCCATCGCCTGCAACGAATTTTGCCCAGAATATTTGTAGTGCTTGATTCAGTTATCTCCAACTCCAGCACGCTTAAGATGCCACTTCTCTCCGGCAAACTCATTGGATCTCGCTCCGACCAGGGCAGCGACGCGTTGATCCGCCATTCTGCCGGTATTTGTTCGATGATTTCACGCTGTCTTTCGTTCAGCTGCACGGCAGCAGAAAAGCCTCGGCGAGACTCCCTGTTTCTCATGATGCTTACTGCATTTCTGGGTGGTGCGAAAGGTGGCTCGTTTCATATACTCATCAGGTCTGGACGAGCTTAAGATCCGACATGCGGAGTTGGACTGTGTGTGCATGCTCCGACCTTCCTATTCCGTCCATCTTCGGGACGCCATGTCTTCGGGTCCGTCCGATCTTGACTCTTTCATCTTCGGTCTCATGTTCGGGTTCCAGCCACGAGATGTCAAGCCCAGTACCGGTGCCCGAAGACTGCGCTCCTACTGCCTCCAATCATGCGAGAAGATCCGCATGCTGGACGTGTCGCATCCGCCATGTGAAGTGCGACGCTTCCGCCGCCAGCTGTCATCAATGCACGGACCGCGGCATAGAGTGCTACGGTTTCGGGCAACAACCAGACTGGATGGATGGCGGTACCGAGGAGCTTCTCAAGCGAAAAGAGATCAAGCTGGCCGTAAAGAGAAGTTTCTCTGCGTTGCGATCATGCCAGAATCGCGCGCGTAAAATCGGTCGCACGGCGCCGGAAAGAGCAGACTGCCCACCGAAGACCGTGGACAACCCATCACTGATCGCTGAAACCCTGCTGTATTCAGCCTTGAATACACATCCGCTCGACTCGGCTTTGCCTGGTACCAATGGACAAGACTCCACAGCGGTAGCGGCTCTGAGCTCACGGTGGGAAGACCGGGACGAGCTGCAGGTGCCTTTCCAAACACGCGAAGCCGCCCTTCTGATGCACTATCTTGACGACGTCTTCCAATGGCAATTCCCTTATTGTAACAGTAGCGATGAACATGGCAATCGTGGATGGCTCCTCATGCTTCTTAGCAGGAGAGGTCCGTCGTTTTACGCCGCCATCAGCATTGCAGCGTTGCACAAGGCTGGCCGCGATCAATCGCGTAGAGAAATCAACGCGACTCAGGAAGCGCTTGGTTACCGTGCCAGGGCCCTGAAAGAGTTGCACAAGCTCCTGACTTCGAACAACGTAGACCATCTCATGCAGAACAAAGACCATCTTGCAGAGTTCTTTGCATGTAGCATATTGCTTGTTGGGTTCGAGGTGAGTGAAGTTGCGCGACTCATAAATGTCACCTGTCTGACCAGGTCGAGATCAGGTCTTGAATGGTGGCACGGAAGACTGGCGTCTCCATGTAGACGCCATCACTTCGTTGGCCTCGTCCATGGAATTGGGTATCGTCAATCCTCGGCTGGCCGCTGACAGCGCAGGTTTACAATTTTTGATCACTGCTGTTCTGTGGCTCGACCTGATATCATGTATCTCTGTTGACAGGGTACCACGCCTGCCCTACGTATCATGGCTGACAAGCCCAGACCTGCGGATGGAGGATATTACAGGATGTCGGGATTGGGTAATGCAAGCCATTGGCGACATTGCTACCCTCAGGGACTGGAAAGAGAAGCAAAAGCTTACTGGACGATTGAGCGTGCTGCAGCTCGCGACCAAAGCGCGTCCCATCGAAGAATCCCTCAATGTCGGCCTTGACACGTCAGAGGTTCGTCGTGCAGCTTTAGCAGTCCGAAGCCGTCAAATCGTGCTAACATCTCACTAGCCACAGAAGGGCTCGACTCGCGGGACAATAACAAAGCTCTTTGCACTGGCGGCGCTGGTATGGCTGCACGCCGTGGTCTCAGAGCCACTGCCATCACTGCCCGAAATACGACATGCCGTGTCGCAAAGCGTGACCCTCATCTCTGAGAGCAATAAATTGTCTTTGTCAGGTGCTGTCTGGGCGTTGTGTGTGACAGCCAGCATGGCTGAAGAATCAATTCAGCCATTCTTTCATAGTGTGTTCGAGGACTTGATACGAGACTCTGGTCAACTGGGAAACGCCTCTACGGCTTTCAGCATCATTGAAGAGGTCTGGGCCCGACAACGCAGAGGAGATGGAGAGAGTCTCGCAATCTAGGACTGCTCGTTTCGTGCGCTTTTGATTTAGATCTCGTCGGTGTTGGCAACCTTGGAATTGACCTAGCGCTGGCTTGTGAGACCCTGATACGTGCTCATGAGATGTGTGCTGCAACACTAAACACCCAGTACCAGGTGAGTATGTTCCGTCAATCCTGGTGAACACTTGCTTATTGCCACAACAGATTGATTTTTGCCAGGCCCTACGGTACACCATGTATCGCGTGCGAGGGCCGAATGCAGATGACTTTGATCATGCACGTAGAGAGCTCTGTGAAGCCCACAGGCGTCCTCAAGTGCAAAAGCTGACGAGAGCACTGGGAGTTCAGGGTCGAAGCCACTTGCGATCTCCCACTGTATATGGTCAGTGCGACCGAAGATTCAGACGGCTTCCTACCCACGTTACCAGCGGGCAAACAAGAGTCGTGGTAGTCGAAATCCAGCGTCAATAGCATCGGCTACAGCACTGTTGCTATGACTCCGATGTGTCGCTATAAGGTCTGGCAGTGGGTCACTTGTAGTCGGACCCGGGCCAAAGGCAAGCATTTGCGGGCTGAAGATGGCACGGAAATACTATTTCGATCAAGCATTGTTCGTTAAGGATCGACGCACCTTATGTCAGCGAAACAGGTACGGAAGGCTAGCATTGCGCTCGGTAGCTGCTATGGTAGCTGCTAGGCCAGCAAGGGAAGGATCAGCATTGCTCCGGATCGGATAAAAAGAGCGGAAAATCCCTTTGGCCTGCGAATCGAACAAAGCCTTTTGTGGCGTATGTATGGATCAGAGACTCTGGCGAAGTGACATAAGTATCTGACTCCTCTAACAAAGCAGTGCGAACGCCCCCGAGGGCAAGCACGCGCTCTCGACGTTGCTTTTGATTGGAATCTGCAGTGAAGGCTTTGCACGTCAATTTTCGACATCATGTTAAAGGGAATAGACCCTATTCTGACGCCAGACTTGCTGCGAGCACTGGCGTCAATGGGCCATGGCGACTCGCTTGCGATTGTGGATGCGAACTACCCGGCCGCCTCGATAGGACCCCCAGTACTTCACCTTGCGGGTGTTGATGCTGTCCAAGCTGCAAACGCCATGCTATCCTTAGTTCCTCTTGATCAGTACGCGCCAGAAGCCGCGTGGTGTATGGACTCTGGGTCCAGCACCGAACTGCCTATCATGCAACAGCTTCGGTCGACAATCCAGAACCACGAAGGCGACAAGTTCAAGCTCGCCAAATTGGAGCGATTCTCATTCTATCAACAAACCAAGACAGCATTTGTCATCATCTCAACTAGCGAACGAAGACTATATGGGAATTTGATATTGATGAAGGGAGTCATCGAAGCCGACTCGCATCAATGATACAATTGTATCCTATCGATGCAACATGCGAGCCACGAAGGAGAGCTACCGGACACTCTTCTCATTTACCAGCGAGTATCCACGGTTCTTGTCCGCCGTCCAGAAGATCTTCCGATGGACCTTGCGACGGTGCTGGGCTCGGAAAGCGAACACTCTCACGACATCTCGCTCACACGCAAAACTCTACAGGCCCGCCAATCTACCGACACAGTGCGCAGGATCTTGAAAGGTCGTTGTGATTGTGCGCCAGTCTAAAATTGCAACTCTCGTCACGGATGCTAGCTATAATTTGTGTAATGCATTCGGCAGATGCCGCAACAAGCAAGGTGCAATGTCGCTCACTTTGTTGGCACTTTCCTGTTAATTTTCTTGACTCAGCTCAGTGTCTATTCTAATACTGCGATGAGCTGCTTTTCTCCGCTCATCCTGAGCCCATTCGTACCAAACGGCCACATGTTCGGGCTTCAAAGAGGCGGATCTAAAAGTGTTAATCTTGACCCACAGGATGGCCATACTCGGTGCGAGTCGCTGTAAGAATAATGGTTGCGTTGCATCGGAAGATCGTCCGGGAACGTGGAACCAATTTGGCAGCGAGACATGGATGAGTCTGAACGACTCTGTCTCTAGAATGATACAGTATATGTCTGCCCTGAGGTGGCCATAATCGGCCCGCTGTACACCTCTCCATTGACACGAAACACTCGGCCATCTTGCACTCGAATTTTGATTGGACCATCTACACCAGCGGTGATGATCGCACCAACGATTTGCTGATTGTTCTTGGGCCATGTTAGAAGACCCCACGGCGTTGCTGAGCTCTATGAAGCTTCTGTACAGATCCCAGAGGATCGCCTTATCCATCTCTGTAGTGCGGTCGAGGCCTGTCCATGTGCCAGCCGTCTTCTGACCTTCCGGGATGTAGTGGGCATTTTCCGGGCTGAGGGATGGGTAGATGTCCCAGCGACCATCTTTCTCGACAGCAAATTGATTGTAAAAGGTGATTGCATCTGCCATGAGAGGTAAGGCAGTGTTGGTCACAAAAGCCTTATCGCGAGTGAATCGATAATGCTCAGAGGCATGAGACAAAAGCCAGTTCATTCCTGTGCAGCAGATATTAGGGACGCATCGCCAGAGGCTTTCATATTTTCGATTCGTTCGGTGGTTGGTAGGGTTGCTCCGGGCCCTGCACTGCCAAGATCCAACGATACGCGATCAAAGTATTTGGCGTGGTCTGCTACAGCATCGGCAAGGATGGCACTGAAGCCGCGCGATGCTGCAATGTCTAACTTCTCCTGTAGTATCGGCTCATAGTCAATGGGACCAGCCGAATGGTAGAAGAGAGTCTCGGCATCCCAGAAAAGTGTCACCGTATCTGCCCCCTGCATATACACTCCATTACTATCGGAAGTTTGTGTACCTGTAGTAAGTCAGAATAGATGGCAGGGAAGATGGAGTCTTGAAAGATGATCAAATGTTTTGTTCATCTCAGCGCAATCCAGGAACTCTGATATGTATAAAATCCGGCAATTCTTGAGGGGCTTCCATAGCACGAAACCCTAAATCCACACCCTTCGGCGCGTCTCTATCGAGATTTCTCACTTCCTCTCTCGAACCCCTCTTGCACCAGTTCTGAATTGTCGTCGCTGAGAGACCGAGTCGCCGTGAATGACAGCAAACAACTGTGAAAGGCTTCTTAGTGACTATTAAGGGTCTCAATGCATAACGTTGCACTACGGGATGTGCCAGACTTCGTCGGCCAAACAGAGTTCTGACTACGCAAAAATCGGAAATCCCGAACCTCACGTGTATTCCCCAGCGGTTCATCCCCAGATCGTCGAAAGCCTCTCGGACTTCTAAAAATCACCTTCTCTGACCTGACGCGCCTAACATTGGCCAAATTGTCAAGCTGGGGTAACGGGAACTACGCCATGGCTGCGGAAGCGATCTGGTACTCAGGTACCAGTTCTAGCCGGGGTACCATATAGCCTGCAACAATGCCTACCTAGCAAACGTAAATCCGACCACATTCCATTCGCTTTACTCTGGGATCGAGCAGGAAACTCAACATGTCGGAAAAACCGCCGCATTTCGTACTCATCCACGGCGCCTGTCATCGAGCCTGGCATTGGCATCTCCTTGAAGCAAAATTGAAAGCATCAGGCTGTTCTGTCTCGACCATCGATCTCCCATCATGTAATGCCGACAAAGAGAAACTTGTTGTCTCCGGAGCTTTGCGATTAGACATCGAAGCCATCAAGACATTTCTCGAGAACCTCGCCTCAACATCCGATAGGATAATCCCGGTCTTCCACAGCTACAGTGGCGCACCAGGAGGCGACGCAGTCGCAGAAATGAGCTCAGCAGCGAAGTCAAAAATTGAGAGGTTGGTCTATCTGACTGCCATTGCTGCACAGCCAGGTGGGACTGTTGCGGGGATTCCGAATGGAGAAGGGATGAACATCAACGTCGAAGTAAGCACTACCACCTCCGCTGCACAAAGTCTGCCTTGTGCATCTAACTTATTCCAACAGGGCCACATCGCCGACCTCCTCCTCTGTACGTCCTGTCTCTACGATCCAGACGTCACAGACCAGAAGCTGGTTGACGACGCCGTGAGCCATCTCGTTCCAATGTCAATTGCCGCGGCGATAGAGCCTACTCAGCACGCGCCTTGGAAGCAATTCCCTTGCACGTATATTTTCACGACCGAGGACTTGTGTCTTCCATATGCTTCGCAAAAAGGCATGCTAGAGGTGATGAGCGACGAGGAGAGGAAAGGATGGAAGGTGAGTTCTTACTGTGCTTTGTGAGATTCAAGGAGTATTTGGAGCTGACGATTGATGTTCAGACCGTGACGATGAAGGCCGGCCACAGTCCGATGTTGGCGAACCCAGACGAGTTGGCGAAAGTGTTGCTGGAGATTGCGGTGTCCAGTGTTTCTTGAGCACGTCGTCGATAGCCTCCCGAATCTCATCAAGTCCAGATTTCTCTGGTCGACGCGCAAACAGCGGAAATTTCTCGAGGAACTCGTCGTTGGCTTGGTTGAAGTCGTTGATCTGAGTCATGATGACGTGAACCATGTACTCGATGCTCAGGTTGGCCAGATACACAAATGTCTCCAGAGCCCAAATCCACAAAAATGCGATGAGATGGAAAATTGCCACGGGGAACCACAGCAGCTCCGAAATCCAACTGCTGCCAGAGACAACGCAAAACAAGCGACGAACCGCGGACCGACAGACCGAAAAGAGGGTGGAGATGAGCTCGGCGAGCATTTTGACTTGCAGTTTTGGTGGTGTCTTTTGTATGTGAGTCGTTAAAGAACAGAACAGAAAGCCACGGTCGCAACATAGCAGGATTGCATGCCTGCGGCTTCCTCAGACCTCCCCAACGACCCTTCCCATCAACAACGCCTCGCACTTGTCCCCCTTCCTCAATACCTCCTCCCTCATCGGCAAACAAAGCAGAGCATTCGCCCCCTTGAAACTCCCAATCGCGCTACTTCTCTGAAATCCCGTGCTCGTCGCCCACAACTGCCCATCGTCCTTCCTCGCCCTCACCACAACACGATGATACTCCGCTCTCTTCGGATCAGGTCTAACATCCTGCTCCAATGAAACCATAACAGTCGGCAACCCCACGGGAGAAATCCCGCTCATTTTATGCAAAGCCGGCAATACGAAAAGATGGAACGTGACAACCGCGCTTGCAGGATTTCCAGGAAGGGAGAAGACGACCTTTGTTTGGTCTTCTCCGGTGTTGGATTTGAATGGTACAGTGGCGAAAGTAGTTGGTTTTCCAGGTTTCATGCTTACACGACCAAAGTGGATCGTGCCTCCGAGTTGACGTTCGATGGTCGGTTTGAGAAGGTCGAGTTCGCCCATGCTGACGCCGCCGCTGGTGATGATGACGTCGCAGTTTCGCATTGCAGAGCCGAGAGATTCCTCTAAGGAGCCGGGTTGATCAGATGCGATGCCGAGATCGATTGCTTCGTAGCCTTGACCTCGGATTGCTGTGAGAAGAGTGGGACGATTCGTGTCGCGGACTTCGCCGAGTCGCAATTCACGTGGTGTGTCGTGCGGGATGATCTCGTCGCCCGTGCTGAGTACTCCGACGATGGGACGAGTGTAGATGGAGACTTCGCGCGTGCCGACAGAGGCGAGGAGACCGAATTCGCCACCGATTGCAGTAATGGCTTCACCCTTGCGCAATATCGTCGCTCCGGCTTTGACATCTGATCCAGGCTCGCGCACATTCTCCCCAGGTTTGATCGCGTCAGTGAGGATTTCAATTTCAGCTTCTTCCCTTCCATCATCCGTCATTTTGCGTAGGACGGTATCTTCGACCATGACGACAGCTGTTGCACCGGGGGGAAGGGGAGCGCCAGTGGTGATGCGGGCGACCTCTCCCATTTCCAACTTCGGCATCTCCTTGCCTGCTTGGGCATGCGAGATGCTGACAACGGGAAAGACGCCTTTGGAAGATGGCACGAGAGGATGGTCCGAAGCGAGAATTGCGTAGCCGTCGACGATACTCGCGCGGAAGGCGGGGACAGATTCTGATGCCACCACATCTTCAGCAAGAACAGAGCCGATCAGCGACTCGTTGACGGGTGCTTTGATGGCCTTGGGTCCTGGTGTGTTGGTCGCGATTTGGGTGAGAGCTTCCGAGACCGGCAGCATAGGGTAAGGGGACTCTCGGTATCTACGAGACGCTCCTGCGTTCGGGTCATTGGTGACTGGGCGGTTTTCGGGTTTTGTGTGAGCTCGAGGGCCATGATGGTGTCCATGTCCGTGGCCGTGACCATGGGTGTGCGAGTGCGAGTGCGAGTGCGAATGGGAGTGATCGTGCTGACCAGCTGTGTTTGGAGTTGCACTGCTGACACCAGCTTCCTCCTCCAGCTTCTTCACGCCTCCGACATGTAGTGTCCGTGAGTCAGCTCCAGCCGCTTGCTGGCACGCATGTGGCAAGAGTTTCAGCACGGCTTCGAGATTCTCCTTGGCACCTTTCGGCGATCCGGGTAGTGTGAGTATCAAGGTCTTGTTCCGCACACCTGCCACTGGACGGGCCATAGAGGCGACTACATGGTCAGCAATGCATCGGCATATTTGTCTCTTTGAAGACTCACAAGGAGTGATGGCCAGAGAGGAAGCAAGCATGGTATGCACGAGCCCCGAGGCATGCTTGTGTATCAGCGGGGAGATAGCCTGCTCGTCTGTCAACTATCGTGAAACAATGCTTGTCGCCGCAGCTATAACGAGCTGCGGGACAATCAAGAAATCTGTAACAATGCGGAGTCGCACGTGGGAAGTGATGATTTGACTCGACTGACCTCTGGGGTAACGTCTTTCTGCGCAAAGCCCGTACCACCACTGGTCAGGATAAGATTGACGGGTTCCGGTCCATCTGTCCATCCGGTGATAACACGCTGAATGTCGAGGACACTGTCCGTCACGATTCTGGTGTCATTGGCCGTCCATTGGTCGCCGCCATTCTGGGCGAAGACTTCTTGCAAAGCGGGAATGCCTTTGTCGGTACTTGCATCTCGGTTGGCGGTCTCAGAAACGATGAGAATGGCAGCGCGAAGAGGCGACATGGTGGAAAGTGACTTTGTCCTCGAGTGCCATGAGAGGAAGTTGGGTGGAGGGGCGATATCGGCGAGGATGTAGCCGGCAGCACGGCCCGCGTAGGTCTGAGTCTGTGACGCTGCGACTCGAAACTCATCTCTCCCACCAGGCTGATTCCGCGGCGACGAACGACATTTGGGCCCCTTCCATGACCACTGGGTGACGCCTTGATATCACGACAAATGGCCTCCTGGTGCGACTGCGGCCAGGTGTTGATCGTCTTTGAGAGATCGACCGAGCGGACGATGACTCGCATCCCGATAACCCAAAGACTGCGACAACGGGGACATGCGCTTGCGACGACGCATTTGTTCTGCACGGCACTATTTCTGTCCACAACCAGGCTGAGGAACTCCAGAACCAGGTTTTCGCGGAGCAGAGCAATTCCAAAAAGAAGCCACAGGTACCCGTTGATCCGGAGGAAACCGAAACATCTCTTGCTCGCAGTCTCCTCGCGCGAGGACGCGCGCTGAAGTGTTACAGACTTGCAGATCTGCCGCATATGATCTGCAGCTGCTCGAGTCAGGACCAGAGCACGCCAGGCACTCAGCGTAATCGAAATGAAGAACTCATCGCCGTTCGCCGCTTGTCCTTCCCCGTGGCCACTCGAAACTCGAGCTGCACTCACCGCTACCACGGACAATAGCCACCACGTGCTTGACAGTTCCAATCTCGTCGGGCACCGGCAGACATACCGCCGCTCATGCCCAACCAGCGCAATGCAACACTCTGCTCCATGTACTCGCCACCGAACCCTACGCCAGACCCTTGGGGCTGCACGGTGTGGCGGTAGCTTTGAACTTGGTCACTGGACCTAGCCGTTGGAAGGCACGACTATAGCCTGAAGCCGATCACTAGCTCCAAAAGCGATGGCCTTGCCGTTGCCCTAGAATAGTTGTGCATTTTACTTGACCATTTGTGCGACATCCATCATGGTCCGGAATAGATTGGTGATTCTCTTTCTTCTCCTCCTGCCATTTGGTCTGGGGAGCCCCTTGGACGAGAATACCGAAATCGGGGCGCAAAATCGCAACAAACTCAACGACTTCCTCTCCAAACGACAGCAGGCTGGCTCGTGCACGCTCAATTGCTTCACGAAAGTCTTACCGCAGTTCAATTGCCCGGATCTACTTCAATGCATATGCAACGACAAGGCAGTGGCCGCTGCTCTACAGCAATGCGCCGTCGAGAGCGGATGCTCGATCAAGGAAGCTCTGCAAGGGCAGAAAGCCCAGGCGGAAACGTGTGGTTTTCCCAAGCGTAATCGCGTCATGGTCTTTACTGTCACCCAGACTGCTCTATTCACGCTTGCGAGCGTGTGCGCAATACTACGCCTACTCGCCAGAGGCAAGACCTTCGGGGGAGCTGGATATGGCTGGGATGATGCGATGCTATTCGCGTCATGCCTTCCCATGCTCGGTCTGACTGTGGTCGGATACATGGAGCAGATGGCTGGGTTGGGCAGAGACATATGGGAACTGGAGTTCGAGCAGATTGAGAATGTGCTCAAGGTGCGTCGTTGTGCATCCTGCGATGACAAGGTGATGAACTGACCCATGCAGCTCTTCTACATTGGAAATACGTTCTACTCGCCAGTGGTATTTGGCACGAAGATGGCGTTCGTCCTCCTCTATCTCCGAATCTGGAAGGACTCATCAATTGTATTTCGCCGCATATGCCAGGTCATCCTCGTTTTACTGGCAATGGCTACCATTGGCTTCACATTCTCAACAATCTTCCTATGCCAGCCTGTGTCGTACACCTGGAAAGCCTTATCTGGACTCAAAGGCACGTGTGTCAATCGCAACGCTCAGCTGTACTCAAACTCTGCGGTCAACATCGCAATGGACGTAATAGTGTTGCTCTTGCCCGTGCTCAAAATCCTTCAGTTACGCATGACCTGGCCAAAGAAGATCGGGCTTCTTTTCACCTTCTTGGTCGGCTTTGTCACCACCGCGACAAGTGTCATCCAGTTCTACTACCTCATTACCAGGCTCAACAGCACCCAGAATCCAACATGGGACTATTTCGACATCGGAGTCTGGCGCATCACGGAGATGTACCTTGGCGTAGTCTGCTGCTGCATGCCGATGATCGCGGGCTTGGTCAAGCGCAGCGTACAACGTGCATCACAAGCTGTGAGCTTCCCAAGCACTGTCAGCGAAATGTGGAGTAAGACGAAGAATCTCATGACGACGACGACAACGTCTTCAAAGAGCAGAATGGACCCGAAACTCACTGCCAATGTCACGCTTACCGGCAGTCTGGGATTGAATAGCTCATGGTTGCACTTGAAAGCCGACAATACACCTGCATCGGAACAGAGCGTGGAGTTGAGAAACTTCACTACCAGGAACATTGGAGACAGCATCGGAGATCATCCTGAAGGTTCTCAACCAACTAGGGACGGCCACGTCTCCGCCATGAGCGATGCAACAACAGCAGTGACATCAAATGGTCCACTCTCGCTGTCCACGACCCGCAATCGCGATAGCGCGGTACGTCAACAGCAGTGGGAACTTTACCAAAAGGAGCATCCCGTCAGATCAAAGTCGCGTACGCGGCGACGAGGATACTCTCTTCCGTACAGAGAGCAAAATATCATGTCCTTGTCTTCGCCGTATGAGGACATGAAATCTCGAATATCCAGGATAGAGCCTGGCGAGCCCTCTTTCCCGGCGACAGTGGCTCGCCAGGGCGCATTCTCCAATTATGTCGACCGGGCTGCAGGAGCGGATCATCCGAGCCGTCCTCCCAGACCTGGCCGTCCAAGGGCTGAGACGATGCCCTCCCCTTCTCCAGTTCCCTCGTCATCTCACAGCCACCGAGGGAGCAGGATTGCCTTACAGATACCAAGCGCAAGCCATCGTTACGGCGGGCTTGAGTCGAACAATGGTGTCTGGACTGCCTTACCTCCCGTCATGCCCTCGCCAATGTCTGACGACAGTCAAGAGATGTCTGTAACATCTGACGAGATCATGTCATGGGCGAGGCGTTCGCAGCAGCAGGTTTTGCAACGATATCAGCCGTCTGTGTTACAGGAAGCGAACGCACGACGTCCTCCGGATTGGGAAGAACGCAGACGGCTAGAAGTTCGCAGTTACAGTGATCGTGCTTTGCCTTCGCCTCCGAGCTCTTGGGCCAGCGGAGGGCGAAGAGGATGATATGCGCGACCTTCGCAGCGTTGACTTCCTTCTATCACAACGAATATACACGATTGCATGACAATGTCTCCGGACCTTCAGCATATCTCCATTCATTGGTGTGGGAGCTGCGTATCTCATGCGCCGAATCGATGCGTATAGATGTCGTGGCTGATCGATATCACAGCAATGATGGCGCCCACGTCTGATCGAGCAAGGCAGGAAGCGTTGAGCGTACGCAGCGGCACTTCAAGCCCAGCGTCAGTCTGCAGCGAAAACACTCCAGATCGATCGTGAGCACAGATCTGCTCCAGAGTACCTTGCAGAATTCTCCGAATCGCTCGCATATGCATATGGCGGCGCTGAACTATAGTCATGGGATCCCAGCCCAGTCGGAGGACGAGCCGGTATCTCTGACTCGCATACCAACCTGGTGTGCTTGCAAGCTCAGACTAGTGAAACATGTGGAGAGCTTAAGTCGTAGCCACCGGCCACAGGTCCGTCAGCTTCACAAGGTTCGACTTCACATCTTCTTGTTGATGGCCTTTCCGTTCCGGCCGCATTGGGAGACGATCTTCAATTTCCTTCTATGCTGATCTCGACTCGAAGGGACATGACCATGAATCGGCCACCTGCAGTATATGGAGAGCCACGTACCTCATCTCGCGACGACTCCTATGCATCTAGCGAGTTGTGGGAGAAGCAGGACTTTCGTTGTTTGAAGAAAAACGTCATTCTTCACTTTGTCCTCCGTTACCTGTGGATATATATCGTCAACACAAGCACACCGCAAGACACTTCGGCAGACGACAGCTTCAATCAGCAATTTCACTTGCTCGCATTCGATTCATCCAATTGACCACGGAACTTTGGCCAACAATGCCTTCTTCTCTCCTCCTCGCACTTGCTTTTTCCAGCCTCGCGCTCGCTTTTCCCCAAAACAAAGTCCAAGAACCACTCCAATGCACCGACGGCGGCCAACTCCACTGCTGCGAAGCAACTTTCACCGGCGCAGCACTCCCCGTCGCTCTCGCCGCTGATTTGCTCTGCTACGATTTGACTCCAGCAGTCGTCAACTGCATTATCAGTAAGTCCTGTCCCACTTTCCCAACAGCACTTCTTCCAGATGCCCTTGCTAACATGGTGAATCGCACAGCCGAAGCCCCCTCCGACCCGGACACAGGCTGCTACGGCACCCCCCTCTGCTGCCAAGTCAACGCCTTATCCCCCGCTTTGGGCCTCTTCTGCTCCAAACCTCCCGGAAACTGCGTCGGAAAAGAATCCGATGGAAGGTGTTTGGAGACTTTGACTGATAGGTTTGGGAATTGTACGGAGAGTGATATCAATCGTCAGCGAGGAGATCTTGGGTTGGGTGTTGTTGGGGATATTGGAGAGGAGGTTGCTGGTGGGCCGGTGGGAGGAGTGGTGAAGGGTGTTACCGGGCCGGTTTTGGGTGGTGTGGGAGATGCGACGAAGCCTGTGGGGAGTGTGGTTGATGGGGTTGTGGGGAGTCTGAGGGATGGGGGGAGGCGGAATAAGGGGAACTGAGGGGATATTGGGAGATTGAATGGGAAGCCTGCGAGGGCAGAGGGCTGTAGATGGTGTTGTTGACTTCGATGTACTACTATACGTTGAGAATGATCACATAGCAAAACTGCGATCTGTACTAATTTCCACAAATACCTCTCGATTCTGGTGTGCACTGTGAACACCGCAGCTGACAAAATTTAAACGCAATCTCGTGTACCTGGTTCGACAGGCATACCTTTAGGGCTCCGGATTGTAAATCAAGATTGTACTACGTACACAGCAGCGCTGTAGCTCTGGATATAATGGGATTCGCATGGAAGAACTCTTATCAGTTTTGTAGCTTTGGAACGGTGAGGCCATGACAAGATTTTACTTTCTCCCCTCACATCTCTTGAGGGTCACGGATGGACCTTTCGTGGCCTGACAGTGTGCGTGATCTTTACGCTTGCCTTAATATACGATCAAACAGAACCGACAACCAATGATCGTACTTGGCTTGGTAGCTCGATCAGTAAGTCGTCAGCCTATATGATGCTTGATTACGGTTCGTGTGATTTCCTGGTCGAACTTCGAATGATAGTTCACCAAGAACTTGACCGCAAAGTTCGACTTCCTTGCCATGTGCTATTGTTTTGCACTTTGTTATCGACTTTGAGCTAAGGGTGAGCAGTACATGTCATTTAGGGAAACACTTCGGTCTTGCTTAGGTGGCCAGATAGGAGATTGACTAAAATGGTTTGGGTGGAGCGGGAGAACACCAGTGATGGAAAATCAAGCGCTGTCTCGGTTTGTCTGCATACTGGGACGAAATGCCAGGAATCATCGTTCGTACTTACACACTTAATCAATATTTTAATATACCATGATATAAGGGTCACAAGAAGGGCGAGACCTTGATGGTCCTTACGCTGCCTCGGGTCCGGCTTCGTCTACTGATAACGTTGCTCTCAGTGCACTTACTATTGAGTTTCATCGCATGCACTCGAAGCTCGGGTTTTTGGAAGGTCGTCATCGTTCACATCGCTGATAAACAAGCCGCAATGGCTGGAGAGAGTTGCGAATGGCATTTGTATAAAATTGCGAATGCTGATATGATTCTAGGTGCTGAGTATCGTGCCGTCGGATGCGCCTCCAAGAGTCACGCTCGTGAACAGAATGTTGGACGCCTTCAGCTCATCCTGATTCACGACAAGCGCTGTTCCACCATCTCCAGTCGCGGCAATTGAATATCCCACCGGTGCCTGTGCAAGAGCTTTCAGTCTCGACGCAAAATTCAGGCAAGAAGCTCCTGGTGGACAAAGCGCTCCGACTGCGGTTCCGTCCGCCGCGTGGTAGAAGATAAAGTCTGGTCCTTCACCCACGGATGTAGCGGCGATGCTACCTCCCTCAATAACTCGGTCAGTCTCTGAAGCATCAACTCCGTCGTCCCACTTTGTGCTGTTCTCGGCGTAGCTCCACACATACTGTAGCAAACTTCCAGTTGAATGGCTCCTCATCTAGACATGATTCTCGCCATTGACCAAGACAGATGCTACTCCAGATTTGGGATCAGTCCCACTGAATGTGTTCCACTTATACCATTGCCCGACCAAGTTTTCGCCTATGGCCTCTCCGAAGTATATCCCTACCTCTTGTATGGTACCATTGCTGGAGCCAAAGTATACTCGAATCCCAGACAGGGCGTCATTGCCACAACTGCCTGCAATTGCTGAGAGTGCTCGCGTATTAGGCTCGGCAATCATGTCCTCGAATACGATGTAAGGTTCGGACCTGCAATACATCAGCCGCCTACCTTCTACCACCTGAAGAGAGACGCAAGACAACTCACCAATCACTGTTGAGTGTCGTGTTGACGAAGTTCAAAAGGTTGTCATTGTCGAAATAGAAGACAGTCCGGTACAATGACAACCCAGGAGGCCCCCCCACTGCAGCGATTGGAGAAGTCGGCTTCGCATTGTTTGCAATCTTTACTGGGGTGGCAGAAGCGTTGGCGGAGAGCCCCGTCTTGTACTGGGACTCTACAAGTCCATATTCAGTGGAATAGTACACGAACGTGGATTTTCCAACAGCAGACGTAAGCAGTGCAACGCCAGTCTTGTCGACAGGTGAGCGGCTCTTCTGCGAGAGCTCATTGGTACTGTCGGCATGCTGGCTGATATTCTCCGCCGGCTGGGTAGTGTTAGGCTGATTGCTGTTGTCTCAATTGCGCTCATCGCTGTTCTTCTTCAGAACAGTACCCAAGACACCCCCCAATACGGCTGCCAATACGACCACCGCGACGCTCCCAAGTGCGACAATGAATGTTCTCTTTGACAGACCGCATACTCTTCCCCGTGATCGTGCATGCTGACTGAGTTCCAGAGGCGTAGGATCATTATGCGGTGCATCAGCAGCATAAGCAGCTTGGTGATCACTGCGTAGCATTTTCGAAGATTGGACGTACGCCGAGTGCTTTTCGCCTTTGCGACTGAGATCGTGTGCCAGAGGCTCAGGGTTGCCGAAAGAGTTGCTCCATTGATGGTCAATCGAGTCGGCGACTCTCGGGTGCTACTCAATCTGCACGGTCTGCAGGCTTTTCATGTCACGATTGGGTTTGTCCATCAGCGTGGTTCCCGCCCAGGTAGCGGAGGCTCCGGATCTAGGAGAGAGCGGATGATGAGCAAAGTACGAGGTCGAAGAAATGTCCGCCGTAGAACGACTGCTTCTGAACGCGGTTGTGTAGTGCGTCTCAGCCTTGCGCTCACGCCACCTCAGCCTTGTCCCACGCCACGGATGCCCATGATTGGTGTCTGTCAGCTCCCGGCGGCTTACATCCTTCGTATTCAATCATCAATGAAGACTCCTGATATGTTGTGCACCCGAGGAAACTTTCGCCTGATATCTGAGCACTGTCCTCCTCGGCGGATACTGCTCGGATCGCGTGGTTGCAATGAGATGCGCGTGGTGGACGCATCCAGCCAAGCTCTTTGAGGCTAGACATGATAATTGAAGTATGCTCCTATGATGAGGTCGTGTTTTTTGATCAGAAGATGCTGTGGTTGAGCCTCTGTTGCTGGGATCAAGAAGAAGTTACGACTGCTCCTGCTAGCGCGGTGCCAAGGAGACTGTTGGGAAAGGGTGCTGGAGTGCTGCAGCAACTGGAAGGCTCGCGCCCACAACAGGTTCCATGTTCCATATCAAACTCACCGGCACGATCGTCTTCAACATGCATAGCTTCTGTCTCCCTTCAATCCCACCGCCGAAATTTGTCAGAACACGACGTCCCCCTACCTCTCTTGGCATACGGACCACAAGTGATGTGTCTCATGCAGAAATGCTTCGAAGTCGTCGTTTAGATATGGCTCAGAGGATCGGGGACGAAGAACAGAAGCATCACGATCATATCGTCGTAAGTAGCGTTGAAAGTCCTATGCCAAGCGCCTGTCGTATGGAATGTCGCTGAATGATAACCCCTTCCTGGCGGTGTTCAATATGTTACAGCGATTCCAACGCGACGATGCTCCGAGACAGGAAACAATATGCTCATAATTATGCTGGCACATCACGCCTGAATTACTTCAGCACACATTGCCTCCAACTCTGTTTGCGTCAGGTCGATAACACCCCATAATCTTGATATTTCTGCACACCGGCATCGACACTGAACTTTTGAATGTGATAGAGCTTTCACCTGCCGCGAGGCATCGCTTGAATAATGATCGACGGCCGAAGACGACAGATCTGCGCCGCTTGCCAGAAACACGATCGTTGTATATTCGAGGCTTAACCATACTACTTCCTGCAAATGCATCGCATACTCAGCCATAACAAGTTCCATGCGCTGTAGTCATGCGACCGGTCTCAATCATGATGTTGCCCACGCCCCGACCGACACAGCTCTGCATGCCCGTCTTCCTCCCTTTCTCTGACGAGACCGTGCTGTTGAACCACCTTGTCTGCACACATCGTGTCCTTGCACCCGCCGCAGCCACCTCTTTCACAGCTCGACATCAAGTTGGCGACGCCAGTGCGTCTCGAGCCGTTGTTGAAAGCATTCTTCTGTTTGTTGGAGACACTGTATCACAGACTTTCCTCACTTGTAGAAATTTGTGCTGAAAGCATGCTGTATGATCTCAAGCGAACACATGTGCTCTCCCACCGAGCTAGCAATGATCGCCTCGAGGCTATGGAAGAGCCCAGGCCAAGAGCATCGATTCGCTGTTGAGTCTCTCCCAGAGCAGCGGAGATGCGTTCAGACGTGGTCGCAAGGACACGCTGGTGGAAAGCAAGTGCTTGGTCCCATACCGGATTGGGTTCTTCCTGGAGAGTGTTGCCGACGTCGAGAGGCGTTTCAACTGCACGTTGGTAGAGGTCTGCAAGTATTGACGCTGAAGCCAGGGCCCTAGCAAGGATGTTGAAAAATTGTTCGTATTGACTCGCTTCTTCGAATAGGCGTGCTAGCTCTTCGTTGCAGCGCTCCAATGTGACGTCCGACACGACATCGCTGTCATCGTAGGATTGCAGTGAATTGTGCCCATCGCATGAGTCGAGCCACGGCACAATCGTCGGCGGGACCCTGCTTTACTGCGAATGGCTCTCAAGCTGCGTCAACCAAGCCGCAGTTTCAGCGTGGAGAACCTTCTCCAGATTGACGAATTCGTCGGTTGTCGTGCGCGTGGTGAGAAGTTCTTTGCATGAGGGTAAATGAGGTCCAGATACCTCAACGCCTGGAGATTGTGAAGGGTCGACACTTGTTCAAAAGACGCTCGCCGCCCACCAAGCGAGTAACAAAACGCACAGCAGCTTGCTTGCCTGCTTGCACATTCTCCAGTAGCGTGCCATACGCAAGATGAGTTGTTGGTCCTCCACCAGAGCGGGGTGTCGGAGGGTGATCTAGTCCAGGGGTTGAGGCGTCGACATCGGTGCGTTGTTGAAGCGGCGGCTGTCGTCTTGCGAAGTGAAGTTGCGCGACATGGTAATTGCCGGCGGCATCGTGTGATGGCGAGTTCTGTTTAAAACGGACGGTGAGTCTGAGGCAGGTTCGTCCATTGCTGCGCGGAACTTACGGTGGTACACGATTGCCAGCAGTGGAAGTCTCCAATGGGAGGATGATCTGGCGGGAGAGCCTGTGAGCGGTGTTGGTCGATGTAGTGGTACTGCAAAGAATCAGAACGCGAGTGGGAAGTCAAGTGCAGCGGTGGCTCCGAGATGTCACGCGCTCCTACCTCTCAAGTGAGGCGCGCGCCTTCGCTCAATCGCAGTAGTGTTGGGTGTTCTTGCCTTCAGTGAGTTGGTGCCTCAGGTCTTGGTTTCTGTCAAACTGAGCTGCTTTGGCATCACTCCACCAATCGACCAATTACACATGTTCTTCCTTGTCTACCTCCGTTAGCTCTCACTTTCCATTGAGATCAGAGCTATGGAACCCCATCAGCTTCGCTTCAACAATTGGATCTTCCAAGATCTCGACCAGTTCCACCTCCGTTGGCTTTCAACCCCTTCAAAATCCGGAGAAACCGACCTGTTCCAGCATCTCCCCATCGACCGACGAACGTTACAACCTCTCTCTTCTCTACCCCCGTTGGCATTTAACAGCCCTGAAATCGGAGCGATGGAGCACTTTGGGTCTCGCTCCATCACACCACTATCCCAAAATCTCAACCACGTTTACCTCCGTTGGCTCTCAAGCTCTCAGAGAAATGAACTATTTCAGCATCGCTCCATCAACCCGCGAGTTCCACAATCTAACCCTTCTTTACCCCTGTTAGCTCTCAGCAGGTCTAAAATGTAGAGCCATGGAGCTCTTTTCCTCTCGCTCCATCGAATTCGCCATTCCAGTCCCTCGGCCATATTCACCTCTATTGGCTCTCAAGCGTTCCGATAATCAGAGAAGTGCTGAGGGAACAACACATCTCAGTGACTCCGACACTGGGTCAATCCTCAGGAAAGGTACCCACAATGGCACACAAGCACTCAATAAGGCAGAGAAAGCCAACATTTGAAGTCACACAAAGTCATTATCATTCACTCATTCTATCATTATCGTGGCCGTCTACGCTGAAGCAAAACAGGCTCGCCCCGCGCGGGCGAGCGAATGGGGGTATCTCAATGCATGACAGCACCACCCAAGCCCAAAAAGCCAAACAAAAAACGCCATTTCCCATGCAAATGCACCCAGAAGCAAAACCCATTGAGCGAGCATCGCTCACAGCTCAAAACTTTTCCCAAACCCGCCATCCAGCAAAACGCACGTGATATACTCCCGTGCCCGCTTCATATCTCTAACAGGCTTGACAGCCTCAAACTCCAATCCCTTCGCGCTAGCCAGCGCGTTCATGCATGTAAAAACACCGCAGTCGTCCATGTTCATCTGCTGTTGGCTCTTTGATTCGAGCTCTCTCCATTCGTCTTCGACATATTTGGTCCCCAGCTCCATGGCGAGCCACTCACGGGCAAGTCTGAAAAAGGAGCGACCGCTTCCTCCAGCGCTGTCGAGGAATTCCAGCGTGCGGTCTTTGGGAGAAATGATGAGGAGGACCCAATGTGCTCCGGTGTTAACGGGAAAGAATATCTTCTCGCACTCGAGAAGCTTTTGGTCGCCGATTTGTTGGCGACGAGCCCATCTGCTGATGGACTTGATTGTGCCCTTTTTGACAGTTGTGTACCAGGCACAGCCGAAGGCAGCGTAACTGGGAGTCCCCTTTCCCTTGACGTAGCCTTCTTGCTCGCGCTTGCGGTCGACGATGGCGCCAATAAAACCATCGACGCCCTCGTCGTTGAGCCAACCGGAAGGTCCTCGGCGGACACTTGGGTCTTGAGCAGCCTTGATTTGGTGCTCGTTCTGTTGTGGTAAAATACAGCCGAATGTCTTGCGTGTCAATTCGACTCCTCGTGTGCTGTGAGCCACGGTTTTAGCTGGGTCTGTCGTAGCCAATTCTCTAGCAATCGTCTGTTGCCAGTCTTCCGAGATTGTTGGCACAAAGTTCTCTAGCGCTTCCTTGCGTCGTGCTGCTTCAGCTGCGGCAGCTTCCTCTGCTTGTTTGCGTTCCTCTTCGGCCTTCTGCTTGGCCTCTTCAGCTTCGCGTTCTGCCTGCAGTCGTGCCTCCTCTTCGGCCTGGCGGACCTTGGCGATTTGCTGCTGGCGAGCATCTTCCTGCTCCTGGCGATGCTTGCGTGCACGCACACTCTCGCGCAATGATTTCTGTTCTGGAGGTTCAATGGTTATGCGCTGCGCCTTTTCCACGAGCGCATCGACTCTCTCATTCGCCTCCTTGTTGTGTGTAGCCCGATCTGGTGGGTTGCGTGGTGGTAGTAGCCCGAGTTCCGCCTTCGTCTTCATTGGCGGGAACTTCGCTTTTGAGTAATTCGCGCCTCGCATGCGGAAAGGAACATTCAATTTCGGTTTCTGCGGCTTCTCTTCTGCTTTGCGGGCTGCAATGGTCGCAGGGTGTGTCGATGGCTGCAATGGCTGTTTCATGCTAGCAGCTCTGCGGAGAGTCTGATGTTGTAACTGTGATGAAGCTGTGAAGTTCTGCCTCAGGTCGATCAGGTCGGCTGTCGGTGCACCGCTCCTGTTCATGCTGCCAGGCTCTTCTTTTGGAGATGGCAGTTGTGTTTGTATATTGGTGTATTCTTGTAACATATTCGGCATACTGCGCGATTGCGAGGCGGTGCGCGTGGGCACAGGGGATGACTTCTCCATACTGCCTGGCCGTGAATCTGGTGGAGTTGCAAGTGTGCTGGCATTTGGTGCCGATCTGTGGGCGGGCGCAATCATGTCCTGCATCTGCCCTGCACTGCCGGGGTAGTAGCCCGGCATTGGATCCGCCTCAATATCCTCCTTTCTAATAGCGCGTCTCTTGTTGCTTTCGCGCGATGACAGGCGCAATGCGAAAATCTCTTGCTCTTGTGTAGTGCGCTTTGGCTTTCGGCTCGGGATGACGCGCGAGAGCCAGCCGACCACTGTTGACACGACTGTTCTCACAACACCGAAGAAGCAACCAGCCACCGTCTGTGGTCTGTCGTCATCCTCCTCATACACGTCTTTGATGGCGTCTTCAAACCGGCGCTTCTGCCCCGCAATCTGTGGTGGGCTGCGCCCCGCAACCTGTAGGCTAGGGTATAGGACTTCTGGCGAGAGGGTGGTTTGCTGACGCGGTGGTGACGTCGAGGTGGTGGACTCTCTGGGAGACACTGGCGACAATATGGGCCGTCCTTCGGGTGTCACGCGTTGCTTGGGAGGAGAAATGCGCCACGATTTCGCCTGTCTCGCCGAGAATGGGAATGGGGTGGACGCGTGCTCTGGCGACAATTCACTGAAGGAGGAGTCGTCGGGGACGGAGAAGGTGTTGCTGGCGCGGACCTTCGTCGCCGGAGGTGTCTTGCCCGCAGTGTTGGCATGCAATGGCTTGACGGGAGGGGTATCGCTGAGGGTCTTCTCATATATTGACGGATGGGAGATGTCGACGTCGAGGTTGAGTGGATACGGCTCCTTGGGCACGTACGTCTCGAGGTGGTTGATGAGGTGGATGCGCTTGGAGAGGGCGGTGCGTGGCAGCATATTGCCAATGGCAGCGCGCGAGGAGGGCCGGCTGTAGTCTGCTGGCGGGGTCCACTGTACTCGGCGCACTGCTGGCGCGTCTTCCATGTCAATGTCGCTGGTTTCTGCCTGGGCAATCTGCGGTGCCGGCGCGGAGTCAATCTCCATAGGCTCAGGCACAGTAGGCGACGGGAAGTCGGCGACGCGGGGGAAGCCGAGAGAGGTGGTATGGAAGATTTGGTGATAGACATAGCGCGCGGGCGACCTGTCTGCTTGCGGCGCCCAGGCGTAGTGTTGGTAGACGCGTCTCTCGTTCTTGTCAAGCGGCCCGTTAGGGCCGTGTCCGGCGCTCTCACATGACAAGACCATAAGTGGCCAAGGGCGATTCGTGCGCAGCTGGAATGCGGTCGTGCGTCGATGGAACTTGCTGTTTTCGGATGCGCGGTGATGGTCTCAAGTTCGGGATGCAAGGGCGAAAACAAGAAACAGCCAGCCCAAACATGCCGAGTCATGTGCGACGGCTGCTCCCGCGTCACGAGTCGTGCCCTCCTTCCACCCTTCACAATCTCGTCCATTCTTACTGAGAACAACCACAACCTCTTCACTTGCTGTGGTGCTACACTTGTCATGGCTCTCGCTGGGATACCCTCGAAATCGCGCAAGTCACCATTCCGCAAGACCTGGGTAGCAGTCATCTGCTGCGAGGCGAAGTCTTGACCGACGCGTCTCGAGGATGTGAAAGGCACGCGTCGACATCGACAAAACTTCTCAATTTCAACTGAAGATAGCTAAACTACAGCTCGCGAAGCGTATCCTACCAAGGACTTCCTCTAAGAATGAATGATTGACCTGTACAAAACCAATGGCGAAGAATGCCGAGCACTGCGGAAAGTATCGCACCAGGAACACTAATCGATCACTCGCCTCTCTTCCGGAGACACTGGACTTCTCACCTCCGCTGGCGAGCTGAGTGTCGCTGAGACGCCCGCTGCGGCAGGTACTAGCGGTGCTGGAATAGGACTCGCTTCTCTTGCAGGCGCTACACCAACTGATTCTCCAGAGATCGGACGTCCAGAGTGCGGTTGCTCCCCTCGCATGGCCATCTCGTTTGCATGCAACTCATGAAATGGCCCGGAGCCGCCAAACCACGCGTTGCTCGCATGGTTCGAGGCAGGCGATGCGTGCCCAGGTGAAGGCGAGTGCTCCAAACTCGGACTCGGCTGGCTCAGAGAACTTCCATACGACATGCTGCGCGTATGACGATTCGAAACTGGCGAGATGGCTGATCGAGAGATGCCAGTCTGCTGCGAAGTCTTTCGTACACTTCCTGCTGAAAGCTCGTGGCGGTGGTACGCGTTAGTTCCTCGAGCGGTTCCGGTTGCATCGAGTTCGGGCTTGTGCTCTGCCATCCCTGGTTGCGCATCCGCTTTGTAGAACTCCATGTTATTCGGCGTCGGCGTGTCGTTAATGGTCGTTCCTGCAATCGAGTTGCGCGAGAAGACGCCGGATGCAGCGTACTGCAGCTCCCGCTCCTCTCGCTGCGCACGACGGCGACGACGCCAGAACCAGAAAGCTACTGCGAGCAAGATGATGACAACAGCAGCGGCACCCACTGCGATACCGACTATCGCGCCAACGCTGAGACCATCTGAGCCACCATCGCCGACTCCGCTTGGGGATACAAGCTTGGTATCTGATGGTGTCTCCGGGAATCGGGCCTGCGAAAGGTAGAACTCGCGCTTGTCATAATCTACGGCAAGATATCTGTTCCTAGATCAGCAGGGTTCCGTGTCGTGTCTGTACACTCTGTAAGGCACGAGCCATGAGTGTTACAACATCTCATTATGGCCACACGCAGCACCATCATGCCCACGTTGTTCTTGAAACCGGCCTACTTACGCTTCTTGCAGGAACACTCGCCCCAGGACATTGGATCTGCCATCGTCAGGCGCACGCCTCAGCGGAAAGTATCGCCGCCTCGTGCTGGTGTCGGTGATGTTCGCCAGCGGCCACTGGAGCTCCAAGTCGAATGCTGCGTATGGCAATACTATCGGAACATCTTTCGAGGTGTCGTTCGCTGCCAACAGGAAAGTGACTGATCGGTTGAATTGGAGCATGCGTTGATGCTGCTCCTCGCTGACCAGGTAATAGTTCAAAGTACTGTTCCACTCCAGTCCGAACGCATCTTCGAAGATGTTGCAGGCGGACGTTGGCAACCAGATCTCCGGAACCAGCGAGTTGACTTGAGCTGGAATTCGTGCATTGTTTACCAAGCCATCACCGACGTCTATTTCGCGAATTCTGAGGATCAAGTCGGACGAACTATCGCTACTCAGAGTGACGGCAAGCCTATCATCGGGGTCGTTGCCACGTAATTGATCGTAGCCGCCAAGGGTCAGACTGGCCCACTGCGAAGGTTCGCCACGATAATATGCACCTGCGGTGTATGCGAAATATTGGCTTCCGATCACATTATTCGTACGCAGCGTCTGCAGCATAGAGGGCCGCCCGTCGTCCAAGGAAGTGCCATTGACATACACCGGGTATGCACTCAGGCCAAAGGAGCCTACAAAAGGTCGATAATTCGCGTCCGCGTAGGCAGCAACGACTTGTTGTTCGATTCTTGGTGACTCAGCTCCAGTGCCCAGAACGACCGTGTCGAGCGCAACTGCTGCTGCTCCCACGTAGCCGAGCGCCTTCTCCGCAGCGTTATACGGAAGCTCGCAGAATGGGCCATCTTCGCAGGGCAGGACGGACTTGCTGGTTGAGACTGAGGGATCTAACAGTCCTCCTCTGAGTTCCGGACACTCCTCTGGATCAGACCCGATGCCGGTAGGGGGATAATAGCATCCTTGGATGTTGACCGGCCAGAATGATGTTCCAATTGTTGCTGGGAGTAAATTGACCACGCGATCCGGATCTCCTATCTGCGAGACGTTGTTAGCAAGAACGACTGTTCTACGCATAGTCCCAAGGCCTTACCCGGAATGCGAAAGTGGACCAGTTGCCATCATTCCCATGCCAGGAACGACTCGGTTGTATCGATATAGCGCCCGACATCGCGTCAAAGACTCCCCAAAAGCTCTGTCCAACTTCGAAAAGCGAAAGTAACACAAAGACTCAAGATACCATGGATAGCAGGGTGGCAGCCTGTGAGGCATGCGGCTCTTGAGCAGCTTATTGTCTGGACCGACCTGTCGCGAGAGGGCACACACATGGCGCACAGCTCGGTCGACCTAGAACACCACATGCCCAGTACATGCACCTCGCCTGCCCGCCTGTCGTGCCGAGATCATGCATGGCGACAGGCTGAGCGATCGTGGGTAGCGTTCGGCAGGACCTCACTACTCGCCAGACGCAGCGCTGCGATGTGCCTACGGCGCGAGGTCTTTACCACGCAGCAATTGTTTCTTCCCTTACGCAATGCAGACTGGCCTGCTTGCACTTCACGATCACTCTTAAATGTCAAGAAAAGGCCGCGCAAATCGCATCGTGGCGCAAGCGGGTATACTGTGCGCACGAGCCTGGCTTGCATATGCCACAGCAGCCAGACGCGTGGGAGGCAGGATTCTGCGCCAGTGACAAGCAACTTTGGACCCCGCAACAGCCTGCTCAACAACACTCCGCAAGGCTGAGCGCGATTTCTTACGTTTCTCTATCGTCCGCACCATTTCGGCACACAACTGCACCTCAGGTGAGTCCATTGAAGACAGCTGTATCCGCATGTCGAATCTCGCGCTCACAGCACTGCGAGAATGCTCTGTAAAGGCGAAAAACAGTTATCGCTAGAATCGGAGCAAAAGCCTCGTAGGATCAGCAAACTCTCGTCTTCCACGAATCCGAGAGGCCCGTCGACCCGAAGCATGCAGCCGCACGGCATGAACCAATAACACGAGCATCGCTGCGGACAATACGCTATATTCCACATACGGGCCTTCTTGGCATTGCTCAGCCTGGAAAGCCCAATGGAATTACACCCATCGACAGGCTGTATGCAGACTTGCAGCATGACAACGCACTGTGCCGCCATAAGCAGCTCTGACTGGCAGGCCATCGCCCGGCCAGCCGTCTCCATGTCCACGATTGGCAATCGAGCTCGAGCAGAAGCAAAGGCAGACCTATCCCAACATGAGGAATCGAGCCACAATCCCGCGCTTGCGCGCACGATGTAGCTCTCATGCCATGTCTGGACTGTATGAATCAGGCGTCTTCCACATCTGCCGTAGTTTGCACGGCCCCGAATGTGGTGCGCAGTCGGTTGCCAAACCCAATGCTCTGGAGGCATGACGAGGCTTCATACTCAGCCTGTTCTCACTCCGCTTTAAGAGTTCCCCTCGTGCCTGGACGCACCGCTTTCCGCTGTCCTCTTCTGCGTCCAGATTGCTGTCAAGCCTGGACCAGGGTATTCTGCGGCGTGACTGCACGTGAAGCTGTTGCTGGGTGTTGAACGCTCTTCTCTTATCGAGNTGCTATGCTCACGTCGAGAGCTCTCATTATTGCTGCTGCGGTCTTGGATGGCAGCTTGCTTGTCGCTGCCAACGACTATGTGGTCAGAACATACACCACGGAGGAGCCGTCGGTGGTAGAGTATACCACCGCGTACGAGACCCCATGCACCACGGAGCTCGAATACCCTGACCCACCTAAATATGAGACGGAAACTGTCACCGAGACCTACACCGAGCCTGGCAAAACGATCAAGAAATACAAGTGAGTAGACAAACATTTTCAACCAAGTGCTTCACTGACATGGTGCCACAGAACGGTGACCAAAACGAAGACTCTGCCAGCCAAGACGCGTACAGAAACCTCGACTTACATCACTACAACGACCGAGGTGTACAAGAAGACTATTTACAAGCCTGTGACATACACAGCAACGGCGACAGTTACGAACAACGTCACGGATACTATCATTAGTCGTACCACGGATATTGTCATCAGTCGTACCACCGACTTCGACACCGTTATTTCGACAAGCACCATAGTCTCCGAGGTCACAACTACGGTTAATGGAACGCCAATCGTCGTCCCCACAACCATCTTCATCACTCAGGATGCTCCTCCCGCGTCCACGATAGTCTCCGAGGTCACATTGCCTGCTCCTCCGCCTCAGATAATCACGGAAGAGAGCACGGTCACTTTACCAGCAAGCACGATCACGACAACAATCGTCCAGAGCGGCACAACAATCACGTCGGAGATCATACTACCACCAAGCATCATTGTGCAGACCGTGACACAGATCCCCGACCCAGTCACTGTCAGTCAGGGACCGCCTCCACCGCAGACCATCATCGAGCCCGCACAGACGGTGACAATTACGGTCCCAGGTCCACAACAGCTGATTACTGTCGCTCCGCCTGCTCCCTTATGCTCGGCGACTGGTGTTGTGCCTGTCTCGGACACAGCTGGATGTGAAGGACGTAACTGTCAGATCGAGTTTGGTGAAGAGGCAGCCGTCTGGTGGTCAGATTACCCCAGCGAACAAGCGCCGCCATTGCTTACTGCGATCACATTCATCAACACCGCGAGACGACAGACATGCATCACAACATCATGTAATACGGAACTCTTCACTCTGTCATATTCCAGCAGTCGGGCAGCATGTGTTCGGCCACCTTGTCCGTCCAACTCGATCAACCACGAATGTCAAATTGTAGTTGGTCCCCTCGTCCTACCAGACAACTCCACCACCTCTGTGACTCAGGTCGGCCAATCTGGCTGGAACTTGAGGTTGGGACCAACAGCCACAGCCAACGACGTCGGCTTGTGCGGCGGCGGAGTACCGCAGTGTGTCACCGCCACATCGCGCTCTCTCGAAACACCTTTGATCTACATCGGAGATGTGATACCTGTCAATAACACTGGGGCTACACCGACAAACTACATTTTGCCGCAAATCGGAGAGTACTTCCCACCAGGAGATCCTTTCGGTGCATGCGAGACCGCGACACTCAATTCGCTTGGCGGCTTTGGCGTCCCAACTAGACTTCGTGCACGACAAGCGGCCATTGACCCAAAGGTCTCGGCTTGGAAAGGAGTACCTGATCTTGTTGTCCGTGAAGTCCAATATGCCGAGCCTGAAGCCGCGGAAACTGGTTCTCCAACGTCGCCGGCTGAAACCTCTGCTACTGCCACGCCACCAACTGTCGTCGTGCCAGATTCGTCACCATCGCCTGTCCCTCCGCCGAGCAATGCTGTGCCTTCGCCAACAGATACTTCGGCTGAACCGCCCACACCTTCAGCAGACATCTCTGACTATATCTCTCCGACTTCCGCGAGTCCTCCAACCCAGAACACCGATGTCGTTGATTCCACTTCCTCAGATGATGGGCCTGACGCCACTGTCCCAGGCACCGTGACCGAAAACATCTCCGGCACAATGGTCGTCACCAACACAGTCTACTACAGCATGATCGCTCCACCAAATCAACAACGTATTCTCGAAGGGATCTCGTCCTTGCAAACAGAAGATATCGCCGCGCTACCATCGGAGTCACTGGCTGCGGTCCTCTCCAGCCTCGTAAGCCTGGGAGGCGAAGAAGCTACTGTTACGCCTGAGCCAGCGCGCAGGCCTAGCGGCGGAAGTAGTGGCAGCGATAGTGACGACAGCAGTGGTGGCAGCAGCAGCAGTGGCAGCAACAGTGGTAATGGAATCACGACTCAGACTGGAGCAGGTGAAGGATTGGCGCAGTGGAGGACATCGGCATTTGGCTGGTGGCTTGTGGTTGTTGCTCTGATTTTTGTGATGGCATAATTCTCCCTCACTCTTACTGAAGTTATGATTTGATGATTTGATGAATTGCATAGCTGGGTCACTCATTACTATTGTGTAGCTTGCTTGGCAGCTTAATTTTAGATGAAATTAAAAGAACCCAAAAGAACAATATAATTGAATGTGGTTACTGGCCAGCAGTATTCTTACTTACTTGTCCTCTTCACGCTCGCAGCACAAAATTATCCACAACCAGGGACTTCTCATTTCCTGTTCTTGAGCAGCCACCCATCACAAAACAACACAACAGGAACAGCCGTGACCCCGCAAAGTACTCCCAACGCCAAAGTCCCCATCGCCCAACCTCGTGCCTCAACCACGAACCCGCATAGAATTGGTCCGAGAGTATCGCCGAGGGCCCAAGCCATGTTGAAAAAGCCATAAGCCTGTCCGTAGTATCCCGTTCTAGACTCGATCCCCGCATCACGATCCTCCTGCGAAAGTTCTCGAGATCGATGCGCGATTTCTCCGAACAGAGGCTCCAGGATTATGGCCAGACAGCATCCGATGATCAGCAACAGAACTATCAGCACTGCTTTCTGGCTTGAGCTGTTGCGCTCAACGAGTCTCAGTAGGATGAGAGCAGGACATAATGCCAGGTAAGCTCCGGCAATGAACCAGCGTCCGCCGTACTTGTCGGTAAGCTTCCCGATCAGTGGTCCTGCTATTGCTGGCAATGAGAGAGGCAAGAAGACTGCTCCGGAGCCCTCGGCATCCCAGCCAAAGAGCTCGTTGACAGTGATCGGAAGGACTGTCTCAAAGCCGGCGAATACTGCTGCCAGAGTGAAGACGCCCCATAGAGCGACCAGGAAGCGGCCTGAGCAAAGAATCCTAAGCATGGCGGGTTTGTTGGAGTGTGCAGGCAGTGAGTACATTGTCGAAGGTACCTCGGCTGAGGAGGTTTCATCAAGTTGCGGCTCTGTGATGTGAGGGTACGACTTGCGTTCAACGTCCAATAGCGCGTTTTCCCCAGTTTGTTGTGAGTTGACGCGCACAAGGTGCAGACTATGGTCCCGTTCCTTCATGATCAGGAGAAACATCATGCTCAAGCCAATTACAGCAAGGATGACTGCAAAGACGGCGTTGTAGCCCCGATGCTTGAAGACAGTTCCGCCCAGTGACGGCGCCGCCACACTTCCAGCGTTCAAGGAGATGCCCAGATAGCCAGCAGCCTAGATCTCAAGGTCAGCTTCAACAGGAGCAGGAAAACGGAATGATCTAACCTCTCCAATGTGCTCAGGTAATACACTTTCCGCCAGCAGAGCCAGGCCCGTAGTCCACACAACCGTACTCGACATACCCTGAAACACGCGCCCACAGATTTGTGCCGCCATGTTCGGAGCGAGCCACAGCAGCACCGTCGCTCCCAGCATCACCGTCATTCCGAAGAGGAATGGTATTCGCCGATTCTGCGTACGATCGGTGTACCAAGCCCACAGAGGTGAGCTGACAAAGCATCCTGCTCCAGAAACAGCCAACAGTATGGTCGTCCACTTCTGGGTTTCATCTTCGTCAATGTGTCCACGTTCCTTGAGCGTGAAGGGCACGACGGGAACGATCGCCGCGTACACAAATTGCTCGGTGAAGACGGCGAAGGCGATGACGAAGGTAAGATAGAGGGTGGAGGAGCGAAAGGGTCTCGGTATGGTTGTCACTTTCTTCCAGGCGCATCGCATGCAGTCCATTATGGGCATCCTTTAGATGTCGCAATCTTGCTGGCGGGGTGCCTTGCGAGACTTCTGAAGGGAGGACCTGATGGAGTGCTGGGACTTAGACCGATGCAGCCTGTGAACGTGGTAGGTTTTGGGGGTATTTCGGTCTCCTTCATCGCCAACATGCGCAGTAGCGACCAATGTCGAAGGCCCTTGGCTCGCGGGTGCGTCAAGTGTAGCAGCAGCGCGGTAGGGTGTCTTTCGCGGAAGCTGGTCACGCAGCGCCGTTATTCGCAACGCACGAGATTCAGAGTGCGAGCCGAAGGATGGTCGGAGTTGTAATATGATCAGGCAATCAGGGTCCCGGTGAAGACGTTCGCGAGGGCGAAGATGTGGCAACGTTCGCAGTGGTGAAGCACGTCTTCGGTAAATTTCTCGGACGGGAAGGTACGATAGCATATATCGGCACGTGGTGGATCGGTATAGGTGCAAAGTGTAGTCCGAGGAGAGAAGCTCGTTCGTAGGAGATTGGTATATCGTAGCTGGCGTTCGTCAGACGATGATGTGAAGTCTGCGGAGTCAGCTGCCTGTTTGCCTGGGAAGCGACTATGAGGGTTGGGCGAGAAGGAGCTTTTTGAAAGGCAAGTGCTGCCGTGCAGGAACACATCGACCCTTCTCCGTCCACACATCTCTCTTCGCCAACACAACTTGCAACGACGCTCATCGCAATCACGAATTGTTCCCTCGACCTCTCGCTGTGTCCATCCTCAAGGCATCGTGTCCAGCCGCAGGGGGAACAGACCACTCCGCGCCGGAATTGCTCAAATTCGAGCAGAAAATAAGGAAACGAGCCGAGCGAAGCATATCGAAGAGCTTCCAGGTTTACGCAAGGAGTACGGAGGAGTGATCCTGGAGAAAGAACGAGGAACAACACAGCACAATCTTCTGGGGATCGCCCAGTGTGGGGACTTTCTGCTTGACAAACTGGTGGACCTGGCGCAAACTGCCATTCACGATGCGTTTGGCCTCCAATCGGTGCCAGGTAGAGCTGAAGGCTTGCATAAAGAGGTGAAATCTGCTCGAGGTGAGTGATATCTGGCTCTCGGTCAATATCTAGCACAGCAACTTTGCTGTCTTGAGATGGCGAAGAGTGCTATGGACTGCGACTGCAGTGTTCGCGCAGCCTCATCTTGGAGACTTGATGCCATTGTCGGAACTGATTCTAGGCTCTGCCGAACGAGCTGTCCTACTTCTCCACGGGCAGCCACCGAGCGAGGCGGTTGTTTCAGCTCCGATCTGAGTGCTGCGCAAGCAAGTCGACGCAAACTGTGGGCAACGCACGCCGTCTTCCGTTCACAAATGAACCGCAGCGCGCCAATAGCCTGTCCAACCGCGCTACTGTATTTCGTGGAGTGCAGACTACACGTGTCTGCGATGGAAGTACAACATGCTCGGCTGGCTGGGTGCTCGATCCGTGGACAGCATCGGTCGACGAGGGACACATTCTGTCGCTCCGTGGACAGTCCATGTCAACGAAGGCAGTAGACCCGCTGCATGACGTGCAGCATTGTCGCTCGACTCCGGCGAGGACGCGAAGACATACATATGCTGATACAGTCCGCCCATCGGCATTACACCACAAACGGCTTTGCCGACGCCACTCAGTGCCAAGTTGACGCCCAGCCAGCGGATCTGATAAGTTTTATCAGATCAACTCCGCATGCGACATGGTGCATCCTTCGCGTTACTCGAAACCTACTCTTCTACGCGACCCGAACTGTCCCCACCAGATTCGCATACCGCGTGTTAGTCACGCCCGCGAAGGGCGTGCGGGATGTATATGTACTCATTCCTCCCTCAAGCGGTAGGCCTTCGATCTCCACTTCTTTCTTACTGACACCGCAGCAATGGTCAAGTTCTGGGACCACATCTCGAAGGACCACCAAGAATGGGCACTTCGACAGTCGCTATTCTTCATTGCCTCTGCTCCTCTTACGGGCAAGCATATCAATTGCTCGCCGAAAGGACGGCCTTCGGCGACTCTGACCATATTCGATGAGAATCTCGTAGGGTACATGGACGCGACAGGATCCGGAGTCGAAACGATCAGCCATGTGTACGAGAATGGCAGAGCAACGATCATGTTTTGCAGTTTCGAGAGCTCACCTCGGATCATGAGATGGTTCTGCACAGGAAAGGTGTACGAGACAGATCATCCAGAGTATGAGTACTGGTTGAAGAGGATGGGCAAGGAGGAATACCCTGCCATGCGTGCGATCATCGTGCTGAAGGTGTTCAAAGGTTGGCGAATTTTCCCCTGGTCATGATTCAGATAAGGTTCAGCTGACATTCCTCTCATAGTCCAAACCTCATGCGGCTTCGCAGTACCGCTCCTCTCACATTACGTCGACGGAGAAAAGGGACCTCGAGGGAAATTCGTGGACCGAAAGACATTGGACAATTTCGCGATCAAGAGCGCAGCAGTTCCGGAAATCATGGCGAATTACAGGGCGAAGATGAATCCCAAGAGCTTGGACGGGCTGCCAGGTTTACGGCGAGCAATGAAGACGAATGGGCAAAATGTATTCCTGCAAGAGCTGATATGGTGGGCGAAGAGTACAACTTCACAATGGCAGGCTATGGTGCTGGGTGCTGCAATCGGTATATGGCTCATGCTGGCGTTGCAGATGGCTGCGAGGACCTTGGACTTGGGTCGATTGACGATGTGAAGCAATTGGGGAAAGGAGTTGGGAGTGTCTAAAAGGAAGGCAATGCCGCGAAATGATATCATGATATGGACAACAAGATCTGATCGATCTATCTTCTCGGTGGGGTTGAACACTTGACTGTTTCTCAGGAATCAAGATATGCGGTCCTCGCCATTGGAGAAGTTCCCTTCAAGCAGCGTTGCTCTGCTACAGCCTGTTACATCGACGGTATCCTCACCTCAAGTAATGGCAACATCTCATCAGAACAAGTCCGGTCCAGCTGCCTGCTTTCAAGAGATCCCTGCCGAGGCGCTGTCATCGCATGCGTGCCTAATCCATTGATCCATCGTTCACAATTCTCCGAAGCAGCAACTTGGCCCTACTTGCGTTCACGAAAACCGTCCGGCTCAACCTAGTCTGTTGCAATACAGGCATGCCTTTGTCAAGATACTCCGGCGTTACTCTCCATTTTTGATATCGATACGTGGTATCTGAGCCCTACGCCACAGAAGGCGAACTCTATTCTCTGCACAAGCATGTTGGGGTGCCTGGCGATCTTACGGAATGCCTTCCCTGCAGACTAACGGGGGGTCCAGTCATGAAGATATGGCGCAAGATACGAGCTGCGTACGAAGACAAGCAGCGGAAACGGAGCCTCGATTGCACAAGGACTTGACCCCTAGCAGTTGGAAGGCATCTTGCCTGGAAAGTCTGCCTTGCGGAGAATGTCCGAATTGGAGAGCCAGCAGCTCTTCCCAAGGAAGCCCTTGATTGTCGTTGATGGTGGGTAGCTTGCATTGAGTACCCTCGCTCAACGATAGTCGGTGATATTCGGCGAAGACGTGATCATTGCGGGCCTTCGAACACCTCCCTGACCAGGAGAAAGTTTGAGCTCGAGAGAACGAGAGACTCCACGCCGCTGAAACAGTCCCCGACTTCTCTGTCTGTGCTTTCAAACCAGACTCCGGAGGCTGAGACGCAAGGCTCTCTGTGATGCACAGAGACAGGAATATGGCATCTGCTCACAGGAGCTCGGTAGAGCACAGGAGTGTGTATTCCTCCCATACCTGCTCGTCAGATTTTGCGCATGGCTCTCCGATGAAGAGTTTGGCGACGATCTTGCGACAGCTGGCTAACCGGTGGCATGCAGAGTGCGCCAAGATCAGAGTCAAGCAATACTTATCTCCTTGTCTCTGAATTCGAATTCTCTCGAATGAGTGCTTCATCCGCTGCTCCGATTGCATACAATGATTGAGGTGGACGGAGCGAAACGGACGCGACTAGATTGACATGATAAGACACCTCCCTTGAGTGATGTTTCTCTCATCAGAGCCTTCAGCGTTTCCTGAGCTCATCGAAAACTTCTCGAATTTCTCCTCCAACAACAAAAAGCCTGCCTCATGAGCGGTACCATCAAACCCCCAGGGTACCTCTCGTTCCAGAGTCCTGAGGCCTTGCAAGGCTTCCCGAATGTCTTCTGGACCAGACATCTCTGGTTTATGCGGGGGCAAGTGAGGTTATCTTACCAAAAGTTTGTTCGCTGGTATTCTTCAAGATCTTGTGCTGGCCAACGATTTCGTGCTTCATGCGCTCGACGCTGACCTTCACCAGCCACCCCACCCCCCCTGGCCCACGCAGAAGCAACGAAGTGATATATGGCCACGTAAAACCACATGAGTTCGCAGTCGTAGTTTCCAAGAGTCAAAGCAGGTCCCAGTCCCAGTTTCCGCGAAACACAAGCAACAAAAAGCGATTGAATGCGAACCAACAGACTAGAGACATCGTAGCGAGCAGAGTTCACCATTGCGTCGAGCAACTCCAGGCTCTCCAGCTCCACAACTGCCGAGAGCGGATGCACGGGCAATGGCGGCGACGATCGAGAGAAGAAATCTGGTGGGATCCGTAAGCATGTTCACATTTTCGTACCCCTAAGAACTCAGAAAAATGATGCTATCATGATAGTGCACCATGTGGAGCTTGAGCAGCATTCCAAGTCGCATGCAGTCGGAGAGATGGAAAGTTGTTGCTTATCTCATCGAATGCATCGTGCTGAGTGGAAATGACACGCTCCATATGTTCGATGCGGCGGCTCACCGGATACCCAAATGTCTTCAGAGCCCAAGCCCATGGAAATCTCATGTAATTCATGTCCACGTGGAGCCCTCAAAGCCGTCCCAGTCCCATCTTCTGCGAGAGACGTGCCAAAAGAAGCGATTGAAGGCGAACCGTAAGTCCCGAGCGAAAGCATCGAGAAGGAAGAGGCAGAACAAGACAGACTTGACCAAGGAGATTGCAGAAATGGAGCCGCCTCGAGGCGGTGAGCTGAGTCCAAGAGCCAAATGCAAGCGTAATGGCAGCCGTGATGGAGAGGAGGATTGACGTTAGGTTTGTCCATCTTGACTTGATCGTCTCATCTACGTCTCTGACGAAGACGAACAGTCCGATTGCGTATCATCTTGAGCTTGAGCAGCATTTGATGGAGAAGAATCCCGGAGAAGTCCAGTTTTCAGTTTTCATTCTCTCCGTACTCAGCATTCGAGCGGATGCTGCACCGTATTTGCACGGAGTGGCTCTGGCGTCCATCTGATTGTGGAGAATGGATGAGGGTGTCGATGTGTCAATTTTTCTTTCGCTATCCTCTCTCGAACGTAACCATGAGCTCGAGTAGCACAATCTTGAGATTAGGTGGCTTGGCGAAGTTGTCGTGGTGCAGAGAGCCCCTATCGACTTCTCGAACGTCGTTCGGCAGCAGATTTGCAGCTTGTCTGGAGCTCGAGTGGCATTCAATTTTGCATGATATTGGAGAAAGAACTCCTTCGTGTCGGTCTCTCCGGACGTGGTGGATGTCTGATTGCTGCAGAGCTTGGACAACAGGCACCACTGATGTGTCGATGATTGCAGAGAAATGGCCAGGAAATCTAGGCAATGTACTCTTTCTCCATGAGGAATGGGAGGCAACATCTTGGACGCGGGCGTGAAATGTGCTGAATCCGGGATATACGAAAGTGAGGAAAGTAAGAAGACCCACGGGTACAACGGTCCATGTGTTGATGCGCTGCATTACATCGTCAGCGGATGACGGCTGTAATGCTTCGGCCATATTGTCGTTGAGTAGTATCCCGAGCTGTGGTGCAGAGACCATGGAAGGCACTGTACCACGAGAATGGCAGTATTGTAAGGCCTCTGAAATCGTTCGACGGCAGATTCGTGGCTGGTGTGGAGCTTGGCTGGCATTCGATCTCGTATGTTACTGGGGACAAGCATCCTTCGCTGCGGTTCCTCTGGATATATTGAGTGCCTGGTTGCTACAGCATTTGAACATGAGGTGCCGTTGATGTATTGATAACCGCAGAGAAGCCACCATGAAGACGAGGCAGCGAGCTCTTTCTCACTGCGGAGTATAGCTTCCAGACTGGCAAGATCCGGAGATCTGGTGGCTCGAGAAGGCGTCAAGAGGCAGAGAGGAAAGGAAGGAAAGAGCATCCAAAGCGAAGCAAGAACTTTTGTACTCCACACCTGCTACTCAAGAGAAACCAACACACAATACAACACAATACAGAAAGACCCCAGACAAGCAAATCAAACACACAGCCCCAACCGCTCTACTGCTTCCGCCCCTTGCCCTTTCCCTTCGCCTTCTTCACCTCCTGTCCCGGCCACTTCATTGGCCCCATCTCCACCGGAGTCTTCCTCGTCTCGCTAGGCCCACGACTGCCCGGCCGGCCAACCTCCTCGCCACCCTTCCTCACCTTCGCCTTCCCCTGCTCGCCTCTACCAAACGCACCCAGCGCTCCGTCAATCGCCTCATCTGCTGGTCGCTTCTTCTGCTTCTGCTCCGAGAGTTTGTCAGCCGCGAGCAGCATGATCTCCTTCGTCTTGGGCTCCGCAGTGTAGAAAGCGGCAGCCCGACGAGCCGCTTCCTCACCAGTTGGGGCTGGGCTACGATCACGTGGCGGGGAGTCTGGGAGAGCGTAAGAGTCTTCATTACGCTCTAAGAGAGAGCGCATGAACTCACTCTTGCCTCTGGTTCCCGGGGTCCTTGAAGGTCGGCGTGGAGGTGGAGCGACACCAGAGGCAGCAGGTGAAGACTCCTTGGCCATCTTCTGGCTCGGCTTCGTCGTGAGGGATTTTCTCTTCTTGTGTGAGGTGACGAAGAGGCCAGAGGATGATGAGCTGCCACTCTCTTGAGACGTGGCATTGGAAGCGCGACGGCGAGGGGAGCCCGGGTGGCTTGGATGCTGCTCGGCGTCATGGAGAGGCTCGCCTGCCTCAACATCTCCAACGTCTTGCATGTCAACATCGTCGCCTGTCTCCTTTGGCCAGGCACCAGGCTTCAACCACTCGGATGGTATACCAGCGCCTTCGTCTTCGGATGCTGAGAAGAGACTGTGGAGTGATGATTTGCCATCATCGCTTGAAGACTGCCTCGAGATGGCAGCAGTCGCAGTCCGACTTGCATCGACTTGCTGTGGAGCAAACTGCTTCTTTCGAGGGTCTGGCAAGAGCGCTCCGCGAAGTAAGCCTGCAGACTCGGACTGGGATAAGAGGCGCTTCGACTTCGTCTGCTCGGATTTGCGCTTCGCCTTGCCCGCCTTCTCCTGCACTGGTTGTAAAGCGCCTTTGCCGTCGACCTTTGAATTCTCATTCTGATCAGCCTTTGTTGACGCTGCTACTTTCTCAGTCTGATGAACCTCGATGATCTCTTCGGGCGAGTTGTTGCGCTTCTTCATCTCATCTTTGGTCTTCTTGGCCAATCTGGCTGCGTACGAGCTTGCATTGCTCGGCGCCTTGCCAGAGCTCTCGTCACTGTCTTCGCCCTGCTCATCTGCTTCATCGTCGTGTTCCTCCAACACCTTCTGCTTTGTGGCCTCAGAGACTCGAACCTTATCGACATCGAACATTGGTCCCTTTTCCATGCGCCGTTGGGACTTGGTGGGTCCGGCTTCAGTCATTTTCTTGACTTCGACCCTCCTCTCCGCATTTTCCTTTGCTGAAGCCTGCATCGTCTTGTCTTGCCTGCCATTGCTTGACCGCGCCTTCTTGCCACTAATGGTTCCATCAGAGACTTGCAGGTCATCAACCAACACTTTCAGATCATCATTGGTCCAGCTACGAGTCTCGCCGTCCAAAATCTTCTCCAGTGTCGGTCGGCCAGTCTTTGGATGCACGCCAGCAACGACCTTGCCCAACTTTCTGTAGCGCTCCTCGATGAGCTCGATGTCGTCCTCCAAGGTTTCCATCAGTACGATCTCCTGGTCGGTTGCGACTCCCCCTTGATCGAACACCACATTAAGATCAGTTGACATCTTATCAAGTCTTGCCTTTTTCGATTGGCGGATTTGGTCGAGGATAGTTCGGAAGTCTTGAACGAACTGGCGCGGGTCGAGGCGATTTGGTGCTGCGCTTGGCTCGCGCGCCCGATGGCCAGGTTCGGGGAAACCGGAGAGGGCAGGCATGGTGGTCAGGAGGGTTTTGGAAGCCGACGAGTTTCCTGGAGGTGGTCGCGCCTGGTCTGGAATCACCATATCGCGGATGCTGCTTGATGAGGGAGTCGAGTGGGTGAGATATTGGTTGTTCTTGGCAGGTGAATCAAAGTCGGCGGGAAGTGGCGCAGGTTTTGAGACTGGGTGACAGTGAGCGAGCGGCAGGTGCGTGCGCGGCTTGCGCGTGACTGAGGCAGGTCTGCTGGCGGTGCGGTCGGCGTGGACAAAGTTGCAGAAGAAGGTAGGTGGCAAGTCAGGAGAGAAGAGTTGCCTAGAGCAGGAACTAAGTGAGGGACTTCAGGCAATGGCTTTTTGTGCTGAAAATGCAACTAACGAGCTAAGTAGGCGGCAAACGTCTTGCGGTCATCCTTTCTCCAGCCAGCGGCCCAGCAGCATCATCCCGTCACGGCAAACTTCCGATCAAAGATTTTCTCGACGACCACGACGATCATACGCACAACGAGTACAGACCCGAGAGAGCAACCTCGACCTTCCCAGCTGCATGGCTTTTCAGCTGCCAATCGGCCGTCTGAATTTCACATGCGTCGGTCCACGGCCTCAGGAGAGCGTTTGGCAACACTCTGGGACCATGGAGAGATGCTACATACAAACATTCCCACTGACGACAATACCGAACATCACAACGAAAAGCTAGCGCGCTGGTCCTTGGTAAGTAGAGCATGCTGATGTGCCCTCTTCTCCACGACCGTGTCCTCCCCTGAGCTACGACTCTTGCACCGATCGAACGACAAGTTCGACCTTCATCTCTGCGCGAGTTCGTCGAGCCTCAGCGTGCCTTTGCATGTCACTTCGAAGATACAGCCTTCGTGTTGCTGAAGGTCAGCGTCATCAAATTGAGCCTTATGACTCACACTATCTTCGCGGTATGAAACACCTTGAGGGAGGTCAAGAGGGGGACATCACAATACAGTGGGTCAACACGATATCCGCAGCCTATGTTTGACCTTATAGCGACACATCAGACTCTCTGGGTAAGTCTCCAACGCTCTTCAATTGCATCACGAGAACATGATGACTACTGCACGACCCGAACGACATCACGACATTGCTCGTCGCGAAGCCTGTAACCTCAAGAGGCAGGAATACAAACCATGAGAGTGATCCGATTCTTCGACATTGTCGCAATAATAACACAGGCTTCGAAGGGCTGTCCGTCAAGAGGAGAGCAGTCGAGTGTGTTGTACGAATGGGAACCCGGGCATGCGATCAGCATGCTCCATTTGAACACACATCATGCCTCGACTCGACTCTGTAACTTGATGCTGCGAGACTGAATTGTCTGATTTCAAGAGAACTCCACTGGCGACAAGTGGATCGTGAGAGCTAAGAGAGATGGCTGACTATCTACATACTAGGCTCCGCGACGGATCCCTTCCCGTCACCGGGCGAACACCAAGTACGAAAGTAATATGCAAGACCATTCTTCAGTCTGCGACACACCGAGCGGTAAGCACCAGTCCATAGAGCCCCTTGCCACCCATCCATCATGATGAAGCCGCACCACCCTACGCGAAAAAAGGCATTGCTCGTCGCGGAACTTAAGGAAAATCAGAGGCATTGGAATATCACAAACACTGCAATGTCGGTCGTCGCTCGTAACAAGCCGCTGTCAGCGCACATTACGCTCTGCCAGTAGTCATATGCTACCCGGGTTTCGAAGAGCTGTCCGCGAAAGAGGAGGGAAGCCACGGGTCTTGTCTCAAGACTGCCTCGACGTGGCTCTGCATTGGTCACTGGCTACGGGAGCCAATGGCTCTGGAATGGAGACAACTGTCTCGTGTTCGATCGTCGAGAGAATAGAAGAGGTTTTGCTGACCAGATGACTTTGCAGATGAGCCTCGCAGCCGCCGCCGTCTCTCCTTCCGTCATATTCCTCGACGGATGATCTGTTGACAAGGTAAGCACCAGTCCAGTCCCACCCCCTACATCATGATGAAGCTGCACCACCTTATGCGAATCACGGCATCGCCCGTCGCGGAGCTCGAGGCTCAACGAGAGGCATTAGCGAACATATGTCGACTTTCCAAACCATGAAAGTGCTCTGAAACACGGAGCGTAGCTGGCGCGTCAAATGTCAGCCGTCCCTGCTCACCACAAGGACGTAAAACCGAGTTTCGAAGGGCTGTCCGCAATAGAGGAGAGAAGTCGTGTGTCTTACCCAGGCTGCCTCGACACGACTCTGCATTTGTTACTGGCTATGGGAGCTGGTGGCACTGAATCTATGCTACATTTCCCACTTTCGCTCTGGAAGACTGCAGATACTCTTCGCTGACCATGATCATTTCACAGATACGCCTCAAAGCATCTTACAATATCTTTCAGGACAGTTTTCGCATTCTCTTCACAATCCAGAAGGTAAGCAGCTCCCATCCACGTCCCCATCCTCGTCATGATGAACCTTGCAACATCCTAAGCGATAACACGACATTGCCAGTTGCGGAACTGGTGAATAGAGAAAGAGACATTTCCAAACCATGGAACGGGCAGTAAAACGCTCGATATGGGCAAGTCAATGTGCCACGCAGCCGTAATCAATACCGCAAGGTATGCAAACACGAGTTTCCGAAGGGCTGTCCGCATCAGAGGAGAGAAGTCACGTGTCTTCCCAAAAGGAAGACTTGTCTCGACATGGCTCTGCATTTTGTCATTGGCTATGGGAGCTGGTGATCTGATATTGATGACTTGGTCCTTCTGTCTATTTTTCGCGTGCTGAGGATGTCATTCGCTAACCTGGAGACTATGCAGAGAACTTCCTGGCCGGGAGGTGCCATCGGAAGTCGAAGGACTCTGAACAGATGGTCGACGCGTCGATCGACGGAGGCGAAAAGAGAGAAGGAGAGACCTGCCGGTATCTATTGCAGATGGTCCTTTGAGTGACATGTGCAATGTTCGGGCTGGAATACAAACGCAACAGCAAGGAGATGAGGGTGCGTTGCCTAGACTTCCAGCCCCCATCGCGTATCGCCGAAGTGGCTTCATGCGGGCGTTTAGGCTAGAAAGCTCTCTGCAAAAGAGCTTCAGAGACCCTCCAGCAATGGCCTGATCTTGCGTTGAGACAGCTATAACAGTAGTCAAGCCCCGTAGCTCGGCTGTCTGTTCCAGATTGAAGTGCCTACTTACGATCAATCTGGGAGTAGTCAATCTCTTGTTAGAACAGCGGCATAGCACACACCAAAACCAAAAATTCACCTTTGAACCTCTCTCATCCAGATCACCACGATGAGCGACGAAGGAGAACTCGGACGCGACAAGCGAGAGCAAGAACTCCAAGAATCACGGCAGAAACGCGATCGCGACGCGAAAATGGCAACGAAATGGCAAGACTTGTTGGAAAGTTATTGCCGCGAGCAGAAGCTGGAGAAGCCTGTGTATAGCATTGCTTCGGATCGGAGAGGAGGGCGTACGGCTTGGAGCGCGGTTGTGAATCTGGGAGGAGGTCAAGGGTCGTATAATGCGAGATATTGGTATGATGGACAGTTCATCACGAATGCGAAAGAGGATGCGGCGGAGGTGGCGTTGATTGCGCTTGGACAGGTTGTGGGTGAAGGGGGAAAGCGTTAGCAGTTGGTGGCAGTGGATAGTGAATGGAGTATTTGAGCAACTGCAAGCAACGGTCGCATTGGTTCGCATGTTCTCTGCAAGGTGCAAGGTTGAAATTAGGGTGTCGAGTGTGGTTCACTTAGAGAGACTGCTTGGTATTTTGTTGTGGAAGGAGCAGTCGGAGTGTGATGTTCGGCATCGAGCAGTCATGTCTGGTCCAGCATGCGGTATGATGCTACGATGTGTACTTGAACCTCGCACGTGCATGAAGCACAGAAGGCAGGTAAAGTTCGGTAACGCACGATGCAGTTGAGATGGATCATCATAGATCGTCGAACGTCTGCGGACGATGAGGCTGAGACAGGTGTCGAACTCCAGCCTCAAATGCACGTGGAATGCACTTGATGCAGCAAGAATGTCAGGTGTCAGGTGTTCCGAAGTGACATGTATCCGTGGTGAACTCAAATCGGGTTTGGGTTTCCGTTTCAACCGCGCAGGCTGTTGGCGGAGGGCTTGTCGCTACAGTTGCTGTCAGCCCTGTGTGAAGATCCGGGATCATGTTGTACTTGATCAGTAGCGATGTGTAGCGAAGCGCTTCGGCGCCGGGATATCAAACAGTCGGACCTGGGAGGAGCTGCTGAGAGTCATGGGCTGGAGCTGTACCTGCAGAAAGGCATGTCGTCTCATCAGGCCGGAGAGAAATGCGTTCGTCATTGATGACAGTCTGTTGGCAGATGTTGTCGGTTGTCTGTTGTCTCGTTTTGGAGTCAAATGCGAGAGCGTGTCCCGTGGCGAGGACGTTGAATGCGGAATAGGCAGATTGGCAATTTGGTATTATCGCTGCACGCTGGCCCATTTGGTACGTCACACAGCTTCGCCGGGAATATGAGTGACCGCAAGCGACGACTGCTTGGAGAAAGTGGCCCAATGCAGTGGACTTGCGATATTGTTGTGCAGCTCTAGTCGTGGCGGTGACTGGGTCGCTTTTGAGCTGCGCCACAACAGCAAAAACGATTGCCCTTGTTGGAACAGAGGGCTCGTATTTGGCAATCCTACGCAGGTGTTGGAAATTGCCCGCAAAGGCCCTTCGGAGCATTGTTTCTGGGATGAGGTCGATGGAGATTTCTCCGAAATGTGGTGGGATCGTTGTTCAGCCCTGCTGTGGTAGAGTTCCGCACTCGTTACGTGGTCGCTTCCGACGACGTTTGTGATCGCGGCTTCATTTCGTTTCCTGCTGGACGTGTGCCGCTCTGGCGAGGTGCTGCTCATCTGCGAGCGGGCCGTTTGCCGTTGGCGATATTCGCCATCTCTGCATCCGAACGCGTCGTAGATCCCGCCGTGTCAGTCCAGACGAGGTGTGAAAGATGCAAGAGAACGAAGTGGCAGGAGAGGGCACGGGCACGGATGGGAAAACAAGGTTGCCGATCACGTTCGCTGTCCGCATAGAGTTTAGCTTCCTGGTCCGGCGTGGGACAAGCCCTAGCCGCCATCCACCACTTCACCTCTACCACTCGACATTCATCGCCGCGGACCCAGCATTGCGAGAGCGCGTTCATGTTGTCATTGCAGTAGTGCGCGTTGGCCTGCTCGAATTCTCTCCGCGTGAGTCGTTAGCTGCCCGCGGCGCCATCATCGCCGGCGCTGCTCTTCGGCCTTGTCAGCCTTCGGCTCCTCTCCCGCTGCGCCATGTCCCTCCCATCTCCGTAGCGCGCTCGGAGATCTGAGTTGACGCAACACGCATATGGTAACGCCGGCCGGAGCGTGCTAAAGTCGGCGCTCTCCATACTTGGCTCTGGTCCAGCGGAGTGGCATGTACGCCTTAGACTCATCTGGAAGGCGGGAACCCTGCAGCAGCTGCCCTCCAACGCCGCAGGGTGTTCCTCGATGATGCCTGAGCTTGCAAACGGCTACTGGGCAGCGACTTTCATGGTCCATTGACGGTTTTCACGCCCGTACGGACTGCCAACCTGGACCACAGATGGACTGAGTACGAGTGCTCGCGGGATGTCATGGCTAGCGACGGCTTCGCTCGCGAACCGCTGCCACAGCCGACTTCGCGGTAATATTCCCATTAGGATCAAACGGTGAACGGGTTGAGTCAGGAAAGTCCCTGTCACCTCATCGGCTGCGAACGCCATCTGATCTTTGCGAGCCAAGTAGCCCTTCTGCGGCTCGCTGGTCGTCGGCACATGGCATTGCTTCCAATCAAGGTTCGATGCAGTCCGGATGGTGGAGGAGCAGACGACGTTGCAGTCTCTACCTTCGCTCGTTTCAGCATGCGCGCATCGTCAGATCCACGAGCAGCGACGCCCAGTCAGCGCGCCTGCACCAGTAGCCACACTGCACTGCGGAAGGTGTTTTTTCAAATTGTTGCAGTCGAATCGCAGGTCCAATGAATGTGTTCAGCGGATGTGTCTCGCTAAACGCACAGCTCACCAACAATGGTGCATGCACGGAGATCCAAGCACTAACACTTTTCCTGGATCGCAGGGATTCCGATGACCCAACGTCAAGGTCTCAAAGCACGTGCCGTAGCATAGACTCTTTGATCGCAACCTTGCGCTCCCACACCAGATCTCGCACCGCATGACGAGGGGGAATTTCCTTTTGCCGCCTGTCTCTGGCGATGCCCATGTCATTCGCATCGCTCGGCCACACCGCGTGACACCCGAGCCTCGATTACGAACGCTTTGATCATGACCACTTGCGACAGGACTCGGAACATATTGGAACCTCGAGGGCCCTTCCTGCCAGGGTGGCTTACAGAAAGCTTAAAAAAGGCTATGCAACCATTCCCGTCCGCCTGAACACTGTGGGGATATGGATGGAGCCCCCTCCCGCCATGTTTCGGACTGTTCTCTTTCTACCGCCTCGTCACAGACTCGAGTGTCATCGGCCCAAGACACTTCACGCCGGATGAGGCTGTCGCACAGACAGCGATACACTGTCGACGACTACACGCACTGTGTAGACTGCGACCGCCTGCGCAACTATTGCGGGCCGTTTGGTATTGGGAAAGCCGACAGGATCTCCGGCCAGACAAATCGCAAAACCACCACACAGCTTACCTTTGAACCCACCTGAGCTCGCACCCATTCATCTCTTGCATCCCCAAACTCTATCCTGCGGTGTCTTCCCGCTCCGCGAGACATTTCCATTGTTCACGCGCGAGGCTCCGGGCCAAATGGGCTCATCAACCACTCGGCGAAAAGATCTGAGCAGAAGGGCTCCTTCCGCTAGCATCACCTCCACCTAGTGCCAGAACAGCAATGAGCGACGAAGGCAGATCGATCTGCCTTTCGAGCCCGTCCCCAGGACCATCACTGTTGTCTTTGGCTACCGAGGGTCCTGCACGCAAAGTCCGGCTGCTGTCTCAGTCGGATCAGCGCAGCGCCATAGGTTATCCCTCACCGCCGATGTCCAATCCGCCCTCGCCGCAGAGGCTTCCTCAAGATCAACCTGCATCACCTTCCAATGAGCCACGGATCACTGCTGCAACGCAGACACCTTCGACCACTTCACCTTCGATGCCCATTGCGGCTGCCCTCAGCCCTGCATACGGCCAATCTCCATATGCATCCCGGGAATCTGCTCTGTTCCAACACGCGCATACAACTGCAACCATTACGCAGCCTCCCCGACCGTTCTCATCCTACAGTACGACACACTCGCAGCAATCGTTCGGTGGACAGCCGGCATCCTTTGCCAGCGTCGCAAGCTCGTCGACAGATGCGCCCTCCAGCCAGAGAGGTGGGCGTAAATCCAAAGCTCACGTTGCGTCGGCATGCATCAATTGTAAAAGAGCGCACTTGAGCTGTGATGTGAATCGGCCATGCACAAGATGCGTGTCCACTGGCAAACAGGTGTGGCCTTCGCTTCCACGTCTCATGAAAGTGCGACAGCTAACGTAGGGTTCAGGACACTTGCTTCGATGTTCAGCACAAAAAGCGAGGACGACCACGTCTACGAGATGAGAGCAATTTCAAAGTTGAGCGAATGGTGCCAGACAGTGCACTTCCCACTCCAATGCACTACGCAGGCTTTGAACCGGGACTTCGAACGATAGCCACTCCACGCTCTCGGCGCGCCGAATCATTTCGTTCTTTACGATTCGAAGATGGCAATCGCCCTGGGACAAGCGAGAATTTGTCTCTGCAGTACCCGGGCTCAGGAATAGCGACTGCGGCTGCGTTCCAGCATCAGTTTCCTCCGCTGCCTCCGGATTACGAGGTGCCCACTGCCTTCCTTGACATGGACTTGATCATCCTGAAGGCCAATGATCCGTTCTGTCAAATTATGTCAATTGCTGAAGCAGAAGCAATTGGTCGCGCGCTTAGCGAGATCGCCAGACCGCTGGACGGAGAAAGCTTTCAAGCAATCAGAGCAGCGATGAGGATCGAACGTGAGCGACGTGATCCATCCTACATGCCTCCGATTGTACGTGCTGGTCACGATCCTCTGGACGGTGCGAGACTCGTCGACGTGGATCGGTACACAGAGGGATCTGTTGAGCGCGTGCATACTTGGACTCAGACAAAAGCAGGGCATAGAACTCAGAGCTTTCCTGCACGCGTGCGGCTTGCGAAAACGAACGCATATTTCATTGCAATCACGCTGCCCAGCTTTCGTCCCGCGCTCGATCCTCCGCCTCCTCCTTTGCTGCCACCACATCCGCCGCCTTCCTTCGATCTGTCTCAACAGCCTCGAGATCGCGACCCCGCACCCCGGCGTTATGCATCACTATCGGCACCTGCAGCACCGTTTTTGCAACAGTCGATGACTGCACCGTTGTTGGCCCCGCTTCGGACGACGGGGCATCAACCGACGCGCTCCTACCCGCCACCTCAACCGCCGCTTCCGTATCAGCGAGAAACGCAGCAACCCGCTCTACCGCCCTCGAGTTATCCTTCCTCAAGTCACCTCCCTCCGATACCTCCATCTCGACCATCACCTGCAGAAGCCATTCCCGAAACACAATCGTACGCGCCACAACGAACACCGCAAGAGCTGCCGCCTCCCAGGCGAGACTTACGTGGTGTGATACAGCTTCCGCCAATCCTGACTGGTGCAGCACCACCCATGAGCCACCCACCGACCACAGGCAGTGAGCCAACAGCATCTGGCCCTCCGAGCTTCGGTGCTGGCGACACGGGACGATCTGGCGAGGTTTCAGGCGAAGAAGGCGCAGGCGCATCACGGTCGCCTGGCAGGAAGCGACGGAAGTTGGACTTGGGCGATGTCTTACATAAGGACTGAGCGGACTTCCACACTGGTATTGAAATGATGCTGCACGGCGCAGGGAACATAAATGGTGACCTTGGAACAAAAATCATCGGCGAGGCGTTTGGGAAGGGAACAGGTGGAACAAAAGCGGTTGGCCGCGCAGGTGCCTGGCGCATCTTTGGATTGCAATACGGAGTCACATACATGGAGCCGAATACCTATTACTAATCTGTACAATAGCGAACGACGAGAACTACGACGTGAAGAAGAAACAACTATCGGCATATGTATCATTATCACAATACCCAAGTTCACACGAGATTCCCCTCCAGCATGGGAGTACCAATGACAAACGGACTGCAGTATACAAGTCACCCGGCACTGGTGCCAATCTGCAGAATGGCATTGTTTTGTCGCTTGTACCGAGACAGATGCTCAGCTGATGAGATTTTCAAGCCACAAATCCAGAGCTCAAGACTCCAAATCGCTGCAGACTCCAGCCAGCGAGCCTCAGAAGTCGAAACACCGCTATCACACGGCAAGTCGGGTCGAAAGCCGAGAGACGAAGCGAAGCCGTGAGCGATCCAGACGAATCGAAACAACCGGTGACGAGAGCACGTGAACATTTGGAGGCGTTCCCCGGGCCCGAAGCTGTAGAGGCAAAGGATCGAAGAGTGGAAAGCTGCAAGCCTCGAACTCGGCAATCCTCTCCTTTCGCTTATGACAACCACACAGATATCCTTGTCCACGCACCGTACAGTCAGCCACCGAAGAACCCGAATCGACAGATGGGAACCGTGGTTCGCGAGCTTGATCTGCGGATACTCGAGCGTAAGTATCTAGACGTAAGCTTCGAATATGCTCGGGCGCGGACGAGGAAAGCATAGGGTATCTGAAACGGATGTGGGACGTGCGTTGCCTTTCTTTGTGCATTACAGCAGAGTAAGTCCTTTGGAGGTTTTGCCGGAGTTTGAACAGGTCGATCAGCGTGCGGCTCACGATTGGAGCGGCAGACTACCTTGATGCCCAATCACAGGCCTCGTTTTGCTGGTTGTCCATGAAGCGAGCCACTGAATCGTCTTGCTGGCTGTGAACGCCGGCAGGTTCGATACAAGCTGATTTTGCATCTGGGGCCGCGCAAGCCTGCTTATGCTGACATAATTCTGGTTGTTCTACTTTCTCCTGCTCATGCTGCAGTTCATCGGTTGAGGCGTAGGACGCAAGTAGATGGCGTAAGTGCAGCTCTTGGCATGCTTGTCTCTGATCAAATGGGATCTCGTCGATTCTGCCGGCCTGGTCATCTTCACGGCTGTCACCATACTATCATTTATTCGATCGCCAAGTAGGCGTGCGGCTCCCAAGACGGCAAATTTGTCGTCTGATCTTCGTGGCAATCAATTTTCGCGGAAGTCTAGTTCTTGCCTTGAGTCAAGGACATCGAGCCTTAAAACCGGGAGAACCGGTTCATTGAAGAAGATGGAATTGGGTTGTTGCGTTTGAACTCTGAAGCACGTCACTCTTTAGTTGGCGTCTGCCATAAAGTTGTAGCTTTTGCGTGAGTCAACAGGTGTGGTTGAGCTGGTGACTTCACCTCCTGATCTCGCCAAGAGGGCTCCGTGCCTCTTGAGCGGAAGGGGTTGTGGCAATAACTTGCCTTGATTAAGTTTGAGGATATGCTTCAATATGTATGATTTCAACTGCATTTATAGTATGCGGCTCCCTTGTGCTGAGATCTGTAGAACTTATGGAGCAGCAATACAGATCGCGCAGAACGCAGATTCGTGGCTGGGGAAACCCTCGAGAGTGGTTGTCTTGACAGTCGATCAACCAGTGCGAAAGCTCGTCATGGTATTGCGTAAAAGAGAGGATTAAATATTGTATTGGAAGCGGTGAGCACGCGTTTGAAAGATGCAATTTGATCGAGTAAAGCAGAAAACTCCCATTCCAGTACATATTTGCACAATGACAATCATCTATCGTACATTATTATTCTCCACCCAAAGCAGTTTGTTGTCATTTCCCCCTTCCATTGCGCCGAGAAAATGCATCTAATCAAAAACGACTCATCGTGTCTTGTTTTCTAGCAAGTATAAGTCTTACCCTCGAACTTGCAACTTCCGTAGTAGCCAACCTGCGAAGCAATCAGCACCGTCCAAAATCATTCCAGAGGTCAGCAAGACTTACATTCATATACCCTCCATCACCATGATTCACAACACTGCTGCCAGGATACATCTCCATACAATCATAACTATCAATCTCACAGTCAGCATTGAATCTTCAAATATAAAAGCTCACCCACGAGATGTAGCTCAGACTCAGAGAACTTACTCAGTATTATACATATCCCACTTAAACTCCAACTTGAAAGCAACAGCACACTTGGCATTGTCGTTGAGGGTATAAGGGCCATTGATACAAGCGATACCAACGACACCATCGGCTCTCTTGTCGAAGAGGTCTTTGGGGGCGTTGCGCATGAAGTAGTCGCGGGCCTGGATTGAATAATGACATGATCAGCAAGCGAATGTTTTGCTACTGGAGTACCATGGTGACTGGACTTACAGAATCAAAATCATCATGATCATTCTCAGGTATCATTCCGTCTTCAAGATGAGCTTTTGCGGCGTCGACACCTGCTTTCGCTACGCCGGCGAGGGCTTGGCCGAGGAGGATTTTTCCGAGGGCGATGGCTGGGAGGATGCGTTTTTGGAGGGCGGGCTGTTGTTTCATCGATTAGCTTGATCTTTCGTGAATGTCTTTGCAGCAAGTCGTGTGCATGTTAACTCACTTCAGCTTCAGCTGATCGCTCGACTACAGCCATTGGATCGCGAGCGATGAGGTCCATCTTTTCTGCTGTAGGGAGGGAAACGGCCGTGTTGGCGAGAGCGAGGATGCTCACGATGCAGGTTTGAGAGAACTTCATGGTGGAAGGGAAAGTGAACGTGAGAAAGCGTGGGAGCGAATTCGAATTAGTGTGTGGCAAGAAAGATTTCAAGAAGTGTCTTGGTCGGACTGTCGATGTGGTTGATGATGTTGGGCAATCAGCGGGCTGAACGCTCATACTTATATCACCAGCAGATGTTTTCGCTTCGCTCTCGATGTTGTCGGTTGCCTTGCCTCGTCTTCCGTCCTCGTATAGCTCTCTGGCCATGATCGCTGCTCCGGACAGGGCGATGCTGCGCAGAGGGCCTCTCAGCTTTCTTGGGCTCACAAGCAACAAAACACTCCAGGGGCAGCATTGCCGGCTCCACTCAGCCGAGCAAGAATCTTAAGCATATCTGAAGCTTCGAACCTCAGTGGAGGGTGGCCAACATTGCCGCGCTGGAGGACTGGTGATGTTACGCCCGAGAGATCTCCAAGGGACGCCTGACATTGAAGCACGCCAGTACCAATAGTTCCCACGGCTCGCAACTTGGCAACAGTGCTAAGCACGTCCGACGCTACGAATACCAAGATCTCGAAGAACGACGTTGCGAGTCCGTAATGTGACCGACGTTAGCTGTGAAGGTTGCCTGTGAGCTGACAGGCAAGTATCAACACCAATGACAATAGTGTCGCGTCCATGTCAAGTCGCTATTGCTGCGCTATGTGGACCCAATGCTACAAGGCCAGGTTCTTCGGTGCACAAGATCGTTCATCCGTAATGAGGACGTCGTTAAAGTGCCTGCAAACGGTACAAGCGTCAGGGACATCCAATAGTGGCAGCGGCCCAAGGCTGCTCGACCGATGACAGGCTGTCACGCTCGTTCGTGAGCAAAGACGGCGGCATTGTGCCACTGACTATCGGTGCAAGCGTCAGGAGGAAGTAGACGGACGACAAAACACGCCGGTCTGAGACCAACGATGGCGTTGTAGCAGTGACTGTTGGTGCAAGCATTAGAACTCTGCGGTCTGTCAAAGCCTCAGATTTCCACGCTGAAAGCGTTTTGCTGCCCGAAGAACAATCAGACTCTTTCACTGCTGCCACTTAGTCATTGACATGCCTTCCACGCAACATCGCCTTCGTCCTGACCCGGTGATAAATTCTACCGGGGACCTTGGACATGCAGCAAGTTCCAAGCTGCATGGGGCCGCAGAGTCGCCACTGGCGTACCCCATTGCCTGCCACTCCTTGATGATCATTGTGGCATAATGCCGTCCTTATTGCGGATTGTGCACTGAATCGCGTGAAGTCTGCAAACATCAGGTGTTCAAAGTAGGGTGCCAAGTCGCTCCAAGTGGACATCATCGCCACCGGCGGGCTCTTTGGTCGCTCATTTACGTGCAGGTGCTTGGGAAACGCCGCTTCTCGACTGGGATCCAGGTTGACGGTATTGTTTACTGATCATTGTTGATTGGAGACTCTTCTTACATCTTCTCTGCATGTTTTATAATTCTGTTTGCAAGTAGCAAACCTATGCAGCAGATACTTAATATCTGCTGCTGGTTAGATAGAATCATCAAGCCATTGAGTATCTCATCAGCGTGTTTCAACAATCATTTGCAGCTTTCCGCAACTTTGGTCGCGCCTTGTACTCCGCGGAATCGAGGGAGTCGATGCCATTGCCAACCGTTGTTTGCGATCACATGGAAATCATGCAGCATTGGCCCCAGGTGAGACACCCCAGCTGGATGAGTGTCGTTGCCAATCAGTCTTTCACAAAGTGGGCATTGCTCCACCGGCGTCGTTATTGAAAACATCTGCCCGCCACCAGGAATACGGTAGTATGTCGTCCACAGTGCGAGACAATTGCTGGACATCGCTCGAGCGCCTGGCCGAGATTCTGCATGCTGAGTTCTTGAGCATCGGGTATATACAGCAGTAGATACTTTTTAGAGTTTGTCAATAGTTTGCTTGGATAGATTCTGCCGAACTTGAACCTAAGCATGCCAACAGGTAACAAACTTCAATCGGTTCTTCACACTAAGGAAGACGCGGTCTGGACTCCGGGGCTTCTCAGTGCCAGAGTGACAAATTTACCGCATTTGGATGTCGATCATCAGGTGGCCAACCCGTCAGGAGTTTATGGTATTGCCTAGGAGGAGCCAGCTGTGCGACTAAGCTAGAATAGGCCGATTTATTGATCGTGGGTCAAGGTGACGCTGTGCAAAGGCCCATTACAGTGCACGTCTTAGTCCCGGCGCGGCCCCGTTTGCAGGGCCACCATGACTCTTGATCGAAAGATTGCTTGGTCGAACAGAGAAGTAAGAGCTTGCCGGGAAGAAGTCGTCGACTTGTGACTGTTGGCAGATTTGGCAAATCCATGTTTAGTGCAGAGAAAAGTAGGACATTCGTCGTAAGACTCGGGTCTGGTACAACGTTGGATAACGCCTTCGCTCGGATCTCCAATACCAGTGTACAGTCCAGCCACTGAATCGACCTCGCGAATATTATCGTTAATGTGCTGCCACCGCGATCGTCTAGTCGCCTTTTCTGGACCACCGTCACGTTGTGCTCTGGTCTGTTGCTTCATCGCTCCAACAACGCCGTGCAATTGGCTGCATCCTTGAACGCGGGTGCACGCTTGCGATCAGGCCTCAGAGCTTGTCGATCGCCCGTGCATGCGCGTAGTCTGCCTAGCAGATGAGGCTTCCTCAGCTGCGAACGGCAAGCATTCGCTAGGTGAGGCACGCGGATCTCCCAGTTGGGCAGGCCGGTCGTACCGGGCGGAGGAGTACTTCAGTCCGGGTAAAATAGGTAGTCAATCGCAATGATCCTGGTCCTTGATCTCTCTCACTGGCCTTGGCAACCACCACAGGGTCTCGGATTGATCGCGGTTGACTCGTCCGATCATGCCGATGCCTACTACACTGTCTCCTTGAAAGTTTCTTTGACTGCCATTGCCGCCATGACTGCCACTCCAGCACAAGTCGCTAGAGTTGTTGCGACTGCCTTGCAATGAGACCGCTTTTCTGGCGTTATCTCGGTTCTAGAGGGCGAGTAGTGTGGTGACTGCTTGCTATGTATTAGCGTCCTATACTTGAACAAGAACGCTCCAGAAGGGGAAATCCGTGTTGGGGCTGGCAATTCGATGCCCCAATGCCATTCAATGACGATAAAAGAGGGGACCATCTCCGGTATAGCGCAGAAGCGACTCTGATACTGGACGTTGTCGTTGATGCAGGTCCATGAAGGATCTGGGAGTGTGTGTTGATGGCATGAAGTGTGTGAGCCGTGAGTGGTGAGACTTCGGAAGGCATGTACGCCAAGCTTTATGCATGAGTGCATAAAACACAGTACACAGCACAAATCCACGACGTCCATCCACATCTCCACGCGCCTTAGGCAGCCGCGCCGCAAACCAACAAATGCAGTAAACAGCTTCACTTCGCCCTCTACTTTCACGAAAACAACAATGTCGCGCGGCTGAGCGCACCATATTCACTCCTTCGTTCACCCAGAACATTCACGATCACAACAACATGGCGCGCTTTCGGGAGTCCAACGCGCCCGTTCATTTCCGCTCCGATCTCCCAAGCGCATCGGCCCCATCGAGCGGCAAAGCCAGAATGCCTCCCACACCCGCAACCACGGCCTTCAACCGCACTCCTGCGGCAGCATCAAGCAGTGGCCACATCAACCGCACTCCGGCTTCAACAGGTAGCAGCAAGACAGCAGGGCAACCCACTCCCGCCCGCGGCGGCAAACAATTCTTCGGCGGCAAAACCACTGCCTCATCTGCTGCTGGTGGATCACGAGGACTTGGCTTAGGAGGCAAAGGTTTGAAGCGGCATCGGTTCGTTACTCTTCGCTTGATTTCTCCAGATTTCCTCTCACTGACTTTCTCACAGCAAAATCCTCCGCGACAATATCCTTGGCATCACGAAGGGCTCGATCCGCCGTCTCGCTCGTCGTGGCGGGGTCAAGCGAATCTCTGCCACGATCTATCAAGAAACTCGAACCGTCCTACGCAAGCGACTGGAGACTCTGTTGAAGGACATTTGTGCAGTCGTCGAAGTTTCTGGACGCAAGACGGTCTGCACGAGCGATGTGGTGTTTGTGTTGAATCGCCACGGAACTCCGATCTATGGCTTTGGGCAGGCACAGCGAGGTGGAATCGCCGGATGAGTCGAGGTGAAGCAAGAGTCATGGAGATGCTTCGACTCAGTGCGGGTGACTTGTTTTGCACGTTTCGTGAACGATTTTGTAAGGCGTTTGACGGCGAGATGACTTGACGAATTGCATCAAAGGATGTAACGTGGGACAGGAATTACTGTCCGGCAATCCGTGAAAGGGTTCGCAGCGAATTGAGGTGATTGTTTAACAGCGTAGCAAGTGCTAGAGATACCCAGTGGCGTTTGGCAATGCATGACTTGTACAGTTCTGGAAGCAGCATGTCTTACAGGTTAACAACAGACACAAGTGAGTTGACTAACCACATTGACTTCCGAGTGACTTCCGAGGACCTTGACAAGATTCGAGACTGCCACTACTGTCCAATGAGCGAACACTCGACCAACGGCAATTCTCATGAGATCCATCGGTGCAGTACTCCCGTCATTATTGCACGAATCATTTCGGGATCAAATTTACCAGCACAATTGATTAACCCAGCTATCGTGAACAATCGCCGTAATTGTCACCTTTACCAAACTTGCGATACTGACTACATCTGCCTAACTAAGTATTCGCAACGCGTAGCCAAATTTTCTCCTGGAACCATACTGAACTGCCGAAGTCGCCTATGCAGGGCTGGGTGTGCTTTTCGTCTTCGCTCAGGCACAGCATCTGCTGACAATCCACCCATTGAAGCTCATATGATTGATTGTAGCGACGGTCTTGGTACTGTCTTGAACCCCTGACAGCTGGCAAGCTAGTGTCACACACAACCGGAATACTGCCACGTCTTGAATTCCCGAACCACTCATGCCTAGCAACGATATGTTCCCTTGTTATAGGCGCAAAAGCCATGAAAGGCAACCTTGGAGATGTCAGTCTCGGGGTTCAGTGTCAAGGTCGAATGAGAACCTTACATTTTCGTAGCCTCCATCACCCTTGTTCTCCACGTAGCCGCTGTAAATCTCGAAGCAATCATAGCTGTAAAGTATTGTCAGCAGGTATTTTCGCCCGATCGATGTACAACCTGAAGGCCTTAGTCGGTGTGATAGATGTCCCATTTGAAATTGATATCAATGGGGCCTTCGTAGCGGCTGCCGGGAGCCCAAGAATACGGGCCATTGAAACAAGCGACGCCTTTGATACCGGAGCTAACCTTCTTCAGATAGAGGTCTTTGGCCATTTCCGGCGTGAAAGCTCTGCGGGCCTACGGTCGACTCTATTAGCAATGACTTCACGATTGGAGAGTGTGCGGGTAGTCGTACCTGGTCGAAGTCCTTGAACTTAGGCCCCTCGGGCTCGAGATGGGCCTTTGCAACATCGATGGCCGCTTTTGCAGATGCGGCTACAAGCTGCCCTCCGATCACTTTGATCAGCAGGATGGCGATAGGGCCGAAGCGCTTATCCAACTGCTATAAGTCAGCGTTTGTGTTACATTGACCTCCGACTGTATTGATGTAACTCACCTCCGCGGATCTCTCGACAACATCGTTCTCGGGGGCCAGTACAGGCACAGCAACGTCTAGAGCCGCAGGGCTGCGCTGCCCGAAGTCACGAGCGCCACGAGGCTCAGGAGGCAAGTCACGGAGAACTTCATGGTGAAGGTTCTTAATCGAAGGCTTGGTAAGAGAAGTTGTTTGTGTACTTCGGGAAGTATTGATTGTAGATGCTGATGCTGATGCTGATGTGGATAGAATGGATTGAAATTTGCTGTGCTTGATGGTCATACTTATACCTGCTCATGACGGTCAATCGACCTCCTTGATCTCGCTGATGTGCCTTCCGATCAAGCACGGTCGAGCAACAGCCCGTCGTGCTCGCGGCCATTGGCATCCGTAGGCGAGCAGTTACATCGGCAATCTCATGATCTATTGATCTCTGTTCGTGTTCGTCTATGCACACTCGTTGTTCGTGTCCGTCTATGCACATGCGCCACTTGCCCAGACAGCGGCACAGTGTTAGACTACGCAGCAGTGCACGACGGCACAAGATACGGCGAGGCTCAACGGCTGCCTACTCGGCCTGGCAAGGAATCCAGAAGACTGTTGGCAATACGAGATGATTCGTGGGACAGATGGTGGACGTAGTTCTGTGACTTTAGCATAGGATCATAGTATCTGGCCCGGTGCTCCTTTCTTCTCGAGCTTTTCGAGGTAGCTGCCTTCCGTTTGCCGTTCCGCACCATTGCAACTCCCACCACTCTGAGCCAACGAGAGCCGTGACGGCCTACACTACAGCTCGAAATCACCACTACGCGGAGATATCCGACGGCCAATGCGTCGATTCGAGACGTAGGCCAATGGATTGTCACCATAAGTTGCATCCTTCAGCCCTGGCACCCCAATCTAAGCCGGTTCAGGGAATTGTTATACAGCTGTTTGAGTTTCACTTCTCAGCCATTGAGTTTCGCCTTTGGGCCACGGCGTAGAACTCCACGCTAGACTCGTATCCCCGCTTTCTGAAAGGACGACATCTTCTAAAATACAACCCTAGCAGTCTTCGAGTTCATGCGAAGAGGCCAACTCTCTAGCCAAATGGTACAAGCTCAATACTTTGTGCCGCCAAGCAGCGCCCACGCGTGTACAAGCGGTTACACCTCATTCGCTACTAAGGCATAAGATCAACGCTATCGTAGCCAAGGCTCTGAAGCGAAAGGGAGTGTAGCATTAAGCATGGCGTCGAAACTTAACTACCGTCTAGACGGCTTCACTCGTGTTCGACTGAGGTTGCTCTGCAGCAAGTATTAATCTAGACTCTATCACTCCTTCACCACGTGTGTAGAGGACCTCCGTCCTAATTCACTGCAGACCTAGAACTATAAGATCGGCAACACTATAGATCAGACCACCTCTGCGAACGGTGCGAGACTTCGTGACTTGCTTCGTGTTCCATGGTAGTTCATGAGCCGCACTCATGCAATCTCGATCAGGCGTCGGCGAGAGTCAGAACGATGGCACTTAGGAAGAATCGGATCTGCAGATGCGTGAACTGAAGAAGCACAAGTCAACCTCTAACCCAAGCCACTCTATTCGGTGTGACCGGAGCTACAAGTCTGGAAGGAAGGTCACATTCGCTAAGCCATTAGTCTTCTTGACCGCAAGCTTGTTCGATCAACAAGAGGAGTGAGAGATTGCTAAGAATAGGACGGTCTCCATTTGTTCCCCGGATTGGCCACTGAGGTTCTTCGATGCATCGTCGGCTTGTGAGGCCTGAAGAAAGAATTCAATGGGATTGATGGGATCGTCGCTGTATGTATACAAGATCTGCAAACCACCCCTGCCTATCTATCCCCAAACGCCATGCTGTCTATGATTCCGTTCTGCTGCGAGCCTACTGGGTAGACAGTGCTTCTGCCTTCCATCCCTCTCCATATCCTCGCTGATAAGGATCCTCTCCATATTCTTCATGTTCACCTCCATGACTCCTCGCCATCCTCGACGCACTCGTCTTCAACAATCCCTTACTGGCATCCACCACCGGACTCGCCCACCTCTCTTCTCCAGTCTCCTTATCAACCACCTTGGTCGTCGTGCTCGTAATTCCAGAAGCATAACTATTAATATAGATATTCTCCCAATGTCCTTTGGGAACATGATACGTCTCATGATAAATCGAAAGATGCGGATATTTCTTCGTCGATGTGTTCCACCAATTCCACGCTTCTCGATGATAACTCGAATGCGCGAAAGCGTGGAGTCCTTCGACAGTGCGGAAATAGCACACGTAGAGGGAATCGGATTTGGTGCTGCGTTGAGTATAATTGAACCAGGATGTCATTCCCAAGAAACCGAATTCGTCAGCGTGGTCTTCGAGAACGCCGGCGAGGTTTTCGAAATGTTTTGCTGAAGTTGGCATGCCTGGGGCAAGGACGCCGAGGGGATGGTTGGAGCGGGCGCCGATGAGGAAGACAACGATATCTGTGTCTGCGGGCTTGGAGCCGTAGTTTCCTGACGCATCGGGGATTTGGGCGGAGAACTTTTTGGGGATGACGCCTTTCATGTAGGGGTTGGATATGAGGCCGGTGCTTATGAGCGCTGTCTCGAGGCCGATGAGGAGAAGGTAGAAGGTGACGGGGACGAAGGCGTAGGCGCCTACAGCGACGTATAGAACTGCTTGGGCGGCGGCTCCGAATGCCAACCAGGTCTGGATTGTGAACTGGTCTCGGATGATAGATTGGAGTGCTGCAGGGCCATAGAAGTGTGATTTTGGCTTTTCCTTTTGGGTTGGTAGGAGCGGGATGAAGTCCTCGCCTGGCTTGGACATTGTAGCTGCTCTTCGAGGAAATGCAAAATCTGGTCTGTTGCCCTGATGTCTCCAGTTATCTGATTCAGATTGATGCCGATGCTAATGCTGCTGGACTTGTCGCTGTAGGTTGTGTTTGTTCAGTGGCTTTGGATGGCGGAAGTTTGTCATACTTATACTGCAAACTTACATTTCGCAATAGAGTATTTCTAAACACACCGAGGCGTTCAATAGCGTTGCTTGGCCCTTCTGACGTCAATACTATACGTCCGTTCGCAGTGGTCAGGTTTGCGAAGTACTTGCTGTTTCATGGTCGCTCGGCGTGAGCCCTAGGCGTGGTGTTGTCCCGCTTTTGTCGGCCGTAAGCCACAGAGTGGCAGGGCACCAACATCACTGGCCACAATTTCTTCAAAGGATGTCGCACCGCCTTATGACGACCCTAAAGGCCGTACTGAGAGCTTGATAAGTCATCAGTCATTGTTGCGACCACGCGCATCCCGCGGAAAGAGGGATGAAGACTCGCGCTGTCCGCGCTGTCATGAGTCTCGAAGGAAACCAGTCGTTCCAAAGCAGAAGGCGTCACCAACATGTATCACCGTGTGCGTTCGGGAAGGAAAAGAGCGGTGACAAATGAGCTGAGCATGTGGCTGTGGCTGTATTCTGACACTACATGCCTGCCCATTCGATACCGAAGGCGCGAATATTGGCGTCGGTGCCCTCCTGGCCGGGCTTCTGTTCTTCGCCGCCGACGAGGAAGCCTTTCTTGACGCCAGTACCTAGACGACCGCCGCCAACCAAGTCGATCAAGCTGAATTCTTGATCCCAATCCATGCCATTGCACAAGAAATGCGAATGGAAACGAAGAGGATCGCCAGGGTAGGCCATGTACTGACAGCCAAAGCGCAGACCTGGTGCCATGAAATACCCGTTCTCATGCAAGTGTTTGTACAGCGGATAAGACGTTGACACTTCCGGCAGCTCGATGTTCTCTGTTTTCTGAAACTGAAGAGGTGGTCGTGAAGTCGTTGGCGTGACACCATATGGCTCGTATACGGCAACCGAGCTCGCAACGGACTGTGTGCGTGTTACATTGGCCGTGCCTTCGGACGCGTTAGCCGGCGCACCAAACAACGACTCATCCTCGTCGAGAGCTTCGGCAGCAGTCTCTACCTTCGGCGCCTTCTTCTTGCGACTAGGGCCAGGAGTGAACATGTCCTCTGGAATATCATTCCAGTTCTCGGTGTTGTTCTGTATCTTGGACAACGCAGCCTTCTTCCTGTCGTCACTCCTCTTGCTCGCGTCCAGTGCCGCAGCTTGCCCTTGCTTTCGCAATGCTGCCTGGTATGCTCGCCTCTCCTCCTCATTCAACCCGTTGCCTAAGAAGTTGCGCTTGTGCTCGGCAGTGTCGTCCACAATGTACGCGACATTCTTCTCGACTAGCAGTCGAGCCTCTTCTGGCATCAACTCCAGAGGCAAGCCTAGGAAGACATTCTGCTGCGAGGCTTGAGGCAGTGTCCCCATCAGCACACCACTGATGTTATGCTCTCTGCGCAGATATGTCACATGGTTCGCATCGTACAGCACAAATCGATGTGCGAGCTTGAAGATGGGAATCGGCTCGGTGACAGTGGGCGCGGTGTTCGCGGCAGACATGGTGGGAGATATGTGGAAATTCTGGACACTCGTCAGCTTCAACTCAGCGCAGTCAAACTGGTATAGTGAAAGTGTCAAGGCTGTAGTGAATATCATAAAGAGCATAGCATTTTTTTTCTCGTCAATAGCGTGTAGCTTCAGGGGATTGACAGATTGTAAAAAGTGTCTAATCATGTGAAAAGGTGATGATGAAGAGGTGAAGACACGTACCTGATGATCCTCAGCCCGTACCACGCAGGTCGAGCTCGTTGTTGGTTGTTCAGCTCATGATGTTGATGCAGGACGGGATGAGCAAGCGTGGGCGGCTGTCGAATTCTGCTGAGGCAGGCACGAGGCGCAAGCACGGGCCCGCATTCTCTTGGCACTTGCGGACTCCAATTTTCTCTCCTCCGAGCTCCCTGAACTTCACCTTCACAACAACAACATCAACTCCGCCGCCTTTCGACATGGCTGCACCTCCGGCAGATTCTGGGTGAACCGAAGCGCATAGCTGAGGCAATCGACCGAGCTCTCTACATTCCCGAGAAACGGCTGTCTGCGTTGACTGCGAGGCGACGAATGTCCATCTTCTGGCCGCGAAGCTGGAACTGAGCTCCACGATGCAATTGAGGCCCATTGCACAAGCACAATAGTGCTTCTGCTGCAGCCTTCTGAGTGCGTCCTCACCTTCACTCCTGCCCCCTTCACCTGATGAATTCTTCACAATTATGTTCCGGTGATCCTCATGATCCAAGAACAAAACATGCATCACCATCTGATCTTGCTTCCAATGGTCTCCTTGCAGCACACAACACACCTGTGTCGAGCTTGACTGACAGTCAACAGCGCAAGTGTTCTTTGCGACAGGCATCTGGCTAAATTCGCGTCCCTCTCGCGCCGAAAGATGCGCTTCGCGACACATCCGCCAGTCACAAGGTACGTCAGCTTTCTCTCTCCGTCGCACGCGCTTCTATGATGAATGGTTTCTTTCAGTTCTGCTTCCGAACTATCATGTCGATAATAAACCATCTTACCAAATCTTGTCTGATCCAAGCGATCTCACCATTTGCGTTCATCGTCAATTTCAGCACGGGCACATTCTGACTTCGCTCACAGCAGCACTCACTGCGAACGCCGTCCCGTTCGGTACGTAACGTCACCTGCTCAATGGTGGGCGCAACTGCTATACGATCGAGGTAAGCTTCGGCCATCTTTCATACACATCCCACTGCAAAGATGACACCTAGTCTATCCATTCAACGAACCTTTTGTAGCCAAGTCTACCGAGTCGTCCTCCCTATACCGTACCAACGAAGCTTCGGCTGAATTGGGAGGATCGGTTGTGGAGTTGTGGCAGCTGGTGAGGCTTCGGCTAAGCTTGCAGCTGCGTGATACGACTTCAGAGCATCAGACCGTGTCATTCGTCTTGGGTGATATCGGCGAGATGCCGGCGGGCGGGCATGCGTAAAACCGGCTTTTCTGAGTCCTTTCGTGATGCAGCATTCACTTACATGACTACGTTGCAGCGCAACTGCTGACATTCGATCAGCTCAGTAAGCCGGAGAAAGTGCCACAGCTCGTGCGCAGCTTCGAGCCGTCCCTCGACAGCTTTGACGAAGAGCACACCGCGACCAATCTCGTTGTTGATGACCTAGTCAATCTGATCTTGACACCGGAGGGCCAAGCGACCGCTCAACTCCTGGATGGCATATCGCAAATACTACAGCAGAGTGCTCGCATCACACACTCAGAAAGCGATCTCCGGCTGCCTGGCTCAGTTGTGGAAAGCATATCTTTTCACGGCAACTTGACCCTGGTGGATGGGCTTTGTGGAAGCGACCAACCTCCCAGGCCAACTCAATGCGAACAACCAGCTCTACAACATATTTGTTGGCGAGCAGCTCAACTTCGGCACCAACACACCGTCGTATGAGACCGCTGCTCCACAGTTGGTGACCTTCGATGGCGCTGAGCTCGACATCAGTGCTTTCGGCGAGCCACGGGCGTCGCTTAACATCCAGTATCAGTAGCCACATAGCCATGGCTGGCGTATCGGAGCCACGGCCGTCCGGGAGGCGGTACGTAATGCTAAGCTCCGCGCTTCTCGAAAGCGACAACACAGTCAACAAGTGCATGGGCAGCTTTGCAATATAGCAATCCAAATCTTTTGATCCATGATTTCATTTCGCCTTTTCGTCTAATTTTCAAACTTCCCACGTGTCTGTCACCTGAAAGCGCGAGGCGGCTGGGCGGCTGTGGCGTGCACGATGATCAGCCTGCAGGCCGCGTGTCTCTAAAATTGTCCAGCCTGAATCCCAACAGGAGACTGACTCGAGCTGGGCGTGCTTCATTCATCGAAGCTGCTGTGAATGTCCGACTTGGTGTAGATAGCCATAGCACGTCCAATGTCCGTCTCATGCAACTTGAAACGTTCAGCCAGTGGTGTACGAGAAACACGACAGGGGTCGGTAGTTAGAGTTCGTCTCCCGCGCTTCTCCCTTCGAATAATCGCTGCGCAAGCAGACACGACACCTCAATCTCCGCCTCCGCAACACCTCCGCAACCTCAACACACCTCGTCACTCGCTCGCCGTAAACCGCCCTGCTAAGAGTACCCTGCTGTTTCTGCCCGCCTCGTACCTGCGCGGTGGTCGAGTAGCGAGCACCAACGACACGTTTCAGCGAGAGTGGGAATAAATCGCCGGCCGATCGAACGAACCAGGGAGCGAACACCAAAGGAGACGCCCACAACAATTCCTCCCACCTCCTCACGCAACCTCTTCAGCCATCTGCAAACCCCCCTCCCAACGCCATCGCGAGCGACGACCACGCCATCGTGGCTACGGGGCCTCGAGCTGGCTTCGCATAAGCTCCGCAGCTCGCCGGCCACATGTTGCCCATATATACCAAGTCGGATCATCACGAGAAGATGAATCGACACCCCTTCGGCAATGGCCAGCCCAAAGGCTCTGGTGCATATCCCATAGGCGGTGGTGGGCGGAGAGGGAGCGCTTTCAACATCAGGCCTGACAAATACGACAAATACCAGCCGCGATCCATACGGGGAAGGAGGCGCAGAGCAGCAATGCGGGTCGGCGGAGGAGTAGCATTGTTCTTCCTTCTACTCACATTCTTCTTCCCATCACTACGACCGGCAGGACTTTTCGGTGGACTGGGGTTAGCAATCTGGGGCGGCGGAGAAGAGTTCAACATTGAGACAGTGCGATACTACGATTTGGCCAATGTTGGCGGCACATCAAAAGGTTGGGAAAGAGAAGAGCGAATTCTACTCTGTGCTCCTCTGCGAGATGCAGCGCCGCACATGCCCATGTTCTTCTCGCATCTGCGGAACCTGACATACCCGCACCACCTCATCGACCTGGCATTCCTGGTCGGAGACAGCAAGGATAACACATTGAACATCCTTTCGGATATGCTGGCGGAACTGCAAGCAAGCGATGAGCCCAAGATGGCATTTGGCGAGATCTCCGTCATTGAGAAGGATTTCGGACAAAAAGTCAACCAAGATGTGGAGAGCCGACACGGCTTCGCAGCGCAGGCCAGCCGGAGAAAGAGCATGGCGCAGGCACGCAATTGGCTACTTTCTGCTGCACTACGACCCACACACAGCTGGGTTTACTGGCGAGATGTCGATGTCGAAACGGCACCGTTCACGATTTTGGAGGATTTGATGAGACATAACAAGGATGTCATTGTGCCGAATGTGTGGAGACCGCTGCCAGACTGGCTGGGAGGAGAGCAGCCTTACGACTTGAACAGCTGGCAGGAGTCGGAGACTGCCCTGGCACTTGCGGATACGCTGGACGAAGATGCCGTGATCGTCGAGGGGTACGCCGAGTACGCGACCTGGAGACCTCATTTGGCATATCTTCGAGATCCATATGGCGACCCAGATATGGAAATGGAGATTGACGGCGTGGGAGGTGTATCCATTCTGGCGAAAGCAAAGGTCTTCAGAAGTGGTGTCCATTTCCCGGCATTCTCATTCGAGAAGCATGCAGAAACTGAAGGATTTGGCAAGGTGAGTTTGAAACACGCGGAAGAAGTCGTGGAACATGCTAACTTTACTCCAGATGGCCAAGCGAATGGGCTACTCCGTAGTCGGTCTGCCACATTACACCATTTGGCATCTGTACGAGCCTTCGGTCGACGACATCCGACACATGGAGGAGATGGAACAAGAGCGAAAGCAGAGAGAACAAGAAGAGAAAGAGAAGCAGGAACGCCTAGATAAGATCAACAGCCAGTTCGAGGTGGGCTCGTCGCAGTGGGAGAAGGACAAGGAAGCCATTCAAGGCGCAACAAAGGAAGCAGCAGCAAAAGAGCAGGCCGTCTTGGAGGCCAAAAAGAAAGCGAAAGCCGACGAAGTGTAAGTGGAAAATGGAGAACGATCAAAATGTTAAGAGAGGCGAGAGAGTTGACGTTGTTATGATTACGTGTGAGCAGGGGCAGGAAGTTCGCTAACAAGTTCGCCTTGCAACAGAAGCAAAGAGTCGAAGACGAAGAAGGAGCAGACTCATGACGATAAGGACGCGAAGGACTCTTCATCAGAGGTAAAGCAGAATCCTTCTCCTCAACAAAAAGCCGATGGCCAGCCGGCAAAGCACCCCGAAGAGGCCAAACGACAAAAAGCAGCAAAGGATTCTGATGGCGACAAACCTGTCGCCAAAGCAGGCCCACCCAAGGACGAAACGGAAGCGGATATGCCGAAGAAGCCTGCGAAACGATGAGCTTGACCAGTTCAGCAATACGGCCTTATTGATGTCCGCTTCATCTTCCGGAACGCGCTCTGCTACGTCGACCAGTGAGATACGGCGCGAACACCATATCTACTTTGATCCGTGCTTAGGCTTGCGTTCTGCGCATTTGCTTTTCGTTATACTCATCTTCTCTTCTTTGCTTTGCAAAAGAGCTTCATGTTGTTGTCGCGGCGAGAATGTTTGATTCTGACTCGAGCTCTTTTGCCTTTTGTCCTGCAGGTTGAAGATCACATTTCCGACAAAGAGGAAACCTCTTCATCGTCCCAGGATCGAAACAAGGGAAAGAGTGACAAGGGCCAAAAGCCGCCTTCATCGCAGACAAGGCCAAAACCGAAGGAGAAGGGAAAGAAGAGGCCGCAGACCCAGCGTGGATCTTCCGCGAGAAAGTCTGAGCAAGACTCTGGAAGAGTTGCAGGTGACAGCAAAGATGATGCGGAGGACGACGAGGGCTCGACGAAATTCAAACAAGAAGTCCGCGATCTATCTCCTATGAAGCGGAAGTCGATGCAGAATGCAGGTGTGGGCTTGACTGGTGATCGAAAAGCTGCGGCTTTTGAGAGCACGATTCAGAGGCACCTGGAGTCAAAGGCAAAGGGGAAGAGTGGGACAGGGTAGATGGACTTCTCCATTCGGCATGCCATGGCGTGGCCAAGATGCTGCAACATGGCAGCTGGTGTTGTACGACGTGTACTATCGAACATTATCACACATCGGGGGCGTTCTGTTTGATACTGTTCGTTCTGGGGATGGGCATATTTTGATCGCTTGCATCATATTATGGAGGCGTTTCTGGTCGCGCAAAGATAGCGTGGATGACCAACAAAATAGAGCTTCTGGATAGGAGGAGGCATGGATGGAGTCGAAGATATTAAGTGTCTTCAACAATCCGGTGTAGAAATATGTATCAATTGACATGGGAAAGCTTCAAAGGATGGGTCTGGTCTTTCATCACTCCTGTTTGTTATGGATTTGTGGCATTGCGGAAGTTACTGATGAGTATATGTGGGCAGGTGCGGCCGCAGTTCGAACACAACGTCTTGTAGCACGCCTCCCCAAGCACAACAGCCTAACCATCATCGAGGGAAGCCAAGTAGAATGCGAGCTCAACGCTTCTGGAAAGTCATGTCTTGGTGCCAATGCGGAAAAGGCAGGTCGGTATTGCGAAGCGAAGCACCCATACGAGAGTGGAAAGAAGATGTTCCTGACTTGAAATGAGACGGATCAGAGACTGGCTTTGGCAAGTGATGAGTCCTGAACTTCCTTTGATCAGACTGGCAGCGATGCTGTTCGGCAGCCCATGTCCATTTTCAAGACGGCCTTCGTCAATCATCAACCATTTTGGACGTCCATCGAATCTTTTTGAGAGGACTTCCAAGGTCAAGCGGTGTGGGTAGGTTTGAAAAATAGGTTCGCGCAATGCCACCTCTACTTCCTGAGCTGAGTGGGCCCTGGCGTGCTGTCGATCATCGTGGATATGAGCATAGCTCTGTTGCCTCACACACAGTCGGGAGGATGTGGAAACGCAGTGTATACTCGAGCTGGTGCTGGAAGAATGCTGTTTGGCTGTGAAAGACACAGCAAACCAGTCGACTTGCCAAAGATCGGGCACCTATCTAGAGTTCGCCATGACTTCTCGGTCGACTTTGCTGACATTGCCTTCTGGAGACTATGCATACCTACTGACTGCTAGGGTTTCAGGCTCCTCGCGATACTGCCGATCGGTCACAATTGCTTTCCTTCCAGGCAAGATGTACGGCCGCAAGCGCGTCGATGCTCGATATCTCAATCATCGCTCGTCATGACGGCCAGATGGGGAACATCAATTGGTAGGAATTCTCCTATCGAGAACTTCTGCTGAGCTTCAAACGATTTCCAAGACGAGCGACGCCGCGGCGTGTATCATACGCAACGAGTGATCGATGCTGCCATCCTGGACTTTCTCGCCGAGGTGCATCATGGATCAGCACAAGTATATCGAACTTACAATGGGAGACTACTGGTCAGATCTCTTTGGTTCTGGGCAGACTGTGCTTTGTCTTGATCTTGGGTGAAGGGCGACTGGGGAAATTCCGCATTTGGCCATTCACCTGGAGTACGCCTATAAACAAAGAACGCGTCATGCCGGCAATGCCCCGATTCACTGCTCGAACTCCGCTTGGCCTTTATAAACAAAATTTTGACATAAGCACTTGGTCGTTCCATTCCATCGTTGGGAAGCGGCAACGAACGACCACTGCAAATCTACGCAGCGCCAGCCACCTAAGCACCACCAGCGTACCGAGCGACATCACTGCTGAAACCAGAGCAGCACCACCCGCCGCCCACCTCTTCACTGAACTCGAGTCTCTGCCCTGTTTCGAACAATAAACGTCAAGATGCCGAAACCGACTTGGCAGATCGAAGAACGACGGACCCTTTTCGTTCTGAAAGTCGCCTTAGGCCTCAGTGACGACGAATCGCACGATCTCATGGGCCGTATCTTCGGTGGCACATGGCGCAACGCTACTGATCCACCACGAAAGAAGTACGGAGTCAATGACCTTCGAGACGAAGTCAAGTTTCGTTGGTCTGCCGGAAAACGACACCAACACTGGAACACGATCGACCCGGAAGATGGCCCAAGCGACGAGGAACAGAGAGCACAAACAAGCACACTCGGCACGATTGTCTCAGCAGCACGGCAGACGGACCAGGTCAATTGGCTCCTGACCAACGACAAGGGCGTTATGACGAGGCAATTGAGTGTCATCCCAATTCCTGATGCTGCAAGTCGACCACACTACCAACGAGACCCAGCAACATTCGATCGCAACTTCTATGGAAGCGAACGCAAAGCTCCCAAACGTAAGCAGGAAAATCCGGAAAGTGGGCCCAGAAAACAACCCCTAATGAGCAAACACCCTGCCACGCAGCACTCTGATTCCACCGCGACTACGAGCGTGGCAGAGTCCACTCCGCAACGGAGTACCGAGCCAACGGCCGACATGAAACGCCCAGATCCTCTCGAACACTGGACTGGCTGGCACGTCGACATGGTCCACGAAAAGTGGTATCTGGAGCGGCGGCAACAGCTCGAGTCAGGAGCTGAGCTGACGGGCAGCCAAGTGCCCGAGTACATCTTCGAGGATTGTGGAACTCGGCAATTTGGTGGCCAGCTGGTTCGTATCTACAACCCTTCCAGTACGATCGAATTCGAGGATGCGTTGGTTTGTCCCAGTGCAGTGTGCGACCAGTGTACCGGTCTCAACAACCTGGAAGACAAGCGAATTGCAGACCTGGTGCCTGGGGTTGAGGTCACAGATGGGCCAACCAAAGGGTTGCCGTTCGTTCACAGGAAGCGAGATGTCAAGCTGGCTTTTGGTGGATCTGGACGACTTGTGTTCAACCAGGCGAAGGATGTGGACTATCAACCGCTGGTTGTCCCTGAAAGAACGAAGCTGTACGTGGTACGGTGCATGGTCAGGACGAAGAAGAGGGATCAAGTTGTTCAGCGAGATGTTAAGGTGCTAGGGTGCGTTCCTGAGTCCTGTGAGGTCTGCAACCCAGAGCTGGCGCAGGCTCGGGAAGCTGAGAAGGCGAAGCAAGCTGAAAAGGCTGTCAAAGCACAAGATGAAGTGGGAGGAGCACACGAAGGAGAAAACGAAGAAGCGCCGGACAGTGCGGAGGAAGAGCATGAAGCTGGAGACATTGAGGAGCCAGCCAAGAGCGACTCCGATGATAGTGACTACGACGAGCCACTGCGAAAGAAGCGTCGTGGTAAAGCGAAGAAGTCAAAGCCGAACAGAGTATTAGCTGGAAAATAGAGCTTTTGCATCCACCTATAGGCAAGGTCATCGATCAACAAACGCTTATGGCTATTCCCCAGACATCGTTGTTGGCTATGAGATGCCCTGAACACATCGTGAAATAGATCAACAGGTTGCTTGAAGCATCGTCATCTCAAAGTTTGCCGTCATGTGTTTTTCAGTCCTGTTCTCTGGGCGGTTGTCTCGAAGAATCCATTGAATATTGACTGTTGAGCTGCGCTCAAAATGAGTGACAAACATCTGCAAGTCTTAATGCTTTGTGCATTGATTTGTGTGGCAGCAAACATATTCCCGCAGGTATTGCTGTCATAGCCAATGTGAAGCCAGGCTGATTGAAATGTTCCCGTTTCTCTGCTCGGCCCCTGAATCCAATACTCATCGAACATCGTCCCAATACATGCGTTCTTAAAGTTTCTGTCTACACCATACATCACAGGGTTCTGTATACAAGGTCATCAGCACTCCAGTGAGTGCTGAAGCGGTGTAGTGGGTCAGTGAACAGAAACTTCGCCATCGGCCCGCCAAAAACTCTCGAGAGTGAATGGCCGTTCCTTCGATACAGAAGGCCGGCTTGCCGACGAGACCATCTCTGCCACTCGGCCTCGACAAATCCAACTCACTAGATCAGAACACTGCCTTGATCACCGCTCTACAAGCCCTAGACATCATGGGAGGACCTACTTGGACGATCGAGGAGCGCCGCGATCTGCTGCGCATGCGCACCGACTACGACTTGACCGATGAACAAGTCCATGATTTGATTGGCCGTATCTACGGCGAGGCCTGGCGCAATAGCAGTCCTCAACGCAAGAAATACACTATCAAGGACATTCGAGACGGTGAGTTCTTCCAGGTTGTTTCGATCTCGAGTCTTCAAACTGACATACTTTACCAACAGAGATCAGTTCTCGATGGAAAGCCGGCCACCGGAATGGCCACTACGAAACCATCGATCCAGAGAATGGTGTATATGATGCCAACGAGACATACGAGCGTGCACGATCCGACCAGCGCATTCGCAATGCTGCTCACCAGACTGGCGGCTTGAACTGGCTACGCGAGGATGGACAAGGGGCATTGGCAACGCCAAACATGGCAATACCTCTCCATCCGAAGCCAACGCCTTACCGTCGAGATCCCGCCTCTTTTGCTGCTGCTTTCGCTACTGAGCAGGCTCAGAAGGCTGGAGGGCGAGCAGCGCAGCCAGCGATGATGCCAGGAGGGCAGGGTTCAGACACCACTGCTCGTCCCCGCCGAGCTGCTACAGCACGAACTCCAACCACTTCGGCTAAGCCTCCACAGACGGGAACTTCATCGAGGCCAAGCAGATCATCCGCCGCCCGGAACACAGCGACGTCCATACCGCCGAGTCAGGCTGAGCAGCCGACAGTGGAGCCAACGCCAAATGTTCCCACCCGCCCCGGCCGCAACCCTGCTGTGCGAGCCTCTCAGAAACTCGAAATGGTTCACGGCCAAGACATCGACGTTGAGAACGATCGTCTCACACTGCCTTCTGATCGAGTCGTCAAGACAGTCGACAAGTCCTTGGCAATCTACAAGCACGGCGGTGAACTCATCCACGTCTGGAATCCGCGTCGTCAACGCTTCGATGATCTGATTCGCTGCGACGGCGACGTGTGCAACAAATGCAACGACTGCGGCAGATCTGGTGGGCTGGCGATCAAGATCAGACGTAGTCCCACGGATGGCCTGCCTTTCGTTCACCTTGGCCAAAACAGCATTCAAAACAACAATGGCGAGTACATATTCAGCCATACGGGCGCTCCGTCGAACGATGAGTTCACAGTGCCGCCTCATAGGCACACTGTGAAGGTTGAGATGTGGTGCAGGAGCGGAGGAGAGGACATGCGTGTGACTGTTCTCGGCTGTGTGGCTGAGCGCTGTGCCATTTGCAGCCCAGCTACCTTTGAGCGTGATGGCGGAGATATGGACTACCACAAGAATGGTGGCTTCTATGGTGAAAATGATGTGGTTGAGTCCGATGGGGAGGAGAGTGTCTGTACTGATACTGACGATGACGGCCCTGCTGGGTCGGCAGGCGAGGCAGAAGATGAAGACGCTGAGGACGCAACCAGTGTGGCGGGCGAGAATGAGATAGCTATCGATTAGGATGACTAGACATAATATTGATGATCATGGACGACTTACTTTGCCTTGCTTAGAGGCGGAATCGCTATTACTGTGTATCCAAGAACAGCTGAAGCAATGGGATACATCCGTAGCGATTCCCACGCGAATCTTGTATTGATCCCAGTCAAGGTAGGCTGAAAGGTAGACATCAGCTAAGTGTTTGAATTCAATAAACCATGGCGAAGAGAGCGCTGGTTTCTCATGAAGATCTGATGATGCTTGCTGGATGTCCTGGATGCCCCGGATGCCCCGGATGCCCCAGATGCCCCGGATGCCTTCAATGCCTTGAATGCTTTGACTGCCATGGATGTGAACACATTAAGGATCCGCTTCGAATGTATGGCTGTACAGCCTCTAAAAGTCGTGTACCTCTCGACAATGCCAGTGCCTTGCCGATATTTCCCTATGTTTGATCCTGACAAACATAATTGGCCGCCAAGCTATTCAGAGCAATGCGAGAGTTGCGCTCCCCATTCTTCGTTCCAGACAGCTTTCAAATATGCTGTAGAGTCGTGCCAATCATCCTAACACGTCTTTCACACTATCGTGAGAGCTCCATTCCCAGCAGGCCTTGTTGGGCGCGGAGGCTGTACCACATATAAGGAGGCTCGTCAGCTGCTAGAAACCGCCATTACACCAGTCTAGTGGATATCTGTTAGCTCTTGGTGGCTGTGCGGACTCGAGATCGGCAGCTTCATGTTCTTGACGGGATCTGCCGGAGTGAATGCACAATTCCGGGACGCCTCCATTTCTTGCCGACCACGAAACAGACCAGCTTGACCACAGACACAACCACTCGACTGCCATTTCCCGATCCAAAACGGCTTTGACGTCGTCCATCCGCATTTCGCACTGTCATCATGGGTCGACCAGCTTGGCAGATCGAGGAGCGTCGTGACAACTTGTGGATGCATACAGAAACGGACCTCGACAAGTTCCAGATCCACAACATCATGGGTCGCATCTATGGTGAGATCTGGCGCAACTCAGATCGCAGGAAGTACACAGTCAAGGATATTCACGATGGTAAGCACAGCTTTGGCTCCTGAAGTGATGGCTCTTCTGACTCGTAACAGAGTTTATGTCTCGCTGGAAAAAGGGCCATCGACACGATCACTACCGCATCATTGACCCAGAGAGCGGTGTTTACGATATCGAAGAAACGAACGCTCGCAACAATACGAGAAATCGCGTCATCGCTGCGACGGCTCAGACTGGTGGAAGTAACTGGCTCAAGGAGGACGACGATGGCGGTTTGGCATCGATGAATGCTCCAATTGCTTTCAACCTGGTGACGGTGCCATACGTCCGTGACCCAAGCACATTTGACGCAGCGTTCGCTAGCGCGAATGGAACCGGGCTGCCCGCCAGAGTAACAGGAGGTGGTCGGGCCTCCTCTGAGACACCTTCTGCTGGATCATCGACTCCAACGCGATCAAGATGCAAGCGAAAAACTCCAGTTCCAAGCCCCCATGTGGCGCCAAAGCGATCGAAGACTGCGCGCAGCACGCCAATCGAGGACGACGGAAGCACGGAAGCTGGCAGCGATAATGAGTTGGCAGTTGTGGCAGAAGAGGAGTTGGTTGACGACAACTTAACTGGTGGGCCAGAGCACGGGCGGGCAGGAGGCAATGACTGGTGGTCTCTTCTGGGCGTCGAAGACGGAGACCGGCCGTATGAGCCTTTCGCAGATGAGAAGCCGACTGACTGGCCTTCGGAGGAGAATCCACCGCCTACAACGCATGCAAGGCTGTGCTACAGGGGTTGGTGAGGATCGCATGAGGCCTTTCGAAAGGCAAATTCTTGTACAAAGCCAAATAGCTGGCGTCTCTCCAAGTCAAGGGGCGCAACAAAAGTTTCAATTAGTGGCCAAAAATTGTCAAAAAGAACGTTGAATTCTACGGACCTCAGGATATAGATGCGCAGCTGAAGTCAAGGTGAAGCCGTGATTTGTCTTCTGATTTGCGGGTAGAAGGAGGGAGGCTGGCAACAACCCTGTCCAGCAAGTGAAGTTGAACGCCAAGAAACGGTTGCTCAATTCCCTGCACCTCATCAGATTGCGCTTCTGCAGCTTTTCTCCCATCACCACAACAAACCACCCACATCAACATGACTCGACCCAAAGACAAGCTCGATAGACACGTTTCAGACAACACTTAAGCGCGCCGCGCAGAAATGAAGCACTTCAGCGACGTTCCCGAGGATGGCGACAATTGCCGCACGGACAGTTTCTTATGTCAGCCAACAGAACATACAGTGGCAACACCACAATGGAGAGTGATTCAAGACGACATACAATTCGAAAACCACGCAGCTGAAAGACAGTCGATCACAGGAATCGACCTGCATCTGGCAGAAATTGACCCTCCCATAGGCCAGCAGCCTCAGTGATACATAATGGGGAGGCCCAATTGCCGCCGCAGCCCACGAGTCACAGCAAGCGCAAGCGAAATGAAGACGAAATTGAGGAAATCTCAGCTCGTCTAACGATACTCCGGAAAAGTCTAGAAGATGGCCGGAGCTTTCGTACTCCAGAGCAAACGTCTGGCACGCAAGATCAACCTCCGAGTAGCTCGAACGTAGCTGCCTTGCCGGTGACGAGCAACGACGGGAATGAAGAACGTCCTCTAGCTGGAGACACAGATTCGCAGTCGGATCCCCACGTTCGCGACATGCTACCCAGTTTGGCCGGGCTTGTCGATGACGATGGCGAGGGAACTGACAGGCGACGCGAAACATCACGCATCGAGGAAGCAGAGAATGAAGAAGCTTCAGATGACGATGACGAAAGTACAGTCATCATTGTTGAGCGCGAAAGGTCTCTTGAGAACAAGGAGCAGGAAAAGAAGAGCAGGCAGCAAGGTCACCGCGGGGAAACCAGGAGGCAAATGCGCAAACGTCTGCGCAGGGAGAGGGCATTGGCAAGAACCCCAGCCGAGAATGAAGCTCTTAGGCAGAACCGCATCCAAGAGCGCAAGAAGAAGAAGGAGGCCAAGGCCCATGCGGAAATGCTTGAGAGGTTCGTCAATGATCAAAAAGAGGACAAACTGGCAAAGGCCGCGGCTGAAGCCAAAGCCAAAGATAAAGACGAAGATGTGAGGAAGAAGCGCCGTCAAGAGCAAAAGGAGAAGGAAGAGATGAAATTGATGATGGCGGCGTCACAAAAGGAAACCCTTAGACAGAAGCGCATCCAAGAGCGCGGCGAGAGGAGATTGGCAAGGGCCGAGGTCAATTGGCAGGCTGAATGATGGTGGAAGAGGGCTCAGGGTGAACAGTCATCGTATTCTCATGTGCCGTCGGTGCAAGTTCTACGCTGGATAGACAGCAGCTTGCCAGCGTGAGATGAGTGGTAGCATCCAGCGCACTGGAGAACAGGACCGTGATCAGAAATCCACACAGCCAACGATCTACCATGGCAGCTTTGGGCGATGTTTGGCGACTAAGCAATATTGCTGGCATCTTTCAACGTTTCTTAGCAGTAGGACTCTCACGCGATTGCACACAGACAAGCTCTCATTCCTTGACTGGACCGCTCTTACGTAGACTGCAGTAGGCGCCATATCGTAGTTCTGAGACTATATTCGGACAGATACTGCTTGAAGGATCTGCCTGCTTTTGTGCTGCTCCAAATCCTTCCAATGCTTCATGCTCCTGGTCTTCGATTAAACTCCTCCGTGCGAGTCTCGTCTCGCAGTTCCGCTGGGCATATGTCGAGCCATTCAATCACCGCACGTGGCCCACAAATCACTCTCGTGTGTCAAGTGAAGTGACAAACAACGTTCTGCACGGTTCTCGAGCAAACGACGCCAAGGAATCTTGCTGTCACTCTTCCTTTCTCCGGCTCGAGCTTCTCAGGCTTTGATTCCAACAACACAACACAACCACAACATGGCCAAAGCCAAAGGCAAAGCAAAAGCTCGTACTGCACGCGCGAGTTGTCAGCGCTGTACGCAACTGCGGCTGTTCTGTGACGTTCCTGGTAGCTGTGCAGAGTGTCGCAAGAAAGGCTGCAACTGCAGTCCTGCGGGTAACGAGGTACCAGCAATGCGAAAGACTGCAGCCAGAGGCGACCCTCGAACTCCACGCCGTTTTGGCGAAGGAGTCGAGTCAGGTCGCTCATTTCTCCAATCGTCGTCGACCGCTCCTCCACCTGCAGGCCAGCTTCCGCAAGGATGGCAATGTTTTCACGACTCCCAGGCCAATAGGGACTACTATGTCAGCCCAACAGGACACATTCAGTGGCAACACCCTCTGCAGGGCCCCATTCCTCCTCCACTGCCGCAATCACTCCCTATTCAAGTTCGAGGATTGCCAGTCGGAAGATCTGGAATTGGACACGTGCAAAACGGTCCAGCCTATCCAAGACAAGACAACAAACGCAAGCGAGGGGAAGAAGACGCTCGGGATCTTCCAGCTCCTTTCAGAACACGCGCGTATGGTCACGGAGGCAGCACGATCTCCCATCCCGTAGCGCAGAGATTTCGCATCCCACCTCATATGCACACCAATGCGAATGCTGGTGGACCACCCAGTGCTCCTCGTAACATGAGACAGCCTCTATCAAGAGGAGAGCTCTTGGGCGGTTCTCGATACACTGGAGCGCCTGGGAGAGGCCGTCCGGGCGGCTCGCAGCGTGAATCACGGGCCGTGAAAAGCTTGCCATCCAACAGGGGCGGAGAAGGGATTCTGCCTTCTCAGGCGGCACATGACGAGGCAGGGGGGTCGCAAGAGGTGTTGGAAGAGATACGAGCAAACGCACACGACGAGGCTGTCAAGACAGAGGAGGAAGGCGCCGCTGACGAGCAGGAGTTGGTGAAATCTGAGGAACCCGTGAGGGAAGAGGAGCCGCGCGATTTTGGCTTGAGGTCTCGCAGCAGAGGCTGAAATGGAAGAGACGCCGAGATCGAGAAACGAGCTCAGTGTTGAATACTGGATGGAACATCTCATGTCCGCAATGGGGAACAGCCGAGTCCCTTAGTGAGACATCGCATTTGGTACGGCACACTCCGAATGAATACCTGACATGCAGTGCAATGAGATTTGTCCAAAAGGCGAAGAGAGACGGATCGAGTAGAGGAGCAACTGTCAGGTCCGCTAGCTAGAGATTCATCCTTCACCAAATGGCAGACTTTCTCCACCAGATGGACTGTGAATTTGCCTTTCTTACGGGGTGACAAAGTGAAATTGTAGAGCCTGCTGGATCGAGGAAGAGACCAGGGCATGCGGTGAGTCATTCCACAGTGTTCGACAGTCCGCCATACTCTTCATGGGCCCGACCCTCTTGTTGGAGAAGCGATGTGCTCCCGATGATCTTCGTGATTACAAGAGCTGCCAACTCACTCTGTCAAAATCGTCTGAACAATGACTTGTGGAAAAATTCAGTCGATCACCTACGTTGCCGCATTGCAGTGCCTCAGTTCACGCTCAAGACTTGACATAGCATCTGTAAGTTCACTCAGCTCGATATCAATTTAGCGAGTTCTCAGGAATTCCTTGACTTCCTTCAGCGAATGGGAGTTCGAAGCTCTTTTAAGGATATGTTGACCCCGCAGACCACCAAAAATGTCCAGGAGTCGATACATACCCTGCTGTCTGGTCGCCGAATGCAAAGCATCATTGTGCAAAGGGGCATTGATCACCAACTATTTCACTATCAACTGTTCTCGCCTTCTTGACGCATTTCCCCGAGGTTTTCAAATCCTGGATATCAATAAAGCTTCCCCTCACAGGAGAAGGAATGCTGGTGCTTCCAATATACATAGAGAAGTATATATGTGTCTCCTGTGCGTTGCATCTCAGGGGCTCTCCTTCATTCACTTATCATCTCTCCTTTTTCAGCAGCCATCTCCCAATCTCTCAAGAACGCCAAGACACAGCTTTCCCATCATGCGGGGGTCCCTGTCAGCGCTGCGTGCAACGCCGTCTGCACTGTGACACTCCTGGGAATTGTTCAGAATGTCGCAGACAACGCATCCGTTGCTCCAACGCAGGGAATGAGGTACCCGGAGGAAGCGGTGGGCCATCACATAGACCAGCGAAGGGGGTTGCTTCCAGCGATGAAGCTCAGCGGCATTTGGCAAGAGATGATGATTTGGGTAGTAGAGCCCATCGAAACCTGACGAGAGGTGTTGCTTTCCGTAGCAGAGAGCATCGAGTCCTGACCGGCAGCGACCATTGGGATCCGGCAATGGATATTGCATTTGGTCATAGAGCCCGGCGGGATTTGACAAGGGCCGGCGCCCCTGGCGGAGATGTCGTACGCATGGGACCAGACCGTTCTATGGCGCGACCAACAGCGACTTCCGCTCCCTCCCAGCTGCCGCCAGCGCAGCCAATATCTACTTCTACTCCCCTGAGCCAGCATCCACCAGCGCAGACGGCGACCACTACAGCTTCTGTGCGCAAGCCTCCACCAGCGCAGATGACATCCACTTCAGCTCCTGTACACAAGCCACCGCCAGCGCAGATGACATCGACTTCTGTTCCTCTGAACAAGCCGCCGCCAGCGCGGAAGGCATCAACGACTGCCCCTTTGACTCAGCCGCCACCAGCGCAAGCGGCACCATCTTCTGCTCCTCTGCACCTGGCACCATCTTCTGCTCCTCTGCACCTGGCACCACCAGCGCAGATGATGTCCACTCCCGCTCCTTCAGACCAGTCGCCATCGCCGCAAAGGACTGGGATCTCTGTACCTTTGGGCCAGCCGTCGCCAGCGCCAACAGCATCAACTTCTGCTCCCTTGGAACAGCTGCCACCGGCGCAGACGGTCTCGATTGCTGCTCCGTTGGACCAGACACCAGAGCAGACAACATCGACTCTTGCTCCATTGGGCCAGCTGCCGCCAGATTGGGACGAGGTGTACGATCCCGACACGAATCGGCCTT